GTTTTCAAACACTTAGAATGAGGTTGCCTAAAAGGTCATCAAACGAACCCGGAGGTCTGGAAGGTTTCTTTAGAGCCGTAAGCTCGAGACATTTGTACTCAGAGTCGGCCAACAATCATTCTTCTTACCTCTTGTAACTCTCGCTTTCTCTGTGGTCTCAAGACTTCAAAAACTGAGACGTAGAGTGCTAAGATTCTGGGACATCACAATTTTATCTCCAAGAGAAAAAGATAAAAAAAATAGGTTTGATTGCTGGACAAGCACATGTCTAGGAATTTGAGTCAGCCTAAGAATTTTAGGTGTGTGCTATTGTTTCATCAGAGTAGACAAGATAGAGTCTAATTGTTCAGAAATATTTCATGAATAAAATATATAGATTAAATGTAGTTGCTTACATCGAAAATTTGAATAAATGTTAATAAGGTTGATTCCTATCTTGCTATTTTGTCAAAATATATTTGAGTTTTATTTTGGGCACAATTCAGATTCACAGGCATTTCTATTTCTGTTACACGTAAATGTTTCATTAAAAAACCAAACATGGCGATTTGCCATGAAGATAAGTTTGTCTGTCACCACACACTACCCTTTGTCTAAACTTTAATTAAGTTGTTTGTGCCTAGCCTCGCTGCCTTTGTTCTATGGCCTTCTGAGCGCGAGAACTTTAAAAGCGTTATTCTCCCCAAGCGTGGGTGAATTCACGAAAGGAAATAGTGTAGGTTGTGCCGGACTCTGGCACGAAAACGTGAGTTGCTGTTGCAACAAGGATTTGATCGTCGTCATCGATGAAGAAAATAAGATAAATTGCCCATAGCGAAAACTCTGTTCTTTCGTCTCTATTTTCCTGGTTTTGAAAGCACCTTTTGTCTGCCATACGAATGGTTTCCTTCTCTTCTCAATCCCGGCAAAAAAATATACTAAACGACACGATATTGAACGACAGAAAGGAAAGTGAGAAAGTTTTCTTCAGAAGCACGTGTAAGCTATGTGAGTCTTCTTCTCCTGTTGACCCTATTACTGGAACGAACCTTTGCTAGTAAAGTGATTTCTGTTAACGAGATTGATCTGCTTTAGTTCTTGGTTTGACCACTTGTTTGGTCTTTGTAAAAGAAAACTGGCACGTCCATGCCTTCTGCTTAGGCATCGGTTATTTTAGTGTTTTAACTTCCTAGCAGTTCAAAGCGAGGATGTTATAGACACACAGTCTTGTTGTAGGATCTCCGCAGTCTCAAGGTGCAAAAAATTATATCTAATCTGATGATCACGAACAGCTAAGTAAATAGCACATGTGAAAAATAATCAGATATGTCTCTATTTGTTCCAATTTGTCCATGATTGCGAAATTTTGTTTTTCGAATGAGATTACTGGAAAACAAGCGGAATAACAGATAGAACCATGCGAAGAGGTAAATGACCAAGTTCTCTAAGAGTGCAAATAAGAATTAACTCCTGATGGATCGAGTCCTCAGAAACGGTTGATAAAATTCAACAAAAAAGCCGTGAGAACTATTGTTTTTTCTCTCAAGCTTTGTGAAAGCATTTTTGGGTTGGCTGATCGTTACACTTTCCTTGCATGTTGGCCAAGGAAAAGAAATATGATATATGAATGGAGGTGTCAAGAACCTCGAGTCAATACTCCTCGTTATAGTGCTCTCAGTCCAGTCTGCCTTTTTTGGTGGGATAGTCAATTTAGTCATCAGAGATAATCTTAAAAAACATCCTGCATTCAAGTGCGATCCGGTGTTTAAAAACACCTATTAAAGATAAGACAACTGCGCATCAGCAGAAAAATTTCTTTAGAAGATTGATAACGTCTTGTTTTGTCACAGACCGGATTTTTGTTTAGAAATGCCGCCAGAGAAGATCGAATGTTGCTATTAATATCATCGATGTTGTTTTACCGTTTGAGCGGTTAATAACTTGACGTTGTGGCGAAGTTCTCTACCGCTAAATAAGGGAGATCTTTCTCGAATCTGAAAATTTCTGACATGAGTCGAGAAAGACTGGCCGTCTTCTGTTTCACTCGCATGTCACTCACATTTCGGGATTGGAAATGTCTCGGTTGTTTTTATTCCTATTTTACTTAAAGAAGTATCCTTGTGTTGTTGCACTCGAAGGCGGTTTGTGGAAGGGTTGTAATACTATTGGTGTTAATTCCAAGCCCCTAACTAGAGATTTTGGGAAACTCACACACAACCATACCTCGGTTAGCTTTTTTGAATGTGCCTCTTGTACTTAGATCCTTTTTCCTTATAAAGTGCTTCTCAAAATTTTTGTTGTCATCGACCAGTGGAGCAGCATTTGAGGTGCACACTCAGTTCAAAAGTGTACTTAACTGTTTTTAATGGTTGTCCCGTTTAGTCGAAACGTGGCCTTAAAATCTGAGAAAGGCTGAGAAACGCATAACTGCCATGTGAACTGTTAAATAACTACTTTTCTTCGGAAGAGATTGAATATATGGGCTTCCGTCACTCCGGTTTTTTTTCTCGTTTTTTAGACTTTAGGATTGTCTTAACCTGCCCGGCCGTCCTCCATGTGTTGAGTGTTGTACTTGTGAGTTCTTATAAATCTGGATCATTTTCTTCAGTTCTCACCGTTTGTTTGGGGTATCACAAGTAACACCTCAAAGAAACTCATCAAGGTGCAAATTTGTCGGGAAAAATGTCTATGTTCAATCAGTGTAAATCTGGCTCTTAATTTCAATTTTGTTTCCTTTAAGGTTTACTCAGACTTCTGTAGAGTTTTTCCCATTCAGCAAACTGTTTGTAAATTTGAAGACTTTATTTTTTGTTTGTATACACTTATGATTCCTCTTGCTATAAACTCGATTCGCATTTGCTGATAAGTCGTCATATGGACTTGTATAATCCTTTGGAAATACATTTCATGACAGACAGTACAGAATAAAGAAGGGTAGGTTTCTTAAAGAAAACTGTGGTGCTGCGTCGGTGAAAGAGCATAACAATGTAATTTCGTGTTACCAAATCAGTTGATAATGTAAATTGGCCACCGTAAAGAAATTCATACTCTTTGAAATTCTTTAAGGTGGCCAATTTACGTAATCAACTCGGTTGATAATACTAAATTACACAGTTAAGAAAAAGTACGTAATCAGAGACTGAGAAAACCGACAGCATGATCAATTTGTGAAAAAAAAACAATTAAAATTTGAGACATCAGATTAAAAACTAGATTGAGCCATACAGTAGAAAGATATGTCTTTAACTAATGAATGCAAATAGCTCGAGCAAGTTTGTTTAATTGGTGCTGTGCTCCGACAGCTCGTCCAAGTTCTCTCTCGACTGTGAATGGGGCATTTAATGGATGACTAGGCCACAAACACCCTTGTTTGAGACACTAACATAAGATTTTCTCGATGTAATGCTCCATAAACCCTCTAAGTCACATCGCGTTATACAACATGGCACTCAGTCCAATTTGGAGGTCACGGTTTGTGAACATCGCCAAAAATTTAGACTAAAAATATTCAGTATTTTCTCTTGCAATCCGTCGTGTTCTTTCGCATCCTTAAATGTAGCTTTCATTTATCCAGCTTCCATGTCGCCTATTTGCTTCTCTGTCTCACCCTAGTCGAAGATAATTTTGCATTGTTTTAAGACAGCTCGAAATTTGTTTTTGTTTTTGCATTTTGCTCCACAAAATCTGCGGAAAGAAGAATAATGTAAGAACCAACGATCCTCGTGGAACCATTAACTTTTGATAGTTCAGTTAGTGTTGAACACACACCACAACGAGAATTGTTTTGATGAGATGAGCTATTGAATAGCTTGCAATCTATTTTTATCCAAGTACACGTGCCAGAGACAGAACGTATAAAAAGCCGATGTAAGGATTTAAAAATCAACTAAACTTTGCACCAATATTAAGAGTAGGCCCTTATGATGGTGAATCAGCTATATTGACTAGTACTAGCAACGATTGTAGGACAGAAAGTTCTTTATTTCAGAAATTCATGCTTCGTTTCCTACGCGGGTTCATCAAGGAAAGTAGAGATTTAAAAGCAATAAAACGCATGGGTCGCTCCTTTATGTCCTGTTGTGTGAAATTATTAGAGAGGAATGTAATTAAAATTAATTGACGTATTTATTCTCCGATTGACTTTGCCATAACCAAAACAGTGGGGCGACCAAGAGGAACAGAAAAATAACACGAACAATATTTTATTGAATCTAGAATGTAACTTTTCCAACGGAATGAAATATATCCTTCTTTAGTCGTAGGCGCTTTTGTTTGGCTTTTTCTTCTCAAATAGACTAGAGTTAAGAAAAACAGCGCTAATTTGAAATAGGTCACCAATACCCTCCTCTAAGTCTCTGCAGAGGCCAAACATGGACTCCTACTGCAAAACAAAACATTCCTTGGAGAAGTAGCTTTAAATTCCTTTTTACATGTCTGATTGTTTTTAGAAATTTTCAGGTGTTTTTTGTAGCAAGTGTTAAGGTCCTTTGGCAGCCTGTAACCCTTCACTGTTTCGGACTAATCTCCCAAGTTTCTTACAAGTAGCTGCCGGCCAAGACTTAACTTAGGAAAAGCAACTAGTTAATAGGGATTGAAAACAGCTCTTTGAAACCACGAGGAATTTTGGAGAGTTCATTTTAATCGGCACCCTGCAATCTTCTCGCCTTTAAGTTCTTTGAGGAGGTTTAACTTTATTATTATCAGTTTTAAGGAAGCAAATGATGCATACTACTCACAAAAGGTTTGCGACAGGAGTTAAACAGTACCGGAAAGTATCAAGATCATACGAGATAGTTTAACTAAGGAGTAAGGTAAAGGCTCCCCTATCTCAAAGGATGCAGGGTTCTTCAAATCGATTAGATACAATTCTTTCTTGTATGATAGACTGGATAAGGAAGCAGGATAATTCATTAGCTTTCGGCACACTCAGCTTGATGACTATGATCAGATGCTCTCGAATATTGATACCAACATTACATATGGAACTGCTTTTACATAAACGCTTCTCCTTTTCTTTCCAGATCCGTTGTACGATGTATTTTTCCCTTCGAAAGCCCGAAGTCCATTTATAGAAGTTTGCGCATGACTGCTTGGACAACAAACAACAAGATGCTGAGAGATAACAGCACTTTGACTTTTATGTCCACCAAAAACTTTTGGTAAGTTTTTTTCCCTTTCATTTTCTTCTTGTCAGACGGTTAATAGCCATGCGGTCTTAAAAAGATTCGCACTGGTGTTTGGTTCACTAGCGACATCACATCGAATATTGTTAATTATTAAAAAAGATCGATTTTGAAACGTCTCGTTCTAACAAAAGTTACGTGTTCTTGCGTCACACACGAAATATCAATGTCTAGACAAAGATTAAATCACAGATATCTATCAATCGTGCTTTGGCTCGACAACACATACTGTGTTGTCAGCTACGAAACATTCCCGAAAACTGGGCGTGGATTATGTTGGAAATTTTTAAACTCGTCGCTTCCTTTTACTGGAATTAAACAATCAGTTCAGTTATGCATAAGAACGTCACTCTAATTTCAAAATATACACCTGATGCAAATTTTATTGCATGTAATTTGAGCCAGAGATAATAAATCGATCGACGACAATTTTAATGTCTCGTAACCTTTCTAGTATTAAGACCAAACCAGTTCAACTTGAGAAAATTTTCGGCATGATTGGTTGGGAAAAATGAACAATTTTTTTTTTAAATTGTTAATATGGCTCTATGTAGGACCGACGTTAATCTTCAACCTCATGCGTAGTTTCTTAAACACTTGTCACCGAGTCATGGTAATTGTTTCCTGAGTATAAATTCAAATAAATTTTTAAGTTGTTTTCTCATGCTTGACTGACTGCTGATTGTGTCAATACAAAGCTTTATTTCAACATTTTGAATGACCTACTTGGAGGCGTGATTACCTGTTTCAAATTCTCGTTCTTTATTAAGCATTGAGATAGAATTTACAAGCAGGTTGTAGTTTAATTTTCTGTTCAACAATTGTAGTAGAAGTTGAAAAAATTCACTGAAATGAGCAAACGTTCATGCAAAAGATTCATAATGGTATTTCAAGCTATTCTTTTAGATTTTCAGTAATATGCCTCTTCCATAATTAACATCCCTTGCCTTGCTGGCCTCGCGTTTGACTGAAATTTTTTAAAAGAAAGATAATAAAATTTATAAAAGAAAGATAATGAGACCCGCTATTTATGAAAGAGATCTAAGCAAGCTGACTTTTTCCGAAGAAAACTTGCTTTGAGTTGTGGCAATTGAGCTTGGAAAAATTGTTTGAGAAAAGCATTAGCTCGATTATCAAACTTAACAAACAAACGCTTTAATTTAAGATTATGATAAAGATGTGCGAGGCAGTTGTGAAAAAATTTTTTACAGAAAAATGTACGGAATTAACACTTGGGGCACGGAAAGATCTTTGGTTGCCTCTGCTTTTGATTAGAGTTCTTTTCGCGCTATAGAGGTAACTGCGTCAGGAGACAGTTTACCAAAGAGTAAATGAATTTATATTACAGTGATTGTATATTCTTTTAAACAAGAGCAGCTTCAAGCAATGCTGAAACTTCTGTCAAATCAATTTTTTGCATCTGCTGTTTGATTGCATTTTAACTTCAGCGTTTTGCATTTGCTTGTTTTACTTGATATGGCCTGAAATAATTCCTTTGTCGACCCCTGATCAACACTCTAATGGGCGATGGTTCTCAATCAATGAAAAAGATAGACGCTTCTATTAAACTTTAAATCCGAAAATTTCATTACAATCTCTTAACTTCATAACCTCTTCCTCTTAACTTTTTTTTTATCTTTCTCTAATTATCTGGATTCTCTAATTATCTGGATTATTTGATGAAGACGAAAACAATGGAATTGACCAAACCGACCCATAAAAAGAAAGCAATTTGAGACAAACACAGCTGAATGCACTTTCCTTCATGTCAAGTTCAGCGTGCTATAAAGCAAGCCAGCGAGGATTCATTGCCTGTCTCATCTTACAGACAGTTTGCTTTCGACGGACACGCGAAAACCGTCAAAACTCAAGTGGCGCAAAGAAAAGTTAGATTTCATTAAAGCTTCGGAAAGCAAAAATCATTTTGGCGTCCATTGTTCTAAAATCTGATTTTCTGTTGCTATGACTCGGTAATGCCTGATAAAGACTCGTGTGACGTCGACTGTCTGCGCTACTGAAGAGACTTTTTTTAACGTCACTTTTTTGAAACCAAAACTTTGTAATTCCCGAAATGTGAATTCTGTTTCCTTCTAACGCTCATTTTGACAACGTCGGAAAATTCCAGTCGATGAGAATAAAAATGTTCACAAATCCGATTTGACGGGTGGAACTGTTGTATGCCACTCTGCGCCGGATCACGCCGCTAGCTACTCAAGCTGACAAACAAAGACGGACGGTTCTGGTGCGATGCATGACATTCAACGGAAGTTCAGCAAAATTGGGCGTTTCGAATGAAAGATGTGGTTTTTTTTCTTTGGAAGAATTTCTTTTCAAATCTTTGAACGCAAAAATAAACGGTAAAGGGCAAGGTCAAAAATTTATACCCATGCCATCTGGCTTTAGCCCTTGACCGCCATAATGGAATGGGGAGGTTGACGTGAGCTGGTCTAGAAAAAAACCGTCGAGCTCCTAACTCACATGGTGCGGCGAGACCAATTAATTTACAATTTAGTTTTCTGTTCCAAGAGTAAGCAGACTATCGATCATTTCACGACGGTTTTCGTTTATCGTAACGCGGCTGATTAATGTATGTAGTTTTAAACAAGATGTGTTGAGCAACTGTTATCGTCGTTCGTTCTTTTTTTTGTACGTTCTCTTTTACGTCAACCGTCGTGGTTTCCTTATTAAAAAAGTGACTGGAATCTAAAGTTATTTTTACGGGTTAATCTCACGCCCTTACTCCCAAGCGACGCTATTGTTATTTGACTGCAAACTTCAAGTGTTCATCAAACATTTTTTAATGTATTATTGAGTTTCTTAGACTTTGAGACTTCACGTGATCAATTCCCTTGGCAATGTCTCCAGAAAGACGTTTATAATGACGTGTTTTCAGCGACAGCCAGTACATTTTTCTGTATAAAAATTTCCCACGACTGACTCGCACTTCTTTATCGCAATCTGAGATGAAAGGGTTTGTTTGGTAAGTTTAATAATCGAGCCAATGCGTTTTTCAAACAATTCTTTCCAAGCTCAACTACCATAACTAAAAGCAGGGTTTCAATTGAAAAAGTAAACTTGCCTAGATCTCTTTCATAAATAGCGGGACTCATTATCTTTCTTTTTAATTCATGAAGGCTGGCCTCTTTTTCCTCGAAATCATGTAGGAAAACAATTTCAGTCAAAAGCGAGGCCAGCAATGCTTATTTGCATGGACGTAAAAGGATTTTAATAATGGAAGAGTTATATTACTGAAAACCTACAAGAGTATCTTGAAATACCATCAATTTTCTGCATGAACGGTTGCTCATTTCATTGATTTTTTTTTTCAACTTACATTCCGATTGTTGAACAGAAACCTACAACCCTCTGGCTTGTTACCGTCGGTATATGCCGGGGAGCTCATTCACATAAATACTTTACTTAAATTAACTTATTTCTTCTGTTTCAGCATAGCTGTCTTTGGCATTGTCCTTTTCATAGGTTCTTGTGAAAGCATAAAAAAAGGTAAGTTTCATTACACTATAAGTTTTGCCAAGAAATTCGCATAGATAGATAACGTTTATTCCCGGACCAGCGTAGGTGAAAAAGTGAGCACATGTCTTTGGGCCAGTGCAAAACCGAAGTTAGGTGAAAATCGCAGGATACCTTGTAGGTTACAATACACTGAAAGAGGTCCAAGAGAAATCTACTCACGCTTGGTAGTGTGAGTTCACATTGATTGAACTGAGGTGAGAAGTCGTGTATTCTAACGCACTTTGACTCATTTTCTCATCTTTGTACGACAGGTAAAAATTTCCTTTTCCTCAGCACATAGCAAAAAAAACTTGTCGATGTATTTGTAGAGAGCCACTAAGGTGGATTTTGATGTTAGAACTGAGGGATTTTCGTTTGGTGTTTTATGGTTTCAGCCCAAAAAAAAAATTCGGCGAGATATTCAGAACGTTTAAGGTTATCGTTTTATTTTTTCCTGTTAGAAATTTGGCTGTTAGCTATCAGTCCCTTAAGTTGACATATTCACGGATTACCGCCTTCTGCCCTTCCGCTGTCTTTAAAAAACACCCTGTTCATATTTATTTGCGGCGAAATTCTACACTAGTCGTCTGAACAACTGGTTTTTAAGAACAGCAACTGTTTCAGCTTTGGAGACAAAAAAACAATAGGGAAAGATAAGAGAATTGTAGAGTAAAAGCTCTTTTGTTTGTGGCTGAATAACGAAATTAAAAGGAAAATTGCAGTTTTTTAAAGCTAGTGAGAAGAAAACAAGCTTTAATTATCCAACCATTTAAACGTACCTTTATTCACAGAAGCTATCTGTGTTATCGTGAATCTTTGTCGGGAAAGAGTAGCATTGTCCTCAATGTTGGAATCATTTCCTAATTACTTAGTCCCAAGTTAAAAATTGCGACTAAATTGCTTTATGTTTCAGAGACGGTTTTATATTCGTGTTGAAATTGTATACAATGGCCTTTCTAAAGAGTTTTCCCTACCGTTGATTTATCTTGTCAGTTGCTGAAAATATTGTATTGTCTGTCGTAAACTTTTCAAATAGATTATCTGTTAACTTCCCCCGCCTCGTTATCTCCCCTTTGTGTGACTAATAATGCTAAGTACTCAGTAGGCGTAAATTTTTTGGGCTTATCTCATGAGGTATGATTAGCGAGTGAGCAACTAATGATAGATCACTGATTTAAATAGTCGTATGCTTGACCTTACGTAAGTTACCGCAAAAGCCCTTAACAAGGCTCGTACCTTACATCGCATGCACGCTTCTTTTAGTTCGATAGATATCATTATCTCCATTTTGGAAAAGATACTAACCGAAAATAAACTGAGAAAAAGATGGTGGAGGTAAAGTAACCTATGACTACTTAAGTTTATCCCAGATGTCTGTAACACGAAGTGATACGTGGTATGTCTATCTACCCCCCTGGATGGGATGATAGTTCATTGCAAGTCAACCCCTCGCATTTCGTTAGGTTTTTGTGTCAGTTTGCAGGTACTCATTTGTAATCCTTGCTGGAGAGAGGTCAACTGAAAATATGATGATTCGCCCGAGAACACAACACATCAACCCGAAGAGGTCATGAACTGAGACCCCTCGAACGAAATTCCATGCACCAATTTTCAAATTACCAGGGCGAAAAAAACAGCTCATTTTGCAGAAAAAATTCATGCAATAATGGAACTAACAGTGACCTTTAAAAGATCTCGCTCCCTGAGTGAATATCTTTTCATCTCACCACCAACACGGTATCGCCCTGATCCCGGCTTCACTTGTTACCTAAGAAATTGCCCTCTTACTTAAAATTCTCCCGCTAAGAATAACTCCTATGTGACTACCGATAAAATAAAATCCTTATCTCTTTACTAAATCTTAATCTTCTTAGGATATAGCTTGGAATTTATCGAAAGCCGATTAGTTCGAGACAAAAATCGACTACATTTAGATATTTTGAGACACTAACGAGGACTAATTGACTTAAGCTTGTGGTTTTTTTTTTTTATTGTCGGCAATTAAGGATGCAAGGCCGTTGTGACTAAATATACTGTTATTTTATTATCATTACTAGAGCGGCTAAATTTGGGGCTAAGGCTAAACGTTTTTATTTTCTGGCGATTTTAAGCCTGATAACGTCCTTAACATTTTTTTAAAGCTGTGTGGTATAGTATTTCAATAAATCAATTATGAGCGACTGCAAACTGAGTTGTTCTTCAGTATATTGTGCAATAAGAAACATCATTGTTGCAATCAAAAATGTCCTTAGGTAGTTGAGTTAATAGTCCTGTTAGTCCAGAGTTTTACATTGTTTTCAACATTTGTTTATACTTCTCCCAAAAAAGGCAAAATAGAGACGCTATTAACTGACTCTCGGCCTGGGTGTGCTCTTACTATGTTCTTAAAATTTTGGTTTATCTCAGCCTGAACATTTTTCTAAAAAATGTTCTTATGAAAAATGAGTGTAGCTTTTTCTTTAACATATTTTTGTTTGTTTTTAACAATACATACGTGTTATTTTTTCTATTTGAGGGTTTTCATTTCTTGTAAGTTATTGTTTGACTGCTAGTTGTCGCTGTGTTATAGATTTTAAGTAAACATACATTAAATGATGAATCTTAATAGTCAAATTGCATGTAGAATTAGCAAACTTTTCGCTACATACTTGTGTTTTTTGTTGTGGTGAAACATCTATGAAGCAAATGTGTTCAACCTAGGACGGTAAACTAGCATATCTATTTGGAAAATGATAAAGGCTAAATTTTTCGTCGGGATGCTCGAGGTAATAGTTATGAAGCTTTTCAAAGCAAAAAACTTCTCTCCAATAATTTAACGAAACCAAAAATCTTATGCCAAAATGAAAACCTGCAGAGTTTGCGCTTAAAATTTTAGATGTTGATCTCCTAACATAATTGAGATAGCACACGTTTATACTTGCATGGGATTTGTCCTACCCCTGCCCCCAGAGGTCTTGTTTTCTCTCTTTTTCCCCCCCCCCTCCCCCATCACCACCATTGATCGATTCCCCCATTCTACACAGGAACGTGTTTGTGTCATTGAGATCGAAGGAAAATTACCTTCCAGGTGCCTTCGAGACCAGCCGATAACATCGTCGAAGAAGGCACTATTTTTACTGATTTTGTTCTCACCACTTTCAGATCCTCCTAAACGATGTGATTTCAACGGTGTTCACTACAACTTAGGAGACACTTGGAATCCTTTCCTGTTGCCAAGTGGTTACTTCCGGTGCATAAAATGTGCCTGCAAATTGGTAGGTATCCCATGTCGCTGCGAAAAGTACGTAAAAGGCGATGAATCAACAGAAATCATTTTGATCAGTTTGGTGGATTTATTGGGGAAGACTTTTGCGGGCATGACGGTTTAATTCTGTTTCTTGGAACCGCAGGATCATTGCTTTTTAGTGCAATTGCTTCTATATTCCAAGGGATTGGGTTAATTATATTTAATACATCTGCAGGCCCAACGTAGGGTCACTTTGATTGTTTATAGTTAATTTAATTCTTAGTTCAACGCTCTTCGTATCGCGCGAACCCTTTGGTTCCTCATTCAAATGATCACCGACGTTTAAGATTTATCGTAAGAATAAGTGATCTTCATTGCTAGATAGCAAATTTTACAAACGGTACTCAGTGAAAATGTGCATCTTATTGGTAAAGATGGTGAAGATATCTTTCTTGAGCATTTTTAAGTCAGAGACAAAACTTATATAGGGATCTTTTGCGTCCTTTGAATAAGACAAATAAACTTCTATCTTCGGAGAAACAAGAGTTTGAAAATACTTTTATTTAAGACGTTCCTATTAGCTGGAATGTAACTTGCAAACAGGACAAATTTCTTTAGTTTCTGAATGTGACGTAATGAAACAATATTAGTGACCTTACCGGAAAAAAGATGGTTCTGTAGGTGCTGTCTAAATTTTTTGTACCCATGTACTCCTTGCTGTTGCCTTCCTTTATAGTCAGACGATGGTTCGTTGGCGATAATAGACTGTTCGCAATGTAGGACGCAATCGAATCCAGGTATGTGAACATGTTACTTGAGTAAGTGAAATGCAAAGATAAAAAAGTTAAAAAAGGAATAAAATCAATAGATGTGGCTTGCTGAAAATTTCCAGAAATTCCACGCATGTTCCTCTCTGAGTCATATAACGTGTACGTATGTGTCTGCGTCAATCACCGAAATAGAACTTTGTTCTGGAGAAGAAAATCGTTTTTCTTATATCGGCAAAAAGGGAAATTGAATGACTAGTTCTTAAAAAAGGCCATGTGACTCTGGCTTATTGTTTATTTTCTTTTTAGCCCTTCCTTCGACAAAGGAGCAACAGAGGAGTTGTACTTATAAAAATGTTTCATGGAATCACGGTGTGGTGTGGAAAGACGATTCCAAGATTCTACCGAATGATAAACAGTGTAAAGAGTGTAGCTGTACGGTGAGCAATATCAGTTCTTATAAACGAGTGGCGATAACAGTTAGTATATGCCAAAAGAGTGGCTAGCGCTGAAGGTATGCTCTGATTGGCCACACAAACTTCGAGTATCCTTTGGTATTCGCCTTCGAGCAACTCGCTCGGGATTTGCGCCCGAAAATATTGTAATTGTTGCAGGAATGAATAATTTAAAATCATCTTTTTAAGCTCTGTTATCTCGCTCTTTTAGTGTATACTAGAACAAACATACACCTCAGTGTCGGTGGCTAGCCACGTCCACTTCGGTGAATAATTTTTGACTGTTCGGATTTCTTCAAATCTAATATTTATACCATCGAGAGGCATTTTGACGTTTTCCTGCAGTGGTCTGTACGTTTGGCTAACTATAAAAAAGAAATCTTTATTATTCGGTTGTGTCGCACATTGCACATTGTTTCATTGGACTTGTCCGTCAAAGATTATAACATCGTAAGTAAATGATAAGATGTGAAAAACGTGCAAGGACAAGGAAAAAAGGAGTTGCTACTTATATGCTACGCATCATTATTAACTGCGCGTGCGCCACATACCACATACAAATGTGGGATTGGGATAAGGGATAGGGATTGTTTATTACATTCTCAGGATTGTTTCTTGAGAAACATGCAAGGATTATTACGTGCAACGTCTTTCATACTATTTTTCATTTAACTTTTCAAATGATTTGTGACATGCTGATGTGGAAATTTCCTTCGCTTAAAATTTCGTCAAGTATAGTGCAGTGTTTTCTTTTAAAGGCCTGTTGTGGCATTTGCCAAAGATGGATGGGATCTCATACCATAGTTTCGTGGGCTCAAGATCCACCCAGGGTGACATTGTCTTTGTCATTGGCTCTGACGAAAGGCTAAAGTTCGAAACGTCAGCTTTGAAACTCTTTACGGTGGCCAATTTACGTTATCAGCTCAATCGATAATACTAAATTACCCTGTTATACTTTGCCACCGACAAGCACCACAGTTTCTTTAGAAATTCACCCCTTTTATTCATGTGATATATTGTCTGATAAGGTCAAAAGAGGCTCGGAAAACAGCACCATTTAGGGCTCTATTTGGCAACATTTTGATAAAAAAAAAAGCATGCAAACATGAATAAATATTTTCTTTTATTGCTTGTTTCTCTTTTGATTTTCTTGTGTACAATTGCAGGACGGATATGTCACCTGCGCCATCAGAACTTGCCCAGTCCTTACCTGTCAGAATCAAACAGCTGGACAAGGATCTTGTTGTCCTGTTTGTGCAGGTATAATGCATTCAAGTCAACCGTATGACTGTCTTGACGCAAACCGTGACGGATGTGGACAAAATACTCATAGTCATAAGCCCCAAAGTGTCTTAATGAGCTTCCTCGTGGGGATAACAGACCATTTTATATATTCATATTTAAATATTGTTCATATCTAATGGCGAAATTAATCGATCAAGTTATAACTAGATCAGATTTTAGGAATTTGCAGTTCGGAAGTTGAGTCTGTGTACTGTTAGGGTAGTTTTGAGGGTGAGCTACCGCAAAAAAATACACAAGAATTTCCAGTTTCAGAAGGCTTAGAAAAGGAAAGCAGTCTTTGTAAACCGTGTTTAGAACGTATTGAGCTTTTCACTTGCCACTCTGATTGCAGAAGAAATTCATTCGAAAAAAAAAATTACAACATCTTTGAGTTGTAATTGGCTGAGCTGGTTATTACTTCCACACGTTAAGTCGAAATTTTTATTATTATCGATTTTTGCTGAGGGGTTTACCTACATCAGCCATGCTGCAGCATCACGCTCAATACTTTTTCCTTATCACTTTTCTGCAAGAGGGGGTTGGTGCAGCGAAGAGTGACAGTCCATTAGTCACTCTTGGAAGAGAAAGGATGACACTTTTGATACGGTGAATTCGGAACAAATTTCCCATACAACAAACACGTCCCAACAAGTTTAAACATCTTTTTTCCTTTCTCTTTGAAATTGAGCTGCTTTTAGAAGGAATGTTTAAGTAACCTTTTTCTCTTCTATTGTCGTTTCAGACCACTTGCAGACTCTTCGGTCTCCCATGGGTATGTCCAGTCTACTTTTTGTTTGTTTGGGTCGGCAGGAAATCAATAAAACAGTATTTTCTCCAAAGAAATTTATAGGAAAGAAATTTAATGAATGGAAGAAGAAATTGAAAATTAACAGAAGAAACGATGCAAAATTAAGAAATAAAAAGATTTTCGTTTAATGTTTCCAGGTTCAATTGCAATTTTAAGCGTCGTTTTTTTAGTAGGAGGAAACCGGAGAACTAGGAAAAAAACCCTTAGAGAAAAGACGAAAACTAATAACAAACCTAGCCCCCCATTTGACACCAAGTTCAGTTATCCATCCCAGACCAGGCGATCGTTCACATAGTCCCACCATTCACGTTCCCCTAAAACTACTACACATGAAATTTGATGTTGTACAAACCACTTCCTAATCAATACGTACACGTCTGGGTTGTTTCACACTTTTTCCCAGATAAAATAAGTAGTTAAACAATACAAATGAAGTTTTTTATAAGAAAAATCAATGAGGCATACCTTTAGAGTTTTTGATATTGTTTTTGTTCTTGTTTTAACTGTTTTTTTATTAGTGAGATTATTACGATCGAGTTATGTTACTTTCTCTTTGCTTTTTATCGAATTAAGAGCCTGCCGTTAAAATTTAAATGTTCTCTTTTCAGGGTGTGATATGATGAATAGATATTACAATCACGAGGAAACCTGGCACCCAGAATGGCCCCAGACAAATGATCGTCACCCCTGCATCACATGCAGTTGTCAGGTATTTGCATTGTAGGCTTGTTTCATAACTTCAAAGGAATTACCAGAAGTTATAAAAAAGACGTTCTTTCCTTTCAGTTAAAATATTTTACCACTGTCAACTATAGAGAAAGCAAAATGGTAGTATTGAGCGAGTTCCAAGAAGGAAAGGCCGAGATCTATATGTTGACCATATAAAGCGAAACAAGGTTGCTACAAGGCCTCAATTTTTTTTTGTTTCACCTTTCTCCTCAGAACTCTTCAGTAAATTGCAATAAGACCGTCTGTCCTGCGTTAACCTGTAGAAATCCTCAGCCGAAACCAGGGGAGTGTTGCTATTCCTGTCCAGGTATTTTTATTTTAATCCTTCAATTCTCAGAATTGATAAACAGGTCACTTTTCTTCTCGATACTGATACACCATCGGTGAATTGATGATAATAAAACTCAAACTTATCGGGAAAATTGTGCTGACTTAACCAAAAGAGCATTTCCATTGAGTGTCATCAAAACCAAATCAAAGGTATCATGACAGCCAATCAGAGGAAAGAAATATACAACCAGGAGCCAAACAGAACTCTATGTAAAAGCAAAGAAACTGATTGGAGCGCGTGACCAAGGCGTGATTGGCTTCAGTTTTGAATCTAATTTTTTGAGAAGATGACCCGAGTTTTTTGGACTAATCTTGAAGTAAAGCGAAGAAAATCCCGGAAATCATTCGACGCACGATTCAAAATTTCTTCAACACCAATTTAAAATGAGTAGCAGCTTGAAGAGAGAATTACGAGTCACATCTTGTAAGAAGGATGCTTGAAATTGTTTGTTGAACAAAAAAGTTCCGTTGAGGTCTTACAAACCTATGGGTTCCTTACAGCCGTAAATCATATCGATTTTCTATTTTTGAAGCGACCAGTAGTAATGTTTCATCTTGGCAAGAAGAACCAAAAATATTTGAGAATCCACCAACGCTCCTGACCCAAAGATATCAGATCAATGGAGTGAGGTAATTGGACTTTTCTCTCGTGCATTCAACGCTGAAAGTTCACCATAGGGCAAAGCCCAAGACATTTCATATTGCAACCCTCGTGTGATTCATGTGATCACTTTTCATATTTGGGTTTTATGAAAAAAAAAAAAAAAAAAAAAAAAAAAAAAAAAAAGCATGTGATTTAAGACCTTTTGAGGCTTTAATCACTCAGAAAGTCCAGTGCTCCGATCTCCAGTTAAACCTCAGCCAAAAATGAGAAATTTCACGACGGATTCCCAGTCACCAATAATTCAGAGAACTTTGCTTAATCAACTGAGCTGGCCACTGGCCACTCAGCTGGCCACTGGCCACTGGCCACTCAGCTGGCCACTGGCCAATCAACTGAGCTGTGAATTGGCCACTGCAGAGAGATTCTAAGGCTTAAGTTTCAAGCGTTAGCCCTTCGTCAGAGTGATTCATAACATCAGCTTTAGAATCTCTTTACGATAACCACTCACATTATCAGCTCAGTTGACAAAACCAAATTACCTTCGTATACCCCCACCGACAAAGGCATCACAGTTTTTTCAGAAAAGTATCCCTGTTACAAAAAACCGGTAAGTAACTTAACTGTCCATATATTTCTCGCAATCAAGACGGTCTAAGAAGTATCACTGTCTCGTGTGCGCTGTGCAAAAACCCTCACCAGAAGTAGCTTTTTCTTCAACATAACGACACTATAAAAAATAAGTTACTATAAGCTTTTTATGATGTTTATTTGGCATTCGAAAACAAGAATGTCAAAATTTCCATACCAATCACAGCTTCGAAAAATGATTTGAAAAATATAGAGGTGGAGTCGTTTTGTTAACGAGATCAGATAACCGTGAAGGGAGAAAACGAGCGCACGAAAATTATTGCACACTATCCAGTTACACATGGAGGACCCGTAAATTGACTTATTGCAATGTCAAAAAAAAAACAACGAAACGTGTGCAAATTGCCTTACAGGCGCTCAAATCTTTTTGTTGATGGCCAATTGAATGAGAAATTTAAAAGATTTCCCTCTGTTTACTTCATTATCAGTCAGTTATTACATTAGCCAGAGTCACCTTTCCACCGCAGCCCATAGCTTTTAACCTTTATCAGTTTCTCGTCAGCTAATAACCGTAATCAAGTAATGCTGTTCACTTTTCTAATGGTAATACTAGTGTAAATTTAGAAGAAACATTTTAAGCTGCTAAGCTAATGCGTGCTAATTCAGCCTTGATTTGCTTCTTCTTGCTTTTGTGGCTAATTGATTTCAGCTAACTCCTTTAAAGTGAAAAGGAAAATATCTTCCAAACCCTCAGGAAGTATCGGAAGTCTGCTAAGACGGAGAGGTAGGAGTTCCACATTTGGGCAACGCATTGCATTGCTGCAGCAGGTCAGGGAAAAGTCAGGGAATCTCACTTTGAGTCGGGGAAAATTTACCTCTCTTGAAAAAAGTCAGGAAAAAATGATATCTCAAATAAATATGAATTCTTTCATTTTGTCGTGGCCCTCTTATGATTAAAGATGGTGACACTTTCCTTTTTGTGATGATGATGTTACCCATCAAATGTACTTTGTTCGGTATAATTGGAAAATTCCCGACTAGAAAATCCTTCCCTTTGTGATGCAAGTGTTAGTTGGTTTATGACTTAAATCATAAATTTTATTTTCCTTCTATTTTCATCTATTTCCAATTCTCGGGTATATTTCACGAGACTATCAATGCTTTCTACATGTTGCTTTAGGCAACTTTCAATTCATATACACTGTATGTGACTTACTGAAAGCGTTATTTTCTTTCCCCGTATGGCTTTGAAAATTTTTGTTCCAACCAACCCCAACCAGGGTCTCTATTTTGACTATTATTTTGCACCCGCAATACCTTTGCTCTTACTGACCAAAATAATTTCATCCTCAGCTCGCTTAATGTTAGTTAACTCTTCATATGCTTATACTGCTAATATCTTACTTCGATTCAATAAAGTAAAATAATGGTAAAGTAAAAATAATGCTAACCCCTGCGAAATACATTAACTTCCTTATAGTGCACAATCGCAATTCGATTATCGTCGACTTCAAAAATTGGTCCAGAAGAAGGAAAGGTAGAAAAGGTAAATTTTTCACACGAACCAAGCGACAATGATTAACGCAACCTCTCTCTCTCCGAGAAGCAATGCTATCTTATCACTGGGGTATAAATTCAAAACCAAAAAGAGAAGCGAGAAGTATGTTGTGAGGCCCATAGCGGCTACTGAAATGTTAGTCTAGATCAAAAATATCAGTAATTTACACATCAATGCATTAGTCAGTATTCGATGTTGAGTTCCAGGTCAATTCGAGGTTGTCTCGATGCAACGCTAAAACAACGCATTAAATTCAGAGGAGTTGATAAGTTAGTAAGTCGGACGTGCTTAATTCATTAAATTACAAGGTCTCGTATTCTTATTGGGAAACCTCTTACTCGTTCGTTTGCTCATTATAGTGATACAGTATTTAAATGCTAACATGTGGTGGACTTTTTCTAACTTTTGACTTCCTGGACCGGAAAAAATGAGTCGTACAGTTGAAATTAGAAAGTGCTTCCAATTATTTCATCTTTTACGAAAGATTTAAAAGCTCAAATTTAAAAAAAAAATTTGCGCAAACTATCAGCGCCGATATCACTCTCAACCTTTCCACGGTTTGCACGGTATAAGTTGCCGAAAATCAACCTGGATTTTCATTATCAGGTAATGCATTGTTTCATACCCTTCCAGCGTGGCAAGGATCTTTATCACTTAGAACTTCAAATCATTCGGTGGAAAAATAAACTATAGGTAACTCAAAATAACAGTTGCGAGAGTCTTTGTGAATCTTTACGCGGAACGCTCCGACCCCTCCCTTCCCCTCCACAACCCAATGAGAACGTCCACCATACCCCGGTACTCATTCATCAGTCTTGGCTGCCCCAATAGGTCGTTTGTTTCTTTAGCTCGGTCCTGACTGAGTTGATCTTTTCTAAGAGTCATATTATAGTATTAGTAGTATTTAAAGTAAGTTGCGTACCCGCCACAAGGTCTCATTATCTGCTCTTCATAAGACGCAGATGTTCAAGTTCATCAAATTTACCCCAAATGGTTTTTTCAGTGTAAAATATTTATTCATCTTCTCATCTTAATCAATTGATTATTCATTTATTTAGTTGTATTCCATTTGTTTATTCATTTATCATATTGGTTTGTTGACAGAGCCAGGAATACCAAAGCCCCCTGCTGACTGTAAGTGGGGAGGATTAACGATTGCTCACAATACTTCATTTTTTCCACCAACTCTTGGTGCATTTTCAAATTGCATCTCCTGCTTCTGCAATGTAAGTTTTCGAATGACACAGTGCGTTTTTAATGTTTGTACATATCTCGGACGCGGGGTGGTTCCGATACAAGAAGATCCTTTTTTAACTCCAAACTGTTCCTTTTCCCAGAAACACTGTGCTTCGAACGCTTGACTATCTGACATTATAACCCACCCGCTAATTTTCGCGCAATACTATTGGCCTCTAAACGTCACGTGGTGCAAAGTCACCACACGAAGGCTCATGGTAAAGTCGAGGCCTTACCTTTAACAAACCAAAGAATGTGGAAATCAACTATACTGAGTATATCTACGTTCAATGAGAGTATTTAACCTTTTACGTCTCTTTTCACAGAACTCTAAGTTAGTCGATTGTAAGCGTGTTACATGTCCGACTCTCAATTGCAACGACACTTTTAAACCCCCTGGGAAGTGCTGCCTGGAATGTAGAGGTGAGCTTAAGTTTTCAAACATCTCCAGGCTTTTTAATCTCATGAAATCCATTCCCAGAAGAAGATAACCGTACTGCCCCGTGTTACGGCTATGCAAAGGAAGGGAAGCACGTCAGTCTCCTACTTCCTCAACATTACATCGTGTTCTTACTTCCTGAATTAGAATAAAGGCGAATATTGCACCATGAACCACCTTAAGCTGACTCTGCTTTTAGGTTCCAAAGAGTAACCTAGCATTTCAGAAATGTCTTCGGCTTTGCACAAAATGCGACTGCGGACGCACCAATTGACTCTTCGTTGAGTCTCAGAACTAATTTTTTTTTTATCACCTGGCGTTTTATTTGAACTATCAGAAGCTACATTATTTTATTATCTCATGATTAAATGATCGTGTCGCAGAACACGGTGTGCGATTCTCTGATTAGTCATTTTCTTAAAATACAAGCAGGTGAGCTGAGATAAGGTTCAACAGTTTTGTTAAAGTGCTGCTCTCTATTTGTATGTAGCTCTTTCAAATTATCTTTCAAAAATTTGGTCCGTACTTTTCGTTCCATTTTTACATCAACTTTGTAATCGAAAAACCCGTTTATAATTCGAATCTTTCCCCCACTTCCCCTTCTTAAGACTAATGTTTCTCTATTTAAAATGGGAAAAATTTCTTCTCAAGAAAAGTTCGTAGTTCAAATGGTGCGGCGTTTTGTTTTGGCCAAGAGGTTCATCAGATACCTTTGACCGGAAATATTAAGCAAACTCGTTTACTATTACAAACTCCATTCCCAAAGTTCAGATGCATGTTTCTTAAGGAGTTTGAATTTAAAGTCCGAAAGGGACGATGCTGATGATGCTGAAGATGATGTTGATGCGATGAATCAGCGTTCTTGCTGTATCCTTTTTATTTCAGTTACGACAGAAAAGAAAGACAACGTGCATTCACATGGAAATGGACTTTGCAATGTTGGAAAATCCCGGCGCCTCTATGAATATCAATTCCCAACGCAAAGAAACTCTAACTACAAGGTACAAGTTGCTTTGGTGGATAACGCCAATAATTTTGCGCAGATTTACTTCACCTCTGCAAACAGGACATGGAAGAATCCGCCCACTGTCACAAACACAACCAAGAGTAACTTCGATTCCATCCTAAGACAGAGCAATAGGTACAAGTACATTGGCAAGATAAAGGAGGGTAAGTGGTAACAGGTATAGTTACTTAAGATAGGTGGGAAAAGGAGATAATTTATAAAAATGCTCTTATTCACCACTTCACGGGTTTATTTGGAACCAACACATTGACCAGCTCCCAGTTGGCTTGTTAGCTCAGTTGATAGAGCGCTGCACTGGTATCGCAAAGGTCATGGGTTCAAATCCCGTACAGGCCTGAATTTTTTTTTCAGGCCTTCTTTTCACCACTATTTGAGTATTGTTCATTACTGCGAAGATCGCTTTCATATTCAAAAATGCTCTTCTTAGGTAAGAAAGGGATCAGGATCATGAGTCGACTTCAGCGTCCATGTGGTAGCCAGGGATGCATCCATACACTGCAAAAGATAATGGAGCGACTCCGTGAACGAACTAAATGCTCCCCGATGGTCATGGCTACACCACCTCAAACGAAACACACTACCATTGCTCCACCACCTCACAAAATTCTCAAGCAGGAGACAGACCCCTAAAACTTCCTGAGATTTTTTACGAGACGAAAAACATTTAGTATGTTTGAAGGAACGCCAGGACTGTTTCCGGCCCAAATGGTTCTTGTCTTTTAGCTACGCCATCAGTAGATTTCTTTGATGTAGATGTCACGCACTTCGTCGGCGAAGTCGAGCGTGAGGAGATGAACGGGTCATAGTCATTGCCAGGGGATTTATAGTTTGGAGACTCTACCTTAGACTTGAATTGAAAGTAGTGAATAAAATTTTGAATTGGGCTTGTTGAATGATTAGATAGTATCTGTCAGTGTCACCAACTACGGAGTCATTTCTATGTGCTACCACTGAGTTAAAAATCATAAGGAAAGCTCATGCATCTGTAGAAGAAGTAGAGGAAAGCGAAAACACGGACCTTAACAGTTCTGTACACAAAAACCTTGCTCTTGAATAGTATAGGTTGAACATGGTTTTAAAAACTGCTTCTGACACACGTATTCAAGCGAAGTTTAATCATAGTAGATCAGGATGGCTTATCTATCGTATTTTAGAACGGCACAAAAGATAAATTATAACTCTTCCATCCATTGTCGACCACGAAGCCGTCAATTTCGCGACAACAACAGAAGACAAAAACAAGAAGTACCAAACATTACGAAATTTCAATTTCCGTGGCTTTGAGTCTGCTTCAGAATCAGAATCAGAACCTATTTAGGAGCCTTGGTTTTGTGCATCCCTTTCGGTAGTAGCGTTGGTTAAGATCGCTTTGTAGGAATATAAAGCAGTTTTCAATTGAGTACCCAAAAAAGCAAAACCATAGTAATAAAGGGGGTAAGTTTGTAAAGAAACTGTGGTGCTGCGTCGGTGGGAGAGTATTACAGGGCATTTTAGCGGTATTAACTGAGTTGAGAACGTAAATTTGCCACCGTAAAGAGTTTGGAGGCTGACGTTTCGAGCGTTACCCCTTCGTCAATCGCTCTGACGAAGGGCAAACAATCGAAACGTCAGCCTTTAAACTCTTTACAGTGGCCAATTTACATTTTCAACTCAGTTAATAACACTAAAAAACCATAATAATCCCACCGACCGGTCAGGAAAAAAGTTTAACATTGTCATTAGCCAATTATAACTTAAGCAGAAATAAGCAAACTACTTAAAGCGCGGAAAAACGCGAATGAGCACTAAGTCGCGATTGTTTTCAGTTTTGCATCTGATTAGTCGAGAAGATGGTGCGAGTTTTCTGAACCAGTCACAGAGCAGAGTAAAGTATAACCAAAGCAATCACGGATTATTTTTGACACCGTGGTGAAAATTGCTCTGAACGATGTAATTTGCTGTTTACTAAATTTACAAAACATCTATCGAAAAACTGGGCCAGTTTGTTAAAATATTAATTGAGCGATAACAGTGAAGCTAAACTCTGCGGCATACTGAGGTATGAGAAGCCTTTCATAGAATTCGCCTGCGCTCTGCGCTTTTGTTTCCATATTTATCATCGCATTTACTATTTTGTCCCCTCTGACAAACGGTCTCAACAGAACGTCTACCAGTTTTAAAATTTCTAATTTCAAGTCTCTGTCTCTGATACTAATACAACCCTGCTGAGCTGTCTGGAAATTGTTCATAGAGGGCAACTTTGTCCGTGGCCCACGGACAAATTTGATAAACAGTGTGTATCAATTGAACAGAATTTGTAGTAGCTTCTTGCGTTCAAGACATCCTCTGCTGCTATTAGGCAATTATTGGGTTAGGCTGAGCAAGATCAGTCATGAATTATCAAAGCCAAGGCCTGTGTTACCTTCGGTTTCGGCAGATAACACAGACACGAGGTTTGGTATTTCACGACATCCTGCGAAACCGAATTCAATAATTGTCTTAATATACATTTTTCAAACAATCTGCAAATAAAGACACTTCTCTCTGAGTTTGCAAAAGAGAAAACCACACGGACGAGGGGCTCGGAAACTAGACAGACTTGTACTCGAAATGATATGTGCAACATCCGTTGCAGTTATTGGGTCATTACGTCAACTTATGTCATACGCTATTGGATATTGATTGCATGCACTGGGCCATTCGCATTTTTCACTTTAAGTCTAACGTATATGGGTTATTGACCAAGCTTGTGCAGTCAAGATAGCTAGATCTTGGTTGAGTTCTTCTTTTGCGCTTTTATAAACCTAGATAGAGTTGGGGTCCATAACGCAATGAAAGAACAAGGCTAATATCCAGCCATCTTGACCGAACAGACTTGGTCAATGAAAGATGTATTGTATAACAAAGAGATTTCGCTTCAATAAGAATCAAGAATGACTTGATAATTTCTAGATTCGAAAGAGGCCAACTGTGTTTGTAGCACAATGAACCCACGATGGTCGTTTGTTTTTCTTTGTTTTGACTGTTTTCTGCCGCTTTCTGCGACTTCATCACCGACATTATACAAAATTTACGAAATTTGTAAGTCCGCTCCACGCAATGTTTTTCATGCACGGGGTCAAAGTTGGTAATCCCGAGCAGGCAAGATGGGCCCATCTTGCCCTGTCGGGAACACAGGATTCGCTTCATATTGCCCACAGTCGCTGCCAGCTGTGCAATAAATAATGATATTAATCCTTTGCCTCACAGTTATTTGACTTGATTGCTATTTTCGCTCAGCAACCTTTCTAATTGAAGCGCATCTGAGCCGTCTGATATGGATAACAATCCAATACAATTTTATTCCTTGATTAAACAATAATCAAAAATAAAAATGGACAATGTATGTATATTTACACTCCGTTTCCACTCGTTGCGCTTTTAAGTTTATTCATCAATCTCGGGCATCGTGGCCAACGAAAGAATTGGCCCGTGTAAAGCGTAAGGAGCACACTCTCTGTCTATATCGTTGTTGGCTTTGTGGGCGCCCAGTTAAGTCTCTAAAATAGGCGGACCGAACAAAAAACCAGTTATTCTTTAGATCTCTGGTGTCCCATTCTTCTCACGGCTAAACGAATCAATCCATCAGCAAAACACAGGCTTGCTCCCATAGGGGCCAAGGCGACCACTCGAAAGATTCGGGCTCAAAATATTTCTTGGTCGTTTCTGCCTTGTCGTTTATTCATAGTTTTCGGGTAGAACACGATAACCTGGTCGACTCGACGCAGCTGTAATTAACTCTCTTTTTTTTAAGCACAAATTGTGTCTGCATGCTATATTACCAAATAATTGGTTCATGCCTGACTGTGCATATATTGAGTGATGGATGCACTTGGGCAGTTTGGAGAGCACTTGAGAAGCTATAGTTGGTCTCGGCTGCGCCTCAAGCAACTCTTAACAGCTTACGCTTCTTTAGTGTCCTCTTAGCTTCCTACTTCCTACATCCCAAACTCGATATACGCTCGCTAAGCATGGGCATTTTATTTAATTCGCTTTGAAACGTAGTTTAACGTTAGATAAAAGAAAGGAACTACACAAAAAAAACCCACTTCGGTGGGATAATTCTAAAATTATCACCACTAATCGGCGTTACCACCAGCGCCTTTGTTTGGAGGCTTGGCATATTAACTCCGCCCACGCTCCTTTAAATCGTGACGATGGCGGTTTGCTTCCTGACGCCTATTTACACCTCGTCAGAAAAAAAGGCCGCTAATTAGTGATCATATAAAAGGACCTCTTGTTGCAGCGTTTAGATCACCCCTGATGAAGGCACTAGACAGGAGTGTCGAAACGTTGGGTCTATGAATTATAACTTCTTCGGTTATATTCATTAAATCTGCAAACCTGAGTAGATCAAATCTAATATCAGAATACCAAACAAAAATACGAAAGCTGCAACGTCGAGAAATAAACGAAGCAAAAGGTACTCCATTTTCTCCACTAATAGCCCGTGAAGATGGTATGAATGGAGGGGTCTTCATGCTGGCTGTGGATTAGAATTTCATTACTTTTTCTGTAATCGGTTAAAATCCTCGATCTTTGTCGGTAGTCAGTAAATCTCAGTTAATGATCAAAAATGAAAATTAATTATTCGTAGGCTCGAGTACCGGACGCTGTTCTGGAAATGAGCCCGCGTTCTTAACCGGCCACAAGGACGGGAAATTCTTTAATTCATTGAATGTCCCAAATTTTGAGTGGCTACCTCCTTAGCTAGAATGCTTCTCTCTGAATACAAATATTTATAATGTCGGATCATGTGGGTTGTAAGTTAGTAATTACTAGTCACTGATTAAATCAGTAATTTTTTCTTTTTTTTTTTTGCGTCTTGTCGGTAGTCAGTTATATTCTTCGCTTGTCGGCTAACCCCATTCAGAACCTTCATTAATGTCAGGTAACTGACATTAATTTGCAATTTCAAAATGTAATCAGTATAATAAGCAAATAGATCCTTTGAAATTGCGAAGATAAAAACTAGGAAGGTTCTGAGGCATACTAGTCGTTAAATAATTTATTCGGTGGTTTATGAGGTCAGAAAGATGTATTTTTAATTTATCTCAGCTAAAACCAATTATTTTCTTTCTGATAAGATATAAAAACCTTCTTGATCCGCGCGTAATGTAAAATAAACAAAAATTACAGTTAATGATATATCGGAACCCACATTTATGTTTATCTCAGAGGCGTGGCTTGGAGTTTACATTGTGGGAGGGGAATTTTATAGTAACGAACCCCGCGCGCCTGAAAAGAATTTTTTTTATGCTGCTTCTCATCTTTTTCTATCAGCCTGCTCATTTTCCTGTGCCGAGGAGGACTAGCACATGGAGTATCTTGCGCTGAAAAGATTTCTGGCATTTTGATTCTTCAGATCTACGCGTTTCTACAAACCTGAATTGCACAGTTTGCATTTTTTAACTCACTTTCAAGCATATATCTCATAGAAGAAGGGGGGGGGGGAGGGAAGGGGGGGAAGAAGGGGTGTTATGGGCACCCCTGAATACCCCAGAGCGAATGTTCGAGTGTAACAGCCTTTTTTTTTACCATGGAAACGGTTAGACACAAGCTTGAGTAGGCAATGTTATCAAATGCAAATAATCATATTTTTCCTTTCTGCTTGCGTTTTTGTTGCGCTCATGAAACAGAAAATAGCTTAAGCACAAGGGGATTTATCATTTTCAGGTCACTGATAGACTTTTTCCAATCTCCTTCGGGAGAAGGACACTTATTTTCAACCGCTCTGAAGGAAGGGTTTATTCTTATGGTGGCTGAGAAAGGTATGAGCGGCGGCGAAGGTATTTCCAAATCCATTTTGTTGTGAATTGAGTACGAATGGCATATCATCTTTAGCAGATGCAACTTTCTGTTGCTATGCAGGTTGTGATATGGGAAATGGGAAAACCACTTCAAAACTCATGCCGTGCAATCGCAACTGAGAGTATTATCAGCCCCATTCTCTCCTTCCCATCGATCTCCCTACACGCGTAGGATTTCACACACCTGTGATCTAAAACAGTCATCTTGCCGGCATTCAGGTGTAAAACATGTCTTTTTTTCTCTTTACACAAAGTGCCTTATACTGGTTTTGCTTGCTGCTATGTGCACGTGTGCGTGCTTCGCCATTGTAAACCAGGTTTGTTCACAACCTCATTGATCTAACAACTTCCGGAAGTAAATGCCAAATAAAAATTTTATGACTCGACGATTGTTGTTTTGAGGATTCACAGTAAAATTACGACATAAGATTAACAATTGCGTTTCCTAAAATATTAAATTATCTTGATAAACATAATAAAATCTCTCGATTAAAAACGTTACATGTGAATAATAAATTATTTTATCTCACTCGGTAACCGTCGATGTGAATTCTACCTTATTCTCGACAAAAATGAAAAACATAACGTTTTTCAAAACGTTTAAAATTGTAACGCTTCAAAGCAGCGGTTAATCTTTTATTAATGACTTTTATCTTTCATCTATTATTTAAGACACGTACTTACATTCCCCCGACAACAATCAAACAGATATAGATCGTATCAAAGAGTTTTCGTGATCACGGAGTGTAAAAAGGACATAATCAGTTTCAATATCACAGATACATGCACCAATAGGAAGAGTGTAATGAGGCGCCTAGGATACAATTCATCTGAACAATTCACCACAATGCTTGTTTTGATCACGGAATCTATTCTTAAGGAGCTTGAGTAGAGCGGAAAGAAAACATAAATATTCAACCGCCAAACAGAGGGTTTTTTGTGAAAAGAAAAAAAAGTTGGAAGAGTTATTTTTGAAATTCGAATACTTCTGATCGGATAATACCCATGTGTTTAAGGATTACATAAGGGAGTTATTCCACTTTCACAACTTTTTCCTGCTTGTTATAATCGCCTTGTTCAAAGCGATGGCAGCCAACAGAGCACCTACATCAACTACAAATGTTAAAAAAGATCTGACATATTTCTCGGATGATCAAGAATTTGAGACAGACTTGGAGGATGATTTTGACGTTGATAACTCGCGGAAGAGCAAACCCAACAAGACAACTGTGGAGCGATATTTTGATGCCTGTGAAGCCCTCAACACTGTTCCTGTTGCCAAATTTGTTCGTCAATCTCCAAAAGGCCATGTAGATCTTAAACATTATGGAATACGAGATATCGGCGCCCAGGCAATCGCCATAGCGCTAGAGCAAGACATTGTGGTTACAACCCTATATCTCCATGACAACGGGATTGGAGAAGCAGGAGCCGTTGCTCTGTCCAGAATGCTCAAAGATAACTGTTTCGTGCAGAACTTTGACATTTCGGAGAACAAAATTGGGAGACTAGGCACTAGAGCAATTGGAGACATGTTACTGGAGAATGCTTCGCTTCAGGAAGTAAACTTAAGCGGTTGTGGAATTCATGGTAAGGATATAAAGCAGTTTTTAAAAGCCTTATCTGGCAATCCTTACTTGAAGAGCTTGGATTTCAGTTATAATGATCTAGGTGACGAGGGCGCCATTCACTTGGGCCGTGCGCTTTCCAAAAATCAAAAGGTGGAGCTTCTTGATCTTAGCTGGAACAACATTCGTGTCGCGGGCATCGAGGCGCTCGCCAAAGGACTGGCGACGAACAAGAAACTAAGACAACTGGAACTTTCCTGGAACTGCTTCTTGGACGAAGGGGCGAATCATCTTGGCTCAGCTCTGCTGAAAAACAATTGTCTTAAAGTACTGGAGGTGCAAAGTTGCGGGATTCACACTGCTGGGGTTTTCAAGATCGCCGACGCCTTAAAGAAGAATCAAAGCCTTGAGGTGTTGAGGATCGGTAAAAATCCCTTTCAGAGTTCCGGTGCGGGTTCACTTCTCCGCGGAATACGAGGCAACCAGACGGGTGCTTTGCGCGAGCTCCTTCTGGACGATGTGGTGTTTGACAAGGAATGCGAAAGGGAGCTGGACGCTCTGCTCCAGGAACGACCAAACTTCAACTGTTCTTGGGATGTCAGTATCAGGGGAGGAGACGCAATGAGAGGCAAGAAAAAAAAGCCAGACGCAGTGGAGATTTTTCTCGCCTTTGTTCGAACACGAGGTCTTCGTCTAATAGACTTGTTCAGGATGTTGGCCAAGGATGGAAACTCAACGACTCTCACCAAAACTGAATTTATCACTGGGATGAAGAAACTCAACGCCCCCCTCAAAGATCACCAGCTTAGAGCGCTGTTCGACGTCTTGGACGAGAATCATGACGACAGCGTGGAGTTTTATGAGTTCCTTAGCTCCAGGGGTCACTATTTAAAGACAGCGCAAAAAAAATAATAGCTTACATCTCCTGCCTGACTCTACTGCAAAACTCCAGTAAAACCTAGTTTACTGAAGAGGAAAGCCAACTGACTAGCACGTTTCGCATCATATTCTGAGGGGCGTTCTAGCCCCGGCGTGAAATCCATTTGAAATTGCGTGATTCTAGTTACAGACGATTTGTAAAATCTATCAAACTTAGATCGTTCAGCACCTCATCAGGCTTTCATAGTAGTTACTCAGATATACTCCTGGCCTGATGGAGAGAGGCGCAATGAGAGAGAAGCACATTGCCCGAGAACACAGCACAATGACCCGGCCAAGTCTGAAATCCGGGCATCTCGAACACGAGACCGACGCGCTAACTGTCGCGCCACAATCCACGCCACTACTTCTCCCCCCATCAAGTTAGTCAACTAAAAAGAGTCCTGCCTTCAGATGTTACTGTTTATTAAACTGTACACTGTTTCTTTAACACTCTAAAGACACTCAGCCAAGAGTGCGACCTTTCAAACCTGTGAGGAGTACTCTCAAGGTCGTTCTTGTCTTTTTTTTTTCTTTTGTTACATTTATCAAAATTGTTTTTATGGTATGAAATAACCGACACAATCTGAGGCAGAAATTTTGTTCAATCTTCGTCGACGTACTCAAACGGTTCTGGAGGGTCAGGTTCGTCTTCGTCTTCTTCAGTGCCAATACCCATGGGTGAGGAAGCTAACAGAGAAATCAAACTCAAAATAAGCTCATCGTAGTAAACCCTTTAACTCCCGTGAGTGACCAAGACAAAATTTCTTCTTACTATATCTATACAATATCATGCAGGCAAGTGATGAGAATAACGAAAAATATCAATTATGGACTTGCTGACTGATCCGATACCAAATTCTCCAAACTAACATAATGAGAATCATGTGGAAAACAGTTAAGAGAATTACTAATGAGATCTTAGGAGTTAAAGGATTAATAAAGGTAACAGGACCGAGTGGAGTCTTATTCGGTCCGTAATCATACAAGTGACTGACAAAATCGAACGACCGCGAAGCGGGAGTCCGTTTTGTCAATCACGAGGTATTATCACAGACAGAATTGGACGACAGGAAGTCCTGTTACCAATTAATCATAACTGTTACAATTTCCGAAAAAAAAAAACAAAAAAAAAACATTTAGGACAAACATACAAACATCTCTGGTAGACAATGTCTATAGTAAAAAAGTTCCCCGGGTTTTTTTTTTTCCCAGGATAAGTGGTCGTTGCTAACGTTATTGTGTGATTGGTGGATTTAACTGGGCGGTCTTAGTATGACTGGCTGCTTCAATTGTCCGCTTACAAGTGTCTAATTACAGCCAATTGTCCGACTACGCTGTCCGATTACAACTGTACAGAATGATTCATAAAAAATAAAGCAGTTGATGCAACAGTTATATTTCAGGAAATTGTAAACGGTTACGATTAACTCCAATGTGTGGAGAATACATTGATGCATCGAAGATTGAAGATTTATTGAGGAAAAGGAGAGAATCCGATACAAGGTTTAGATATATTCAAACAATTTTGGAACGTATTTTTTTTTTTCGGAATGTGAACGAAATCGTTGTTCACATTCAGTTCACTGACAGCTTTAAGGCAGTGACCAGCCTCTTTCCACAGACGAGTGTGGGCACAACTTCGCATGAGCAGAGTATCATTTGCAGAGAAACATAATAAAACCGTATTGGTGAGATACAGTTGGACTTGAGCAATATGTCTAATGTATCATAATACTAATGGAGGGAAATTCTCTAATAAAAATTTCATCTTTCCTCGAAAATGTCCGCAGACGGATGGTTCGACTGTGGTAGTAAATTTCTGTAAGTTACTGAGAGATTTATTACCAGGAAGAGGTTCGATCAAGTCCTCGGGCTCATCAGATTTGGAGTCAGTCATCATCACAATTCCTCCGATGTTAACCTACAGTGAAAAAAAAAAAAGACCCATAAAAATTACTAATTCATTAGCGCTAAGGGAAGAGCTATGACCGCTAACTTATTCTTAAAAGCTATCTCCTCTAGGAGTTCACCCTCTGACTCCTCAGAGTGATTAGCATTTTATTTCTCCTTACAATATTATCCTCGAATCAACCATTGGGGTCACAGGAAAAAAGGAAATGATCTTCAACTAAAGAAGCTCTTGATTGTGAAGTAAATTCTCCTTGTCAGCGCCTCAGGAAATGTCCAGAGAACAGTATGGAGAATATGCACATTGATGTTTGAGTGTAAAGAGTTGAACAAACCGCAAGGACTCCTTTTATTGGAAAATCACGAGGGGCTTGGAAAAAAAAAACCTCCGTGTTCCCCTTAATCCTTTCTGAGAACAAACGAATAACACCATTTAAGATAACTTAAATCAAAAGCTTCAAGTAAAGCTTACCGGTTTTAGAGGCCTGTATCGGCTGTCTTCTGGTAGGGAGATAACCTTGAGCTGCGGAAAGAAAGATGTTAGCATCGCGGTATATAAATAATTCAAAAGCAATATCTCTTTAAAGAAACGAAATCCAGGGAAGCCGAGATGATGTAGAATATAAAACAACCTTGATGCAGCGAGACTTCTTAAAAAATCAAATTTCAATGCATACAAATACACCACTTCATGGCAATAGTTAATCGCATACAACAAGAAGACATGCTGATAAAGAGAGAAACAATTTTCGTTAATGCGTCGCTGCTAACAGCATTAGTTTCACATTTTTGCCGAGGTAGAACACCACTTGAACCTCTTGCCACACGAGTTTTCAATTTTCACTCCGGTGTACCAGTCTGTGTATCTCAGATCAAAATAACTACAAAAATGACAAAATTCACACTCGGCGAATAATCAAGGGGAAAAAACCACACACAACATGCGGCGCGGATCAAAACTGGAAGATGTAAAAAGATAATTTCGAAACAATATGCAATATGACGTCTGGAAGGGATAAATAACACAAACAGAAAACCGCAATCAAGGCGGGATACTCGCTAAAGCTCTTTGTCTAGCAACCTAAAGCTTCAAAATATTTCTAGTTTCGTTCATTTTTGAAATCACAACTACTAACGAAAAAAAAAAAAAAAAAAAAAAAAAAAGAAGAAACGAAGGTAACTGTACAAACCTGTGCGGGTAGAACTCTTGCCGGGTTCTCTAACAATTCAAAGTCAGGTTCGTCTTCTTCCATTTTCTCGCTACTTTCCTTTTCACTCTTTTCAACAGTTGATTCTTCCTCGGACTTGTCTTTCTCGCCTTCTTTCTCCTACAAAATGTTTTAAAAATTGAAAAGATGAATTAAGCCCCGAGCCCAATCTTTTCGCAATTTACCGAGAGGCGAGGAAATTCTGCGGGAGTATATTTTTTTTCGGATTAGGATTTTTTTGTGTTTCGAGGTGTTTTATCGGTAGGAGATTGCTGCAGTTTCTGCTGGCTACTATTTCTGCGATTTTTTGTTAAACTAGTAGAACCGTAACGAAAAAAGATACTTAAAACCGTCAAGTTTGTCTAGTTATACAGTGGGAAGCTTCAAGATAGATAACTCGGCGATGAATATTTCGGGAGGGTCCGAACACAAAGCAAGCGAATTGTAACTTGGTTAAAGAGCAAAATTTTTAATTTGAGCAACGCTGCTAAATGACAGCAACGTTATATTTTAGGGGATTTTCATTTTATGTGATGAAACTTAGTTTTACGCAACGAAAACAAACCTAAACATACATAAAAATTAAACGGTCAAGATTTTCGCGCTTGACATTATATTGGTTTCTGAGGTTTAAAGTGACCACCATGCAGTATTGCTTCTTTCTAACCCCCTCCCCCCTCGGTACTCCCGACAGTAAGCTGGTACCCTCTTACACTCCTAGGTAGAGAGGAGAGCCATGACAACCCATCTACACACCAAAGTGGTCCGGTCACCGCTCGTACCCTGATATTATGTAGGATCGTTCCTGCGCGCACATGAAATCTTGAGTCAGGTTAGAGTTTTCTTCTGTGAAGTTTTTGTACAACAATCACCACAACCATATACGTAAAAGAGATAACGAATCAAAGCAACAAAGATTGCTGCTAACCTTTTTAGCTGATGAAGCTTTTCCTTTGTCTGCTTCCTGATCCTGTCAGAGAGGCAAATAATACATGCATAAAAATAAGTTATTTCCCAAGTATGCTGATCAGAAAACGCGCGTGGAGGAGCGAGTGTGCTAGAGCGCCATGATTCAGACGAAACGAATATGACTATCTTAAAGCCTTAAAACAAATTTGAACAAAGCAAAGATAGAAATATTGCGAATCAAAAGGAGAATGAATTGCTAACCACTTCCATCTTGTCTTCGGATGCCTCGGATTTCTTTGCTCTGGCCTTCGCCTTGGCTGTGATGGACAGAACTGCCGTAGTGACCTGGGTACGGAAAACAAAAAAAAGATGAGGGTACCTACCACTAAGTGTCTTCACTCTAGTAAGACGCAGGCAAAATAACAGGAAGATGAAAGGAAACACTTGCGGTTAACAGCAAAAAGCAGTACTAAAACACAGACTTTCATTTCAATTTTAAGCCTCTGAAAATCAAATCCAAAGAAGTTCTACCCAAGTAAGAGGATGAACACTGATTTTCTCATTATCTTGCCGAGGATAACAAATCAAAGACTCACTTTTCTACCTTCTGATCCTCTTCATACAAACATACCTTTTCCTTCTCTTCTTTCTTAGGAGGCTTCAGCGGTTCAGGGTAGGCGTACATTGATGGCTTCACGTTGGATCTGAACTGCATTTTGGGCATCTACAATGCAAATTAGTAACAAAGAAATTCACGGTAGTGCACTTGTTTCACCCTTTAACTCCCATGAGTGACCAAGACAGAATTTCTCCTTACAATATCAAAACAATATCCAGCAGACAAGTGATGAGAATAAAGAAAAATATCAGTAAAGGGATTATAAGTTGATTCAATACCAAATTCTCCAAACTAACATCACAAGAACTGTATGGCCGACAGTTGGAAGAATTGCTAATTAGATCTTGGGAGTTAAAGGGTTAAAATCCGTACCGAGCCTAGGTAACAGAAAATCTTAGGACACGATATAAATTAGTGACTACCTAAAGAGGAACGAAGTAAAATCCCCCAGCGAGGATCATCTCGTCAGTTCATTTCCGAAGTCAATATTTTCGTTTTAATCCTTTGACTCCCAGAAATGATTAACAAGTAACCTCTCCCCTCAATATCCATCCAGTATCCAGCCAACAGGTAATGAGAATACTCAAATGTATCAAGTAAAAATTGTTATCTTGATCTGACACCAAATTCTCAAAACTAATTTACAAGGAAATGTGTAGCAGCTAGAGGGGAGAATTAACAATCAGATCTTGGGAGGCAAAGGGTTAATAGTTTAATTACATATCTGCCTTAGTAACGCGTGAACCTTATCTGAACTGTTTACAACGTTGGTTTCTTCGAAGCTCAATTAGTTAGAACCTCAAACTGGCTTCACGAAGTCAGTTTGAACGCCACAGGTTTTTTCTCCATATTTTCTTTTTTTAGCTTTCTGTTCCTAATTACATGAATTGCATCCCTACTCCAAATTTCTCGCCCAGTTCCCTTAACCGTCAAGCAAAAACCTTGGATCGAAACTAAAAATAGTGCGAAATATTGGAGTCTTCATTTGTTTCTCTCTTACTAAAAAATAGAGCATTGATTTTACCTTCAAATCGGAATTTAGTCCAATGATACACGAGGGAGTAAAGGCCAAGGACAAGAAGTGAGAGAGTGGGAACCAGTACCACACGTGTGTAAATACAAACAGTCCTACAACTGTTGCCATGTGCGTGTGACCCGCGCGAGATTCGAGCGAAATGGTCACGTTCCGTCCACCTAGTAGAAAAATAAAAATGATGAGTAGATGCTTTATTTCTTTATGTTTCGTGAGACCTTGTGCTCTCTTTATGCCAGACGTCGGCTTAAAATGAAACTGAAAATTTCTGTGTAAGAACAACAAAAAGATGTCTCATCTCGCATGCGCGACGTTAACACATGAGTACCGTGCAAAATGCACGAAATGCAGTCACTAGCGAGGTGGAAATACTCACCGGCATCAAGGATTCCCTGAGCTAGGGTAGCGCCGAATTTAGCGATGACATCTTCGTGCTTATCGCTAATCACCTTTGCGAAGATCTCGCGGAATTTCATTACTTTCGGACACGCAAGTTCCGTCTGCTGGATGAGAACCAGGGAGCTGGCGATTAAAGCACCCTAGTAAAACAGAAACAGAAATTTAAGACCCTGGGCTATCAAACATTTAAAGCTAAAACAAAACCCTGCACTTCTGTTTTAAAGTTTGATTTGTTCAGCAAAGTTTGATAAGAACATATCATCTCATCATGTCTCACGCTCGTGACAAGAAGAAAAACATAATTCTCTCTCAACATATCATCTGTTTACTTGTTCGATGTCTGATTTACACAACTAAGAGCTACATCTTACCTGCCGCACATAGTTCACAGGGTCATTTGTCATGGGTTCCAAAAGAGCAATCGCCTCCTTAAAAAAAATAAATAAATAAACAAATAAGTGAATAAATAAATAAGTAAAGATCACAAACGTTGAGCTTCTTCGACATCGACCGAAACACTCGAGGATTTTCAAGTCTCAAACTACAAAATATTCTTCGTATCTTCTCTTCATTGCTTCTGGTAAGCGATAATCATACAAGTTTTAAGGGGCTAAGTTAGCAAACAGTTTGCGCGGGAGGTTAGGGCGCAGGAATTGAAATCGGGCCTTGATTGAAGTTCCCCACCCAGGTAGGAACCAGATTTGTTCTTGGTTTCCTTGTATTTAACTCCTTGGCAGCGCTTCTCCACCAGTCAACAGTTATTATTTCTTTTCATGACTGGAAATAACGGCCAGTGTTACGGTTAGTCTGATGTCAGTTGAAATACCTTTAATCCAGTGCCTGCGCAGGCAATACCCAGGGCCATGGCTGCTCCGTATCTCACGTGAGGGTTATAACTCTCTGACAACAGGGACACCACACTTGGGCACTGCTCAGGAGTTCTACAAGGTTGAGAGACACTTTCTTTAGTTTGGAGTTCTGAATACTAGTCTTAAAAAGCTATCTTGCAATGAAATTTACCCCATTTATTTCTCAATATCTCGATATCAATTCTCTACAGCGTCTGTTTGTATTTGTCGTGATTTCAGCTTTGAGAATTGCTGTTTAATCAAACAATTTCCCCAGTTGAAAATTAACCGTGAGAGTAAACTGTCTTTATCAAGAACATAACACAACGATCTGGAACCCAAATCGAGTCCCAACCAGTCTATCTTTGGTCCAAACAGAAGACAACAATGACCTACAGTACACTGCTCAAGTCTCTTTTTCAAAGATATTGCATATGTAATAAACTGAGATACACACTATACTTTTAAAATCGATCATATGCGATCTATTTTCATAAAGCTTACCGAAAAAGGAGAAAACCTAGTGACGTCACGGCGGCCCTTCTTACGTCATCACTGACATCGCTAACCTGTAATAAAAAAGCGTTTTCGATGATTTGCTGTAGAAAGTTTGATTAACATACTACAATATACTTAGAAAATTATATGGAAAGTCCATTTACAGCAATTAAGGAAGTCTTAATCTATGATGTCGTGATAGTGATTGTGACAAGTCAGCGCCCCAGTGAACAATTACTAAGAGATGACCAAAAGCGTTTCCTTGCAATTCTAACACGCAGCATCGAAGTGTGTGGCATTCTCGGGTGACATCGTTGAGTAACAGAAGTAACCAGACGACAAGAAAGCTGCGGAACAGTGTAACGTGACAAATCTGCGTAACCAGAAATTGGTGTGTACCAATGTTGCGCGACAAGACCGTTGCGTGACAGTATACGAGACATATATGCATGAATGCGTGGCAGGGTCGTGCGGCACTGTTATGCAAAAGTATTTTTTTAAACAAGGCAGTTGTGTGACGGCGTCATAAGAAAAATCTACAACCACGTGTACGTACAGCGACATGAAGGAGTCTTTTGATGGCCTTGTTGTTTCCAGTGCCACAGTAGGCCATGGCTACTGTATACATGCCACTTTGCCTCAAGTTAGGATCCTTGTCTTGCATCAAGCTTTCAATGAGCGCATCGGCTTCTTCCATTCGTGCGTACATCACCTGCATAATAAAACATCTACCTTAGAACACATTATCGATGCTGATCAAACCATTTGGCCTAAAAACCACTCCAATGATCCAAACTAATTTTTTACGTTTCACTCCAAGCCAAGCAAAAGAAGAGAGAACAGGTCTTGTATTGGCGTCACTTACGGTTAGCTCACGATTCACTTCGTTTTTCTCGCTCAATTGAGTTTTCCGGAAACGGAATTGAATGAAACAAAGAGACCACTTCTAATCAACACGAAAATGACTGCAACTGCTTGCAGACTATGGTCCAAGGTACAATATATGCACATTGCATATGCCCGTGGAAGATATCAGTTTCAAGATATCCAGACTTTTCACAAATAATAATATAACTTATCAGCCTTAAAAAAAAACTTCAGCCTTCCCTCATAGTTGCCTTTCCCCTTCCATTGAAAAAATATTTTCAGCACTTCATATTACAGCATTTTTTAAAGGTCAGAGTATAAAAGAAAATAACAATAACAATCGTTGGTTCACCGTAACCGGGTAAACTTGCTATTGTCACCAAAAGTGTTTAATCAGTGGATTGCAACTTACTTCTTTCCGTAACCTCGTCCTAACTCTGAGAAATATTTTTTCTCTGAATAAATTTTCGCCAGTAGGCAACGCAATGAAACCTGTTCCTATCATCGCAATTATAGAAAAGGTACACTGCTACTAAGTAATTCGGTTCGTTGAACTTACCAAAGCAATGCCTAAAGAGAGCCCACGAAGGATTTTCTCGTGCTGAGTTTCTTGAGCATACTGCGAGTCAAACACAGATCAGACACAAAAATTACATTTTATCGAAAGAAAGCCAGCCACTGAAGTCAAAAATAGAATGAAAGGGGGCATGACCAATCTATCAGTCACGATCAATCTTCAACAGAAGAAACGAAACGTTTTTATATCATAATTATCTTCCCCCAGATAAAAAAAGCAAAACAAAAAACAAAAAAAAAACCAAAAAGTACTTTCACTTTTATCCGTTTGGGCTAGATTTTAGGCAGCGTTGTAATAGAAAATAAGCTTATATCAAAAATGAAAAAAACTATTTTCTTTTCGCAGATTCTCAACCAAAAGATGTGCCTACTGAGTATTAATTCAGTGCAGGCAAAAATTCAGGAGAAAAGTATAGACACATTCATGGCAGCAGGGTGGGGGGATGTGAGGGGATGGCTTTTTAAAACAGAAACGAACGTACCCCAACCATCTCCTCGATAGCTGTGGCAGACTTTGATCCAAGCATCACAAGACCCATGGCAAGACCACAAGCTTCACCTGTAACAAAAAAAAAAAACCTCGGTAAACTCCTCTATCTGCAATCAAATGCACCGCAGCTTCTCGAGGAGAAATCGCCAAATGTTAAGCATCTCTCCAAGTGTTTGGTCAAAGTACCAACAGTTCCCCAAGTCAAAACCTTTGAGTTGCACATGAATATGGAGACTTTCATTGGCTAATCTTCTCTCAGATAAGAGTGGAAGAATTTTTAATGGAGTATCACCTGTGGATGCTACTGTTGGGTATGGAGTACATTCTGCTGGATAGGGCTCTGTCAAATTGCATTAGCCGAGCCACACGTACACCAGAAAAATTCATAATAACTGAAGGAATATACTTGAGCTATCAAAGAACTACTAACCTGTCACGGCATCATCCTCCCAAAGCTGTGTTTTCAACTGCTCATAGACATCTAAATTACAAGAAAAACAAAAACTTCAAATTCTTCCCAAGGAGAGTGTCAGCATGACAGCTGACATAAATAGTCATGTAGGGGTACTCTTGAAAAGGACTACAGTTTCTGCTGATTGGTCAACACCTCACAGGTACGACAGATCGGACAACTATGCCACATCCCTTCTTTCATTATTTCTGAATCAATTATTGACCAGCTTTCTGACAAAATTTGGCTGCCGCGCTGAAAACACTGCATGGTAGAAATACCTTCTTGGTGACATACCTTGTCTGGCAGAGCCCATGGCTGCCAGTCCAAGACCAAGGCAACCTCCATGCCTCACCATCTGAAAGTAAAATGCAAATACACGTTACATCTCCGATGAATCTGTGTGCAGCAGAAGAAGAATTACTGCCTCATTTTAAATATCAACTAGTCATAGTTATGTAGCTTCCTCATTCCTCAGTTTGTCTGTCCTTTTTAGAACTTATTCAAGACTTGAAGTCCTTTAGAGTAGAATAATAAAGCTTGAAATTTACACTTGTGTCTGTTCAATCACTTTAAATCCGAGACAGGCATCATACACGAAAACATGCATGTATGCACACTTTGCATTGCAAATTAAACACAACAAAGTAGGTAATAAAAAATTGCCCAGCAATAAATAACACGCATGTTTTTAAAGAAGTTATAAACTTTCTGACTTCAAGGAGTAGAATCTTACATCTGTTGTTGCATTCTTCAGTTGCTGTAAAAGATACTCAATAATCTTGCCACCATGGTTAGCATGAATCAAGCCTGTAACCAAATCAAGAAATATTAAGAAATGTCATTACATGTAAATGAACTTTACGTGCATATCCAACCTCCTCAAGTTTAACCCTTGGAAAGTTAAAATCTCGGATTGCATCGCTACCCTCTCCCATTTATCTTTATTCACTCTCAACCAATCAGATGCAAAACTAACCAATGACAAGCACTTGAGTACTTAAGTTTAGAAGTGAAATGCATAATAGAGAAAGAAGAATATCAGAGTGCAAAAATCCAAAAGTCTTGGACTCAATTCTGAAAGGAGACCTTAGTATGTTTGTGTCAAGACAAAAAGCATATTTTTTTCTTCTCATTTTACACACACCTGTTTACTTTCTATTTTCATTTTTCAATGGCTTGAGGGCTCACAGCTTATTGCTTTAAGCACTTGCTGACTTCTTGTCACATTTAATTTTCCCCTGACCTTTGCTTACCACTTGCAGGTTTGTGTTTTTTAAGACAATCCATCAAAAGTACTCTATTATCTATTTGTTTTATAAAATAAAGAATTAAAATATACAGGAAAAAAGTTTTAATGATGACATCATCTATACGTCTGTCCTCCAATAGATCATAAGTGAGAACCAATCAGAATGCATCCATAACTGAGCTTATTATAAAATTATAACTAACAATAGTTACCCAGTGCAAACAAGCCTCCTCCCTCCTGGTAAGCACTCCCTCCACTGCCATCTTTTGGTAGATAAGTGGACATCAGTTTCAGTGCGTCTTGCTCATGACCCTTTAGAGAAAAAAAGAATCAACCCATTCAATTAGATGTATCATTATTTCACACATGCAAAAAAAGAATTTATTAATTGCACCATGTATAAAAAAAGCACCCCTAACTATGTTGAAAAATGAGAAAAAGAAAAAAAAAACATTTAAAGACAGGAAAGAAATCAACTGTACACTCTTCCCCTTTTTGTATCCTAACATCAGTATGCATATTCTCCATACTGTTCTCTATACATTTCCTAAGGTTCTGACAAGGAGAATTTGTTTAACAATCAAGTGCTTCTTTACTTGGTGATCACTTCCTTTTTTCTTGCAAACTTGATTCAGGGGTGACATTAGGGAGAAATTAGAAGCTAGACACTTGCAGCAGGTAAAAGGGTTAAAAATTAATGTACTCTCCTTCTACATGAAAACACTCTTTGTTTCCCATCAATGAAAAGCAACTTCTGTTTTTAACAGCCTTATCAGTAATTAACTCTCATCCTCTCAAAATCTATAAACTAATGATCAACAAGTGACAAGGCACTAGCCCTGAAAACAAGGTGCTCAATCTTAACAATGTTGTAGCTTTAGCTGATTCTCATTACATGTACCTGTCTCTCTGAATTTACTTTTATTAACCCTTTTACTCCCAGAAGTGATTAACTTGTAACTTCTCCCTAAAATATCCATACATTACCCAGCAAACAGGTAATGAGAATATTCAAACTTATCAGGTTTGGTTGAACACCAAATTCTTGTCACCAATTTATAAAGAAATGTGTAGCAGCTAGAGGGGAGAATTGACAATCAGATCGTGGGAGTTTAAGGGTTAAAGAATTAGTACTGAGTGTTGGGATGGGTTTCCTTATAGAACAACTTAATTTTCATGCATGCGCTGTGGCAGAATCTGTGAACAATGCCATCAAGCTATCGAGTTAAAACCCCTCTTTTTTGTTCAGTTTTTTTCTCAATTTTGAAATGAATGTGGCTTTAAACACTGTAACTGTTTAGTGTAAGTTTTGTCAACGCCTTTGTTAAGGAGCTTGAGAGAGTTTCAATTTTACATGTACATACATGTAGTTAGTCACTGTTTGCAGCAACACTGAGAGAGTGAAAAGATACAACAGACACATACAGACAGATTTACCCACCCTGTGAATAACTCCTAAGCTTGCTGTTGCTGTGAATTTTGCCCAGTTTGTAGCCCTTCCAAGCCATTCAAGGTTATTTCTGTGTGTTCAAGAAGAAAAATCACTTTCAATCAATTATTCACTTCCTTGCTAAAAAAAAAAACAACAAACAAATGAACAAACCAACCACAAGGTTACTGTTTGAAATTCAGTTGATAGCATACCGAAGAAAGGTGTCACTTGTTGTCCCACAATGCATATAGGAATTAGCTATTACAGTGGCTGTGTGACAAACTGAATTTCTAGAAGCATCCTGTACGAAAGAAATAAAGAAAATAAGACCTGTGAAATTCAAGTTCTGGCTGTGACTGGTGAACAAAATTATCTGGGATTAACCTCCTTGTCTCTTCTCTCTTAAATACAAACAAACAAGTTACTAAATATAACATAGAAAATAGAAACAGACAGGTGCAGTGTACATAATATGTACAGTGTGCCTTTAATAACTCTGATTGGTGAGTTATGTCAGCATCAAATTACAAGTACATAGACTGTACGTAGACTGAAATTGAGAGGGGAAATAATTGTTTTCCTTCACCAACCAAATGCACATGTGCATGAACATCATCCTGTGAAAAACTTATGGATGCATAAAGCAAGTACCTTTGTGTTTTTGAGAATGAGTAGATCTGCATGATTATTTCTGATAAGGAATTCCAGATGAAGGGCAATGGTAGTCTCTCCACCCAGGATTGCCACCAACTTGTCAACTTTGTCAACCAGTTTTTTATCACTTTCACTCTGTGATGCATTGAAAAAAAAACAACAACAACAACAATTATTAGATTACAAAGAATCCACTTCTTTTTTGGGGGGGAGGGCGGTACTTTTTTTTTATTATTGTAGTTAGCTTGCACTGTTAGTTTCTGTATCACCAGCCCAATTGGAACACCAATAGGACAGTGTACACATCATGCTTGTAATTGGACAGTATAATAGAACAGTTTAAGGGACACTTGACACATCATGCATGTGCATGCACTATTGTCTCACATTTTGCCTGGTTAATTGTTGTTTACTAATAAAAATGCATAACATATAATCTAGTTTCTTTCTCAAATTTTGTCACTGTTTTGATTAATTGGTAACAAGACTTTGTGTCATCTAATTCTGTAATCATACTCACAATTGACAAATTGGACTTGTGCTTCACGGTCGTCCAATTTTGTCAATCACTCGTATGATTACAGGCTGAATTGGACTCGAATCAGTCCTATTACCAATATTGATCACTCACCAAAACAGCATCTGGTTTTGGCTTCTTAGCAGGAACTTCCTTCTCTGCTTCATCAGTGTCCATAGCTGCATCACTATAAATGAAACATCAGTTTTCATCACAATGGAGTTCAGTGGCTGATATATTTTTGATCAGGATCATAGAATGATGAGATACAGTGAAGGATGTTATGCAGACAAAAAATTTTAAAGGTGTGACATCCAGAACTTTTGATGAAATATTTATCTCAGTGACAGAGTTTTGTCTTCATAATGAGTGACACAAATTCACATTACAGTTGTGTCCATCTGTGGAATGATTACAGAGCTGGAGATTGTTTGTGATGTTTTTTATACAAAGGTCAGCCGCTGTGACTTATCACTGATCTGATTGTTGATTCTCCCTTCTAGCTGCTACACATTTCCTTGTATATTACTTGGGAGAATTTGGTATTACATCAAGATAACAGCTTCTAACTGATAAGTTTGAGTACTCTCATTACCTGTTTTCCAGATAATGTATGGATATTGCAAGGAAAAGTTACATGTTAATCACTTATGGGGGCTAAAAGGATTGAGATTTCTTGTGGGTATGTGAATTACTCACCCTGACTTCTCTGTAATGCCATTCTTATCAGCTTTTCCCTCAGCGGATGCATCAGTGCCTGTTGCTCCAGTACTGGATACAAAAGGTACTGTGGCTTTTAGCGCAGATGTTACAGATGACAGGAACTGTTGAGTGGCTCCTTCATACAGATCAAAAGCAATCTGGTAGGCCATCAAGGTTTGATCTTTCTGTTAATTTGAAGAAAAAGCCTGAGTTACAGTGTACATGTACAGGTTGTAACTTATAGATTGGCAAATAAGATATGAATGGCAGGCACATGTACACCTAAAGCCTCACAATGAGCCAAAATTTTGCTACAACTGACAGTGTACTACATATACCTTAAGCAAACACAGACCTTTGGTTGAGGAGTCTCAAATTGTAGCCACAGGGCATTTCTGTCTCCATCTCATCTCTTTCTGAGTTGATAATGTAAACTGACCCCCATAAAAGAGTCTCTAAAGCTGATTTTCAAGGGTCAGCTTTTCATCAAATTATCTTGTAATACTCTCCCACCACAATTTTTTAGAAGCTTATCCATTTTATGCATTTTTACAAAACAATACAGTTTAAAATACACTGTTTGAATCATCTTACCTCATTGTCTTTTATAAGTTTTTCCAAGATGTCAGCTACTCCTTGAGCATCATCAAGAAATATGAAACACTGAAGATTTAAAATATACACCATGTACATTTAAACCCAAAGTTACCATATTTTGTCAACACAAAAATAAACTGAAACTCATTCACCAAGGTGAATTTCAAATCATTATGTAAATGTCAAATACATACTTGTGCAGTGGTTTTTAAAAAATATACAAACCTGACAGACACTGATGAAGTCTGGCGTTGCTAGATTCATGTACAGTTGTACCAAGACTCTCAGAACCTGCAAAAGGAAAGATGCAGTGTATTTAACCCTTTACCTTCCAGAGTGTGATTAGTATGTAACTTCTCCCTATAATATCCTAACATTAACCTGTACACAGGTAATAAGAATACTCAAACTAATCAGGTGGAAGTTGTTATCTTGATCCAACACCAAATTCTCATAACTAATGTACAAGGAGATATGTTGCAGCTAGAGGGGAGAATTTATTTAGCAATCAGATCTTGGGACTCAAAGGGTCAATCAAAGCTGAATATGCTGTATTTGTTATGCCTTTGCAAGTAAAAAGAGACATACATTGAAAATCAGGAAATAGCACATCATTACTTAAACATCTGGCCCTGGTTGTTTGAAGGGCAGATAGTGCTATCTTCCAGATAACTTGCTATCCAGTGATAACTGTTACCAAAATGCACAGATCCAACACCAAATTCAACATCCAACAGATAGAGATTTATCCAGTGGATAGCATTATCCACCCTGGGAACAACCAGAGCCTGACGTATTGAGAGTCAATTGTGACAATTTAGCTTTTTCAAATTTGACTCTATGTTTACAATTGCAAAATTATTAAAGTTGCCTACCTTATTTCTAAACTGTCTACTTTGTATCAATGACATACAGACTGTTAGGCTGTAGGACAACATTCCAGGCACATCATCCTGAACAAAGGATTACATTCAGTTAATATCACAACATTTAACTTGTTTTTGGCTTTGAGATTCAAACTTCACAAGTTTTGACAAGAAACAACTCACTGATTTCAAAATTGCTTGTTCAAATATGTCCAGTCTTCTTGTTTCCAGGGCAATTCCAACAGCCTAATATAACAATAAAATATAACTTTCAGTTATATCTTAGGTCCAAATGACAAATCTTTTATCCACTGGATTGCATGTACAGCTTTGGTATTCAATAAGCACAGCCTCTTTTCTTGTTGTTTGTATAAATAAAATACAACACACAAAATATTTTCCTGCATTATGTATTAAACCATAAAATGAGATAAATCATGTGTTTTTTTTTTGTAATGTGCTGTAATTTAGTTGAAAAGTTTATTACAGATAGTTGCTAATTCCTCTCCTGGATGCATCCATTGTATGAAACATCAAGCATATGTACAAGTAGCACTCTACAGTATATACAATGCAGACATGACCACTAGGAGACAGCTCTGAACAAAATTTTTACAGTAAACTGAGACTTTTTATCCTGAAATTTCACTCAACTTATTTCTGAAGCAAAAATTTGACTAAATATCACTCTGACCTCAACAGAATTTTCCCCCAAGAAGCCTCAAATTATCATTTGAACTTTCGCATGAAATGAAATTTTCCCATTTTGCTTGTGTTACTTTTGCACAATACTGTACTGTACATGTCATATCGTTAAAATATTAACCTGTTTGTATTTTCCATCATCAAAACATCTTTTGAACATCCTGTCCACAATGGCTTCAAGTCTTGTATCTATAGTAACATCTTCATCTGGGTTTTCTGCTTTATAAACTCTTTTCTCAGTGTATGAATCAATGCATTTTGCTGCAAAGTAAAACACTAATTTATCCATACTGTATATTTAATCCTTTCATCCTAATAGTGGATGGCTTCTAAATTCTCCTCACAGTATTACACTTGAATCAAATGTAAAGGTTATGAGAAAAGAGAAAATGATCACCAACTCAAAAAGCTCCTGATTGTCAACAGAATTCTCCTTAGGCAATAATGATGTAAATGAAGATGGCGAATTTTGAACCTATTGTTTTAAATGAAAGAGGATATCATTCCAAGAATAACACAGGTATACTTTGAGAAAAAAAAACTCCCACTGTACCAAATAGGAGTAGAGCCCAAGACCTATCAATTGGTTCATTAGATGCCTTTCCACTGAGCTATAGGACATTTGTCGCAGGCAAGGCCTTTTTGACAAACTTCCTGCATACTGCTTCTGCTAGGATAGGAAGCTAATACATGTAGGTGTCTCCTTATCAGTATCAAAGAAAATGTAAAAAGAACAGTGTGGAGAATTTGTACACTAATGTTAGGTTGGAAGGGGGTAACAACTTAAGTTCATTTTGGAATATTCAATCATTAACATACATGTATGGTGAAGCACTTTTGAAAATGAATATTGAATTTGCACCAATTTTCATACCAGTTCTTCATTATTCTCTACACCAAAACTAAACTATGGTAATGAAAATTACATTTTTACTAAAAGAGGAACCAATTTCTTTTGTGTTAAAAATCATTAACCATACCAATGATAGTTTCCACATATTCTGAATGCCCATTCACATCAAACAGGTCTCCTGCTCCAAGTGCATATGCTAAGGAATCGTCAAAGGCTCCAAGGTGGTAGTACACCTGAAAAACAATGACATTGAAAAGTAACAGATAAGTTTCAAAGACTAAGACTGGTATCAAGTAGATCTTCATTTTTCTAATTGATCAACGACTGTTTGAACCAAACAAACATTGATTTGAAGAATTTCACACAATTAGAGTTCTAATCATCAATTAACATGCACCTCGTGATAATAAAAAATTATTTACCGAAGTTGAGGTAAACATCCACTATTTATCACCAACAGTAAGGTGAATACTTGTTTTGGTATGAACCACACAGAAACCAAAATATGCCAAAAAAATGGTTGGATAGTAAACTCTAGGTATGCAATTTAGTCTCTGGACCTACTCCGAAGAAATGGTACATGTAAAATTTAATGTAACTGCTATTCTCCAACTCATTATCCAACCAGTGGGTGCGAAAAGCACTACTCACTTGTGTGGACTGCACATTTCTAAGTCAAATTCCCTGTCAGTAGTCTACTGCATTTTATGATTACTTTCTTTCTGAGATTAGTAACTTCTGACAGCTAAGTTTATGTGAGGATTAGTTTACAGTATGTACCTTTGATGCCAGCAGGGCTGAGAGCTGTCTTTGCTTGAATGCTTCATCTTCATATAACACTTCACTGTTTGGTAGGAGAAACACAGTTCAAATCAAAAACCACATCCTAACAAGGATTTAACTTTTGTAAGAGGGTCAAATATGTTTACCCTTTTCAAACTATATAATCACAAAGCCAAAAAACAGTATAACATGTACATTATAAAGCCACACACATAACTTAACTCTAAATATACATGTACCAAAAAAGAGCTTAATTAATTGTAAGAAAAAGCAGTAGTTTGAAAAAATAAACCTCACATTTTTTCCACAGACTCAGAGATTTCTGCCCAGAATACATCAACAATGTGGTGCAGATTTTTAAGGGCAAAGACCTGTTCCAATGAAAGATGTAAATATCGGTTGTAAGCATATTATATCAATTAAAAACTTCTCTCAGTTAGTAATTATCATTATATCATCAAAAACAGTTTGGAGAAAAATTACATCCTATAACAGGAGTTATATAGTTCTTATAGGAAAGAGATAAGAAAACTTACCTTTAAATCATGTTCATTTTCATCAAGCAAAGCCAGCAGACCAGCTATTCAAGAAAACCAAACACATAAATAAATTGTATGTTTTTCTTCACCTATATGTAATAATCAAAAGCAGTTCAAAGATCTATAAGTGACCCTCCATGGGAAAATGGACACTAACGCTTTTCCATTTAAACTGCAAAACCGTTTACTATAAAATTGTACAAAAGTAGCTGGCAAGAAAGCCATGCTATCACAGGATCACGAGATCAGGGGTTTCAACAAAAGTGGACCATCGGCAGTCTACCATTTTATAATATTTAAGCAATAGACCACACTTGCTATTGGTTTGCTGGTGTAACAACCCACTAGGGATGTGAGAAGGACAATCACAACGTTATTAAATCACAAGCCAGATGAAAGTGATGAACAAACTTTTTATGTGTTCTCCCAATATCCCAAGTGGGTTATTATACTGGTAAACTGAAACCAAGAGCAGTCTATTGCTTGAAAAACTTACAGTGGCATGAATTCCTGGACAAGAAAGACCAGGGTGGGATATTTTTATGAAAACAGCCAGCGTCTATTATCTCTATTAAATAACTACATGTATGGGTTAACTAGTGCAACAAACAAAAGGTTTTTGACCAATCAGGGCATTCTTAGTTCCCAAGTTATTTTATAATATCTTCTGATGTTTTTCATGCTTAAGTTTAACTGGAGATGAAATAATTCCAAATTGCCGGCACAAGGAAGAAGCAAATTGAATACAGAGCCATAATATCCGAACGGAATCTACAAGCAAATCACTCTTTATTCCAGAAATTCAAGTTTCACTTCTTTTCCTTCCCTTCTGGAATATCTTTTCCTTTTTCTCTCTGTATGGCTCATATATTCTCGCTTTTATGAAGGTTTATTTCACGTGAGATCAATTAAATGTCACGAATCGACTGTGATCTTATAGTGTATTCCTGGTTAAGAGTATATAACCTCCCTAACACAGCCGATTTCATAAATAAATAACGATAGAAATACTAACACAACTTGGAACGTCTAACGTTTGTCAAACGAGAATTCTTATTAAAGTCTTCAGTAATCGATTTTGCTTAGTCATAAATTAAACTGACGAACGACCTCGTGAGAATACCATAGATTGTCAATTTGAGGCATCACAGAAAATAATCTACAAAATAAACACTTATTACAAACCTGCTGATGTCAAACTCATAATATCTGACTAAGACCTCGGTGTGTCTTACAGAAAAACTTTCAAAGAATATTATTCTCCTTTCACATGGACACCGAATTTTCTTTCTCTTTTACCTTTAGGAGGGGGCTTTGTAACCAAGCTTTCAAAGGAAGCCTGGCCTTCCATTCCCATAATGCCTTTCAAAGCTCCGTAAATAAACATGGTGGACCTACAGCTGATGCCGAAGATATTTTGAATATTCTAATCTGCTGTTTAGATTTTTGCAAAACATCTGTTCTTAAGAACTGATCACAATGGCACACAATGAAAGTACTCTTCGCCCGTTTGGTGTATCTTCCTCAGTATGAAATGTAGACGTACCATTCATGGCAACTGACAAAGTATTTACGATCCGAAATTTTGAGGGAGAAAGGCGAGTTATTCCGCTGCCAATTCAGACATACTTCTGGCGGCAAACAAGGTGAAGTGCAAATCTCCTTCTTAACAGAAATCAGGCGCTTGTTTAGCGTTAAATGAGGTGGAATATTCGCAATAATGCTGACTGTCTCAGCTCTTGTCCAAAATTAGTTCAGAACCTATTATTATTAATTTTACCTGGTGCGATGTTCTTTTTCCTTAACCATAAGCTTATTTGAAGCAAATGAACAATAACCTTCAAGAGGGTCTAAGCCTATTTTTTTTGTTAACTGAGCGCTTTTTCGGGTGTTCCTTTGTAAGCTTTAAAACTTAATCGTACTCGTTACGATCAAACGTTTCACGTACGCTTTCACGTACTGTATACCGTGGACATCGTGATAAGTACAGCCATGAGAGTATACTCCATTGCTTTCGGCCGTTTGCGTTGATCTTAAAAGAGCAGAGATCGTATAGTGATTTGTAATGCTCTTTTGGAAAATATGATAATTCGAAGATCGATTAAATATCTGATTCTTCTTGTGCGGTGTTTGCCAAGTGAACGCGACTTTTCCTAAATTTCAGACTTCCTTTGCACGTGCAAAAAAATGTTGTATTGCGTTAGGATTTAAGTGATGGGTTTATTTTAGACTGTGTGTTATGATTTGATGCAAACTAAATCTCTGTTTTTTATTCATATGGTCTTTATATTTTTATGATAGATTTCTAGTACACTGCATGCATACAGAGAAGCACTTTGTGCCTACTTGTGAAGTTGTATGTTAAGTTTTCAAGACAATCATACATATGCTGACCCTGAAAAAAATGAGACATCTTTAAAAAAATTTCACAACTGATTTTCATTAAAGAATGTTATCAGAGTTGAGATCAGTTTTTTTTTACACAACATATTTAAAGATCAACACTCTGGGCATACTTGTGTGGACAAGTATGTTAAGCTACAGTTGCTGTAGTATCTTTAAGGATAGAATCTTAATGAATAGGGATTTTTTTAAATTAAAATACAGCATACCTGTGAAAATCAATTAATTGCTTGTTATCTCAACCCTTCAACTCCCATGAATGTTCAAAACAGAATTTCTCATTACAATATTAATACAATATAAGCAGACTAGTGATGAGAATAAAGAAAAATATCAATAAGGGGATTCTAAATTGATCCAATACCAAATTCTCCAAAATAAATGTATGGCAAACAGTAAGGAAAATTACTCATGAGATCTTGAGAGTTAAAGGGTTAACCTTTTAATTCCTGTGAGTGACCAAGAAAGAATTTCTCCTTACAATATCAATACAATGTCAACCAGATAAGTGATAAGAATATAACAAAATATCAATTTGGGGATAAAAAGTTGATCCAATACTAACTTCTCTGAACTAACATTATAAGAATTGTATGGTTGACATTTAGGAGAATTACAAATTTGATCTGGGAGTTAAAGGGTTAAGAGCAGTTCTTCAATATACACATGTAATGGTAATTGAACCAATTAGAGCACAATTTGGTCTGAATTGATACACTTGATTTCAAAATCAAACAAGTGCGCAGGGCGAGTTTGCTACATGTACCCAATAGTCTCTGATTATTATGCAAATAACTTTTATAGTTTACTATACTTCTATCTAAATTAAATATGGAACTGCATGTAGTAGCTGTAAGAAATTTAAAAGAAAAAAAAATTGATGCTTTTACAAATAATCACAATTTTGATACATTTTTCCACTTTCATTGCAGTCAACTACTGAAACCAAAACTTGTGAGGAGAAATTATGAATCAGCCTGTTTGGTAAGACATCACCATTGCATATATTTTTATTTTGTAATTTTTTTAATTTTTGAAATGGAAATTTTACACAAGTGTTCCCCAGCAGAGAACTTTTGGTGTTCCAGTCTGGTGGGGCACAGTTCACTCACTTTTGTCTTGAGGTGACTTTTATGAAGTAGTTTCACTGTAACTAAGGATGGGTGCAGGCAACTGTTTGTGGAGCATTATCCACTAGGGTATGTCTGAGGGCCACAGTTGATTCACCTTTGTCTTGGGGTGACTTCTATATAACTTTACCTTCATGGTGCACAGCTTCAAAAGCTAGGCATCCAGAGGCCTGAGATCAGAGTCTTCAGTCTGATGTCACTCTCCTTTAACTCTCTAACTCCCAAGATCTGATTGTTAATTCTCCCCTGTAGCTGCTGCACATTTCCTTGTAAATTAGTTATGAGAACTTGGTGCTAGATGAAGATATCAGCTTCTACCTGATAAGTTTGAATATTCTCATTACCTGTTTGCTGAATAATGTATGGATTTTGTAGAGAGAAGTTTTATGTTAATCACTCCTGGGAGTTAAAGGGTTAACTGCTCTTACATGTTGTTGCGACTGTTTTGGTTGCCATAGTAAGTGAAAAAGGTATTTGGCAATGAAAACTTTGACAAAAGTCACCAATTGGCAACCAACCGATTAAAAAAAAAAAGGAAAAAAAAATTTGGAAAATTTATTGATCATTGGTCAAATTATTAAACAAACAAACAAAAACAAACTGTTTGGAACTCCTAGGTACATATATACCTAAAATGAGCAGTGATCAAAGCAAACTGTTTTTGTTTAGATAAACTTCATTTTATTTTACATGCAGCATTTAAGGCTAACGTTCAACTTTGCATCACAAAGTATGGTGACTAAATATCAAGTGATTCAAGGTGTTGATCGCAACATGGAAGGTTTTAATACCAATATTTGGGCTTACTTTAGAATAGAGATGTTTCTCAGCTGAGCGATAGATCAAAATGGTATTAAACATGATTTGTTGTACACATGGTCTAAGCAACTTTGTTGTAAGTAATTTCTGCCTCCAGACATCAGAGCTTTTTCATTCTCTCTCTCTCTCTCTCTCTCTACTTTTGGAGGTGACAAAAATTTTAATTTTATGGCAACCATGTTACAATTGAAGGTTGCCAAAAGGTAACTTTTTGAAAAAATTGAACTTGGTGCCCTGTATAAGCACAGGTTTGAGAAACAGTGTGCAACTGATCATTGGTGAAGAAGTTTCACTGTAACTATGGATGGACAAAGGCAACTGTTTGTTGAGCATCAAGCACAACATTTGGTTCTTTTCTTTTTTTTGTTTCCGAAGTTTGTTGATTTTTTTGCATGCATAAAAGGGGTTTCCATGTCTTTTTCCTGAAAAAGGACTTCATTATTTCTCTTGGTGTGGCTCTCTAAGTGAAACAGGGCTGAAACATGATGTGGCAATAGTGGATTCTTTAAATAGTAAATAACATCATGATAAAAAGTCAAACTACATGTTATTTCCAAAATTTAAGATGCAACAACTGGTATAGTGTATTTTTGCCATAGTGAAAATTGAAAAAAAGGCAAGCAAAGTCTGAAAAAAATCTAGCATCTTTATTTACATCGTCAAGAGCAACATATGTTTTAAGGTGAAAACCTTTGACTTCTTTTCTTTTCTCTTTTTTGTAGTCGTTTGAGAGAATAATTTGTGAAAACCGAGTTCAAGATCTACAGCCCAGTTTAGCCAGTGCTGTGAAGAGCATAAACAGATGGCACCTTATACAGTCATCAGTGCCTTACATCCTTCAGTGCTGCTCCTTGCTTCTTTCAAACAGGGGGCGTCTGGGAAATATTGATAGACTTGGTAACGCAGAACGCGAACTCTTGTTCACACTTCACTGGATTTTGCTAGAAGGACCTCGTGTTTGCTGTGTTGTGGACACTGATAGCTTGCTCTATCCTCTGACCACCATCGAGCAGTTTGTGCATGAGCTCACACCTCATGTGTACCACATGCGAGAGAGCGACTTGACATTTAGACTAGAAAATGGAGTGGCCATTTGGGGACCCCTTTGGAAACACGAGAAGCCATTGATAACGCCATTTACATGTGAAGTTATATCAAAAGATGCTCACGCTGAAAATGACGAAAAAGGAAGTCAGTCCAGTTCTGCAGATCAGAGCACATCAGCTGACTCAAATTCAGAGTTTTCACCAGCCACCTTTTTCGATGTTGCTGTTTTGAAGTGCTTGTTGTCAACTGGCTGGGATGAAAATGGTGTCATGTGGGCACTGCGTTATCTTACTGCTTACCTCAAGAGAGAATTCAACCTTTGTGATCAAGCAACAAGCAGCGGGGCATCAGGAGAGATCAGAAGTGAAATTTCTGCTCAGGGGCCCACAGTTTTAACAGTAAATCCGGGCATCAGTGGGGAAAGAAGTTTAGTCCAAGGTAAAAACAGTGTAAAACCAGATGGAGCAGAAGTGGAGAAGATCAACAAAGAAGGTAATGCACAGAGTGGAAGATTGGGCAGCCAAAGTGCACCCAACGTGTCTTCAACTGTCACTAACAGTGTACAACTCACAGTTCCTCAAAGTGTAACAACCGAGCCTAGTGGAGAATCACAGTCGGATAACCAGAGCACTTTAAAGATTCCAGATGGTTCTGATGAAGAAAGATCAGCAGCCCAAGGAATAGAGCGCACAGGCTCCATAAGGTTGAGAATAAGGGTGCAATCATCCCCAGGGGGCGCAGCAGGGGGACGAGTGTTGACAGCCGTACCCTCACCGACTGGAGGCATGACCCAGCAAGAGGAGAAGACCATAGCCAATGACGATTCTCAAGATGTCTGCGAGACTAGGAAATTTCAGAGTACCAAAGTTTACATTAAGCCATCAAATGCCCTTCAAGTGCCCTTGGTTGGTACTGGAGATACCAGTATGCAACACGGTGGTGATCCGTTAGAAGCCAGTTCCGAGGCAAGGGATCTTCAAAGTGGACGTCTGAATGATGTTCTTACCAGTGTTTCTTCAGTTAATTCTACTAAAGAAACGATTTTACAAACTGACCGTGTAGAGTCCTGCTATAGCACCTCTCCAAACTATGATGGACAAGCTCAACCGGATCCTTCTCTGATGTATACAAGAAGTAAGGAATCGAGTAATCATGTAGCTTTTGAGAGCATGGTTTCGTATGAAAATGAAGTCCAGGAATTCCAGGGTGGACTGGTGCAAACCGGTGACGTAGCAAAAACAGACCAACTAAAGGATGAAGCAATTTTGAAGCGTCTCTCAGAGCATACAAATTCAAGTCACGCAAGCAGCAGCTCGGTTGAGAGCGAGGTCCAGCCGCTTCTTAAACCTCCCAGTATTGCAACAACAAACAGAAAAGCCCTGGCACTCCTAGGTCTGTGTGAAAATCCAAGAACATTTGTCAACCGCGATTCGCTCACAAAAATCGACCGGTACTTTGTGTTTCCAGGTGCAGCTGATTACATCACTATTGACGGCCGACTGAGTTCCCTAATGATCTTACAAGCTCTGTATAACATCACGCGCGAGAATCCTTCCGCATTAATCAGTGACATGACTCTCACCATTCTGCAGCAGTTGGTTACGATTCATCAAAACAAGAAGTCCAAGAAACGAGGGAGTTCTATCGAGGTCGATGATCGTACTGTTGCTGAAACACAGGCTGTGGGATTCCGAAGCCCTCACTCCGACAATATCCTTGGTAGACTGCGCGCTAGCTTCTACGGAAGGCCTCCAAGTTTCCTCAGTCTAGCAATGGGATGTCTAGTCAGTGTCGTCAAAGCCTTAGGATGTCCTTTGGGTAAATTAATGCTATTTTTCTTCCTTTGTCACTGTGTTAAGTTATTGAACAGGGGCTTGGAAAAATTTCATCGGCTAGTTAGTTAAAAAATGGAAAATAGCGTAATTGTACTTTTCCCTTGTCGAGGCGGTTTTCTCTTCCATTCCATCGATTAAGCATTTCTTTTAGCACTTTTGCAGCACATTTGGAATGTCGACATGCTAAGATTAAAGGGTCCCTAGAGCGACGAAATGAGCCTTTGAATTCACCATCCTTCCATTCTCAAAAGCATTGCCCTCTTTCGTTCGATTACAGACACTCTTTGAAGCCCAATCTTTTTTTTAAATAGCTGTTGCTTCTGTACATCTGCAAACTAAATTTTAATCCTTCATCTCCGTTATAGGATGCGGAGATGGCTGCCGAGGGAACTCTGGTGATCGACTTCGAAACACAACAAACAAGCTCCTGACTCAACTCCTTCGCAGTGAAGAAGCTGCATTCAAATTGTGGCTCCAGCAATATGCGAGATTAGAACCTCACGAAGACTTGGTGGACTTCCTTCATGCCCTGTTGGGCTTCTGCGAGGAAGACCAAGAACAATCTGATGATGAGATGATGCCTGTCGCAAACTCTGACAAACCGATGAGAAAGAAAAGTCTTTTTTCTATGCCAGAAGGCGTCAATGGTGTCATTATTGGCAGCATTTTTAAGATCCTGCTCACCAGAGTGGCTGAGATGAACTTCCTTGAACTAAAAAATTTGGTGAGTTGTTTAACTAAATCAGATCTCTCACATCAGGTAAACCCTAGGAGTGGCCATTTTAAATAAAAGGGTGAGTGAAACACTCTGACAAAGGGCTAACATTCGAAACGTCAGCTTTAGGCAACTTTGACCCTCTAACTCCCAAGATCACAGTAGTGATTCTCCTTATTGTCTGTCATACAGTTCTCGTGATGTTAGTTTGGAGAATTTGGTGTTGGGTCAACTTATAATCCCCTAATTGATATTTTTCTTTATCCTAATCACTTGTCTGCTTTATATTGTATTGATGTTTTAAGAAGAAATTCTGTCTTGGTCACTCTTATAGAAGTATCAATAGCAGCAGCAGCAGCAGCAGCAGCATTAGCAGCAGTAATAAAACTAGTAGGAGTAGTACCAGGATTAATAGCAGAAGCAGTAGTAGTAGCAGAAGCAGTAGTAGTAGCAGTATCGGTAGTAGCAGTAGTAGCAGTACTGAAATACTTAACTCCCAAACTCACACTTTTCATAAAAATATCCTTATTTCACTTTAGACTTTTTATGGCGAACTCCGGCAGCTTCTGAGGTTTGTAAAAGAATCGTATGGAAACATATTCTGGAAAGTTGCCTTAAGTGGACTTCGGGACTCAGCCTACAAAGAATCGAAAGATCAGCCAGATGCAAGCAAAACTCCTGCGCAAGATTCGTCCACTAAAAAAGTGTCGACTGTCAGGAAAACATCAGTGGCTAGGATGAAAGTTGAAAGAACTGCTACTTACAAAACTAAGCGCACTCTTTTACAGAAGCTTGTTCGGATCACATCAGAGAGCGCTGATAGCAGTGGCAGCCTAACACGAAGTCTGAAGTTTTCGTCTGCTGTGGAATCCAGTCCTTCGGAGACAGCGTTGTCTCCGAGAAGTAAAAGAAAGGTTGGTTTGTGTGTATATTTGGACTAAAACAACGGTGCTAGAGTCACCTATTGTGTTATTCCCAACATTAAAAAGAACACATGAAGGTTTAACGAAAAGATTTCCGTATAATCACTTACTAGCTAACGACAACAATAAGTCCCCACAGAAATTTCACTTATTTTCAACCGCAAGTTTGTCTTCCGACAAACACAAACAAATCGCCTATCCGCCGAAAAAAACCTGAAAAAAATAACAGTACTACACGGTACGTGGTAGTTGTTGTAGTTGTTGTGGGGAACTTAGGCAAAGGATGCTGACCCTTTCTTTCTTTGCTCCTCTCTCGTGACAAGACGATAAACCTTTTTCAGCTCTGAGTTAACCTTCTTTCTTATTACACACGTCTTTACTCACACTTTGTTTTCGACATTGCTGATCCGAGCAAGAACACGAAACGCGTGTTTCAAATGAACTTGAAAATAGCCAAGCTGACTTAAGAGTTATCTGTAGCGTGGTTGAATAGCATTGGAGCGCGGAGTTCATGGTTTTGAGATTCGATTCCTTGTAGAGACCTCACATTTTTCTATTTCTCCCACGCTCGGGTCAAAATGAAAACATATCTCACTTTTAATACGTAGATATTCATCCGGAAGAGGCAAAAAGCTATGGGCACTCAATATGACAGTGATGAAGACTTGCTGGACACACCAGACACTCCATCAGAACAGCGGCCAAGCTTAAAACGCAAGCTCCTCAAGTCAAAGACTCCTAGTAGAAAGAAATTAGATGATATCTTCCCAATAACGAAGAAAGGAGACACGACGCCATCCACGTTGAGTGAACCTACTCTGCCCATTGATATAGTGGTTCATGAGTTTGAAACTAAACCTGTCGATGTGGAAGCACTAAGGTCTGGTATGGTCAGGTTTCGATTTCTCCTTCATGGTGGTCAGCCGGGTTCCATACCAGATCCAAAGATTTTGGCTTCCATGCTGGACTTGGTGAGTTCAGGATTAGCCATGTCATTAAAATGCACTGCATTAGGAGCGGGTATTGAAATCACGAAGGGGCAGGTCATTATTTATCGTCTTGGGGAAGGGTAGGGGAGGGGGGGGGTCGGGTCAGAGGATTTTGGTTGTGTCAGTCAATGTTCTGTAGGCTCCCCCTCATATTCTGTTGGTGACGACTGATCCCTTCTCCGTTCCCCATGAAATCCATGTGTCTCCCTCTCCCCCCCCCCCCCCAAAAAAAAAAAAAAAGAGGAGAGGATCCTCTGCCCGCTTCCTGGAAATAATTATCTATTGGTTCCCACTAACTTTCCAAAATCCGAGCCTGTCGTAGTAAAAATAACCTTGAAGGTTTTATCACTGCCACTAAAGCAACCGTTAACCCTTTAACTTCCACGAGTGACCAAAACAGAATTTCTCCATCCAATATCAATACAATATCAAGCAGACAAGTGATGAGAATTATTATTATGTTATCAAACAAAACATTAGTAGTGTAAGATTTTCAGGGGAAGTCATTCATAACTGCGCCAATGTTAAAGATCCCCTAACAATTACTCTTTAGGAAGCACCAGCTGTGGCTAGAGCATGTCTCTTGTTGGAGTGTTGCGTCCTTGTTCATAGATGCAACCAAGGCGAATGGCCGCAGTGGTTACGAGGCAGTCTTCCATCTCTTGCTCATCGTCGAGGTGGAGTCTCATCAACTTCTGCCACACCATTCATGTTCGCTCAGCGCCGTAACCTCGTTGCCATGCACGAAGCTGGTGTCCTGTTCCGTGAATGGGGTGTTGCTTTGGGCAAGAAACTGGAGCAGGTGTTGGCAAAAAAGAGGAGACATTTGCTGCCGTCCATCGACGAAGAGGGTGGGAAGACTGTCCTTACAGACATGGATGAAATGGAGGAAGACTTCCTGGACGAAGGTTTGCAGCAATAACTTACAATTAAAATCATATTTTTACGAACTGAAACGTAATATAAATACAAGTTTACTCTTTCACAGGAGGCCCGTCGGGCTAAACTGTGTGGCTGTTTCTCTGAATTTAAAGGCAATGTATGGGGATATGGAAAGCTCCATATCATATATATATGTGCATGCACATTTACCATTCAACATACTTATTTTTGATGGAAGTTTTGTGTATTGTTGATCTTTTAGCTGAACATGATAAATTTCACGATTTGAAGATTTTGGTGGTTGATGTTTTCTTGAGCGACAACAAGTTTATGATAGTACATTACGATGGTTAATAACTTTTCAATCTTTCTATGCATTTTCTCTTAATTTCAGAAACTCAAAGGGTGGCAGTTTTTGTTAGTCCCTTGAAGTTGTTTAAGACTTGTACTGATTTTGATTATTTCAGCTTCGAAACTCCTAGCGTTGGCCAATTTACGTTATCAACTCAGTTGATAATGGCTGTGAATATATGAAAGTCATATATTTGCACTGCGGATTAAGACGTGAATATGAAAGTGATCTTCGCAGTAATGAACACCACTTGAGCAGTAGTGAAAAAAAGGCTTAAAAAAAATTCAGGCCTGCACGAGATTTGAACTCATGACCTCTGCGATACCGGTTTTCCGACTTTTTGACTACCCCTTATTTGAAACCAACATAATGACCAGCTCCCAATTGGCTTGTTAGCGCAGTAGGTCGAGCGCTGCACAGGTATCGCAAAGGTCATGGGTTCAAATCCCTTACAGGCCTGAATTTTTTTCAGACGTTATTTTCACTACTGCTTAAGTAGTGTTCATTATTGCGAAGATCACTTTCATGTTGACGTCAGTTGATGATACCAAATTACCTTGTCTTCCTCAAACAGCTCATGCTGAACTACATTTGGAGGAATTTATTTATTCAATTCGAAAATCTCGCGAGAACAGTTTCAAAACTGTACACCACGTCAAAGAATGAAATACAACAAAAAAAGAAAAAAAATACTATTGAGCTGGCAGGCAAACGTCCATTGGTTAGTTTCCACCTACATGTAACATACTCTGCACGTTTTGTTTCTTTTCAGCCACTTTGAATGATTCAGTGAAAGTGTGTCCTTACCCTCTGTTGATGATCGCCTGCCAGCTCCTGCTGGAAATCACAGCCTTCTTACGGGAAAGCCATGGTCTTTACTCGGTCAGCAAACCTGCAGGTAGACCCTTACATCGTTATAATATTCAAAGGAGACGCCAGAGTGTGACAAGTCATCGACGGTCTATGGCATTTTCTCCCGAAATGCATCAGCGTCGTTTGAGTAGTATCATAGGTGGAGGAGGAGAACGAATACGGCGAGCCAGTGCTTGGAGTCAGTCTTCTTTACAGACTGATTTCCCATCCAGTCCAAGTCGAACCTTGCAAGAACCACCCATGATTACAGTCTCAGGGACTGATACGAACGCTAACAACCCAGACACAGATCAAGAAGGAAAGAAAGAAAGACGCGATAGTGTAGACCGAACGCGGAATCGCCACAGTTTGTACTTCCCGCGGGTCAGTATTCAGAACTCACCTAAGACAGCGAAGCGGATAGCCAAGCGTGGTGGGATCGGAGGGGAGGGTGAGTCGGTGAGGTTCAGATCAAAATCCACCAAGTGTGACGCTAAGCATCTCAGTGTGGACGCGACGATGTTTGACGACGATGACGAGTCGGACGATGAAGATCTAACTCTGAATTTACCCTGGTTAAATGCCGTGATTCAGCTGAACAGCTCAACCGCGTTCCTGTGTGATCACCAAGGAGTTTGTCCTGTTAATTGTCACCAGCGGCAAAGCCGAAGCTGCACACGGATGGTGAAATCACTGAAGGCAGTTTACAGCACTTTGAACAAGAACGACAAAGCTTCCGACAAGCAGCCTGGCAGAGCGCATGGCATTCATGGCAGTCCGCTGATCAGTGCACCGCAAGTTGGTTCTGTGGAACAGGCGACTAAGAAGGAAAAGGAGGACACAGAAATGATACAATATATATCATCAAGCGTAAGTTAACAGAGTAGACTCCCACAGAGCATTTTAGTGCTTGAGAGCTAGAGTTGCAGGGAAAGAAACTTTTAAACTCATACGGAATTTCATGTAACTTTTCATTGTTAATTTATAGTTGTTTTGAGATTGGTCGGAAAAAAAAGCGTAAAAGGTGCATGCAATAACCCCGAAAGGTAACGTGGGTAGTTTTCAGGTCACGGTTTCTTGACTTCATGATTTCAGGGGAATCTTAGAAGACGTCTCTGTAAGGACGAGGCATAGAGGGTTGGATTTTTTTTTTTTACTTTTCCCTCACTCATACCAAAATTAAGACACGTTTCACGATTTGTTTTGCCAAACACAATTAATACCTTTGGTTTTTCTTAAAAGAAATCATTAAACTGATCTTTTCCAAATTTAAATGTAGTTAAAAGGAAATCCAAGATGCACAGTGATTCTTGGAACCCTATTTTGAATTCGGCTTTTCACTTTTTGTTGGCAGATTTTCCTTTTGTTAAACTTTACTGTTTACTGATGTGGAGTGTGAGTCATCATTGTTGAGTTCTATTTTGTTGTTTTATTTCAGCTCGCAAGTTTGACTCATTGTCCATTCTCAGTAATTGCCAAGGCGGGTACAGTCATCGAAAAAAGCCACCTGATGGATACCTTGCCTGTAGTCTGGGAACTGTTGCTTGATGACGATCAACAACTGGTATCCTCTGCTGGTAAGGTGTTGAATACTGATCAAAATGATTCCGTTCTTTTTCATTTTTCATTTAAGTCGCGGAAGAAATTCAGGATTTGTTATTATTTACTTCGCTCCGTGATAAGTCGATAAAAAAAATTATTGCAACTTTCTAAACCAATCAGATGCCAAATTTAAATTTTTCCTGCACTTCAAGGACTTTGCTTGTTTGAATTTCTTGTTCCTAACCCCTTAAATTTTCGACAGTTAAAGCGGTCCTCTAGCGCAAATATGTTTAAAAATAAAAACTTAATTAAGATCAAAGGATCACAAGTTTTCAGTTTTTACAGGTATGAAAAAAATAGTAACGGTTTCGATGATGAACCTATTTATTCCAAAATTATTGACTCGAAATATGTAGGATAAATTTTCCAACAAACACATATAGCTGCTGATATTTAAGTATTTTTATTTTGTGTTACATTATATAGCTTCAGTCTTTCTTTTGACTGGAATACGTCTGCAGGACACGGTGGAGCAGATGCTACACAAAGAACTGACTTGTACTGATGCCAATGAAAGAGTCAAGTCTCTCCAGAGGTGGGTAAGAATTGCTACACTTACGGCCAGGAGATCAGCTGAAAGGCCCATTTGCCGACGTTCATTTCGAGCTCCAAGCTTTATGATTTTAAAAGTCGCCTATTGACGATCTACATGCAAAAATAACCTACATTGTATAAGTTGCCAGAACAGGAAAAACAAACCAAATGCAGTGAAGGGACATTTTGTGTAATATTGTTTACTACTTTAGGTAAATGTTTATCTCACTTTACCTACTGATATTGCCTAATAAAACCGTCGGTGCATGCCACTTCAACGGCGTGCATATCTCTGGAGCGCTAGATTTGATCGTACAACCACCGTTTGATTTGTCTGCTTTGGACAATTTTTCAAACTTTCTCTGTTGCAATAAAAATTGTCAAATGCGTGCGAAAAAAATGCTTCTCGGCTGGTATGACGCAGCGTTTTGTCTTAGCCAAGAGACTGATCAGACACTTCTATAAACTTCAAGCAGACTCGTCGAGCTTAGCACTCAAATTCTTGTCTGTGAATTAAGGATGTGAGAAGTCTGGACCTCTTTTGTAGAAGGATTCCCTACCACTCCTTTACGAGTAAATATTTATTCGACATAAATTGTCGAATACGTGTGAAAAAATACTTCTTGCAAATGTTAGATACAAGGAAAATTGTTCTCTGGGTTGAGAGTTGCTGCCATGTTTTAGGGAGTTTTCTTGACTTTCATTTGTTTATTTCTCCTTCAATTGTAGATTTGAGGTTTTGTGGCAATCCAGGTACCATGCTTGGCCTAGACTTGAGGAAGGAGCAAGACTGATTCTAAAGGTTCGGATGTATCCCTTTTTTTTCGGGAAGCGACGAATCCTTCTTGGGTTTTTGTTAGTGTTCTGTACGAAGTCATTGTGTCGAGTTTTTGATTAGTCAACGTTCAGAAGAAATGCTGAGGGGAGGGGGAGGAGGGTCATTCTTACACACTTACAGTGGAGTATATATTTCTCATTTTTATTCTTTTCCATTAAAGGTTCCGCCACCTAAAGTTGACTTCACCCTCCCCTCCCCTGCCGTTGGTATGCCTTCAAGTCACCCCCCTGACTGCCCTTGGGATGCAAGTCTCATCCTGGAAGAGCAGCAGGACAAAAAGAACCGAGATAAGAGAAAGATCCGCGACAATAGCAGCGATTTGAAGAAGCAACAAGAGCGATCTGAGTTCTTATTGCGAGCTATTCCGGTGTCAATGGAGACAACAGTTGGTGTAAATGTTTCAGAGGATGAAAAAGGTGAGTTACTTCAGTGTTTGTTCCACTTGTTTCAGCACAGGATACCTCGTTGTGTCTGCAAAAAAGAGCTTGGATTGTGATAAGCCATGGCAGAGATGACCATCCCTCTGTGTCAATGCCAGGGTTAATCTTTAGCCTTTGAAGTTAAGGTTAGATAAACAAAGCTAATTGTAGAGCCTTTAAATCTGCAGTATTTTTTTGAATTGAGAATTTCTTGATTTTTCCAAAGTCCTATATATCTGTATTTGGTTGGAGCTTGGAGGACACGACCTGTATGTTATTACTCCACCTTGGAAGTTTGGCTTAAAGTTACTGTGAGATTTGATCTTTTAGTAATATACAAGTATCGAGAATGTCCTAAGTTGTTGGCCACGGCTGTATTTTATTCGCAGCTGCGGTTGTCCTCTCTTGAATTTATCGTAAAATAAAGTCTAAAATGAACTAGCCGTTGTCCAATCTTTGCACAATATGAAACAGATGCCCTGTCCTTCCTTATGTGACATACTAAGCAACATAACATCCCAAACGGGCGTTTCACAACCTCCAACAAGCCCTTGTTACCCAAACGTTCATATTACCTTCAATTGTGTTATGAGTTAGACAGGTTCGTCATACAGTTGAATAGTGTGAATTTGAAGGCGACAGGGTTTCCACTTGCTTCGAGAAAAGTCATCTTTCCATAGGAACATGCACTTGTTTATTATAAGGGCATCACTCGTGACAAGGTTAGAACCTAAAAGGCAGTAGATCGGCAATAGCACGGAATGAGTCCGAAAATGTTGTTTCGAAATATGTGAATCACCTACAGTTAAAGTACGCAAACGTGTTTAAAGTGTTAATAAGAAGCATACACCTTGTGCATAATGATAAATCTCCAAAAGGTTGCGTTTGCATTCTTAAGCTGTTTAATTAATTCTGTCAACCTGAGAATAGTAAATACATAGTAGCATCTGTCCATTTTACTGTTCTGGGACAACAATGTGTTAGCTAACAAAATCAAATTGCCGTAATAATACCAGTAGTAACAGTGATAGCACTCTGACTTCCGTGAGCACGGCACAATCACTGGCACGCAGGATTGCAATTCATTATGCACATTAAACTAAAAAATTGCAAACAAAAGGCAACACGCGTATTAAAGTAAATATGCAAACATACCAAAGTGTAGAGCTGCGGTATTCTCTTATTTTTGTAATTAAAAAATAAGCCTTCTTGATACTTTCTCGCAATGAACATAATGTTCCACGAAATTGACATCAAGAGCATGAATATCAGCTGCAGTGTTTTTAATTGAGCTGGCATCAGCATTGGCCAAACATCATTCCCATAGCACAATCAGGAGCACCAGTAGTGGCGCAAACATTGGCAACCCAGATGGCACCTGCTCTGGCTTATGTTAATTGTAATAGCTGTATTACAAACTCCATTATAAGCGCTGGCATTGGCAATTAAGGTCGCACCAGTATTAGCTTCTTATAAGCATTATAGCATCATGAGGAACCCCAATTTTAGCACTTTTATAGCAATTATGGTGGCTTTTTATTCCTAAATTGACACCATCAAGAGTACCAACACTGGCACCATCATTGGTGGTACCCGTACCGAGTTACGTTCACCACGATGGCAGTATCACGAGCTCTAATGTAGACACAATCATTGGCAGTCACACTGGCACCAGCACTGGCTTAAGCACAGTAAAATCACTTGTACGGCACGATTATAAATCATGAAATAAGATTTACGCAAATCGCCATGTGCTTTGTTTTTTCTTGCTGCTGTGGATTTCAATAGAGAAGGATTCTCGCATGGACGTTTGGCATTACCACTTGGAAGGGACAGGAAACTCACAAGATGTGACGGGAGAAGATGGAGGTTTGAGCTTATAGAACATACGTATCATGTCTCTTCGGTACTCTCTCCAGTTTTTTTTTATTTATTTGTTTAGTGTTTTACAAACTAAAATGCATGCTTGTTTTGGAACAAGTGCTTAAAAGTCAGTGTAGGTATTAAAATTCATATTTCTTCGAATGGTTGAACAACAAGAATGGTGCTCTCACAGAGTAGACAAAATCCGGATAGTGTACCAGAGGTTATTCCCAGAGATTGCTCATTTTGTGTCAGCGTTACTCTGCCTGTCTTAGCTCTTATGGTTGGAAAATGGCACAGCGGACAATGACAGTTTAGCTGAGAGAGTGCCTCAACCAAGAGATGTTTGGGGACTTCAGAGGCTGTGATTATGCCCGCACTACAGGTTGACAAGCACGCCTTGGCTTGGTGTTTACGTGCTGATATGATACAGTGGATTTCAGCCTCCTTGCCAAGTGGGCGCGCAGTGTATCTTCTCCTTAAGACAACCTTGCAACATCAACATGGAACCGGATAAAAGAAACGAAGTCAAAGCAATAACAAAACAGAACACCAAGCGTCTCTAGTATTTAGGAAAACAGAGATTTTATTTTCAGTGGAATTTTTCACTTATATCCTTTTGTTTCAGGTTGAAATGTTGATATTTCTGTTTTCCTCATTTTATTTTTACTATTAAAGGTGAAAGTCAACAAGTAGAAGCTGAGTTATGGCCGCAAGCTGTGTCATCAGCCATTCCTGACATCATCAAAATGATGGATGACGTATTAGTGGATAGTGACAAAATAGCTGGTTAGTGAATAAGTTTGTTGCAGAGGGTAGTAATGAAGATGGTGAATTGATCGTCAAAAGAAGTGTTAAGTGAACTTAAGTTCATCATCGGTTTGGTTCACGCTGTAGCACAGAAGTCAGTGAGCTTGACTGCAACTGAATAGTTCCGGGTTCGACCCAGCATTTTCTAAGATTTCACTTTCAATTCGCTGTTACCTTTCTATACTCTGGGGTGGAGATAGGTTCTGTGAAAATAGAGTATCACAGCCAAGAACACAAGGCAGAGACCTGGTCAGGGTTCGAGCTCGGAAGTACTTTTGTGGGTTAGGGGGCGTTAACTGGGTTACATCATTCTCAACTCCTGTGTTTCATCCGCAGTGATGGAAGTCGCCCGTCGTCTGGTTTGGAGGTGCTTAGTGGATGATCCAGTTCTTTTCTTTAGAATTATTTTGGAACAAGTAACTAAGAGGGACAAACAGGTTCGTTGGACTGCTTGCTTTGTTGTCTTTCCTTCCATGTCCACTTATTTCATCTTAGTTAATTTTTGATGCGTTTTTTTTCTTTGCATAATTACAGTATGAGGTTTTCTTCCTCAACAAAATTTTTGTGAAACAGGGTACCACTTGACAGTAGTGGGAACACTGGTAAACCTGTAACCCTTATTTAATAAAGTCAAACAAATAATGTAAATCAAACAAAGCACGTTTCTAAGCCTTTGGTGTCAGTGGGCAAATGCGTTGGAAAGTTACAATCGATGTCAAGGAGTTGAACTTAGGACTATCCAGAACTACATCCATCAGGTGGACAAAGAGGAACTCGAACCCTGGACCTCTGTATTGCAAGTTCGACGCTAGTACCGCTCTGTCACACTTTAATGCGACAAGTTAATGTTTCCCCGTGTTCACAAACGTTATTTGATTTTTTTTTAATCAGGAGGAACACATTTCTCTTTTAAGGAAGCTGCTTCTTTACATCACAGAGCTGCCACAAGCATCGTCTAGATTTCTTATAAACAATCTGGTTAGTAATGGATCATGGTAGTGTCGCGTTTGAATGCGTTTGGACTTCTTGATTTGCGATTGAAATTCGTTTTATTTCCGCGGAGCTAAGCTTCGCATCTGAGTCCAGATTTGGTAAAATTCAGCTCGAATGATACATCTTAGTTCCCTTTCTTTTTCTATTTATTTGGAGTTTAAAGATCGAAAAGCTGGATTCGTGCCCTTGGTCCCCTTGAAAAAGCTTAGGAAACCATGATGGTCAACATCTTCACCAGTGTGCAGCCCAAACCAACTCAAGAAACATATCCTTTGGGTTGGTAAAAACATGTGTAGCTAATATGGAACAGTATCCCACGAACGGGGGGTGTAGGTCTCTGATTACTCTATGTTGTCTGTATCGTTGTACAAGTCAGAACTTATTGTCTTTACCTTTGTATAACATGCAGTCTGTCTCTTAACAGATCGGTGTTGCCATGTATTATGCTAGAACTAACAAGCCTGGTTCCCAGGATTCGCTTGCCTTGGTGTTGTCGCTGCTCTGGCAGGTAGGAGGCATAAAATTGTCACGATAAAAAGATGCAGATGTTATTTTTAGAAACCACATCAATTTTGTTCTTTCCTTGAGAAAATACGTGTGAAATTAGGATACTGATCATGATTTGAGATTCCAAAGTGTTTTAAGTGTTTACTTCGTTCGATTTTTTTTGCATTTTCGACACAGATTTATTCTCAGTAGTGCTTTTTAGTAAATATTCTTGCGAAACTCCTTTGAGCTGTTACAAAACACAGAGTACCCACACCTACCAGGACAAACACCCGCATTGTTACCCGACTGTGAGAGTCAAGTACTTCAGAGTACACCACAAAGAGCCGGTAAAGAATTTGGATAAACATGATCGTTAGAAAGTGATCAATTAGGGGATGTTCTCCTAATGTTTCCCTAAGTTCTAAACATTAGCTCTAAAGAGATTTATGGTCATTCGTTGGATAAGTTAGCTCTGAAATCTCGGGATTACAAGGCTTGAGGTTCACTCAATTTCACTCCACAGGCAGTGCCAAGCGTGCGGGGATTTTTGTTCAAAGATCTCAAGCAGTGTCTACGGAAAGAACATTGCGATGTGAGTTGATTGATTATTACTTTTCACTCAGACAGGGCGTTACGTGGATTTTTTTGGGATCACAAGCCAATTTCTCTTGACTCGCTTTTCACAATTTAGGTTTGAATGGTCTCATTTGAATGATATCAAAATTAGATAAAGTCTAACGCTTCATTTGAAAATGCATCCAACAAATGCAGGTTCTGTTGTTAAATAACAGTGAAAAAAGTTTAGAAAAAAAAATGACAGGCAAGTATGCGACACATGTTCAAATTTACGAGAGATAACAAAATATCATTACTACTTGAACCCAGCCCTTCTTTAAGTAATGAAAAACAAGAATTCCGTTGAGAAACATGATTGTTGTGTTCATTTGATTTGCTTTTCAAGTACAGTTTTTTTTTCGTAGTAATTATCCTAAAGTGGTTTCTAGGAGGTCTCCTCGTCCGATCATTCTGTTTCGTTCGTATAAATATGAACGTTAAATGGCCAATGAGTGATGAAATGATGCTTCGGTAACTCTGAAGTTATACCGAAAAGAAGTTGGACTTGAGCATCTGGTAATAGGCTCTCATTATCCAATATTGAGATGATAATTAAGTTAACAGATTGAAGGACACTTCATAACCAGCTTCAAGCAGTGTTAACGATGGTCAGGCCCTAAAATTTACTTTAAGTGTCTTCCACAACTTTTTTTTTGTAACATTTCCTATGTATTTTTTCTTTCAAACAGAATGCCTTACGTATCAGCTCGAATGTTCCTGGCGCTAAGGTAATACATTGTTTGGTTATAAAACTGACAGATGTTTTGTTTTTGTTTTTGTTTTTGTTTCTGTGTGTTTGTTTGTTTGTTTGTTTTTTGTGGTATTCACATCCTATAAACAATGGTACAATAAACGTCAACTCTAGGTTATAAGGTTGTGAATTAAAGGGATCGTATTATCGCATGAAACACGGATCCATTCACTTTCAAGAGAAGAGAGCATGTATCAGCCTTCAACCCTTTACACCCTAAGATCAGTATACATAGTCTCCATACTGTTCTCTATAAATTTCCTAAGGTGCTGAGAAGGAGAATTTGTTTAACAATCAAAAGCTCCTGTACTTGTTGATCATTTACATTATTCTTGTGACCTTATGTATGATTAAGGGATGATACTGTAAGGAGAAATTAGATGCTAATCACTCTTAGGGGTTAAAGAGTTAATATATGGCAAGTTAGCCCTGCGGTAAATCTGAACGTTCTGATTGGTTCTTACTTGGTCGAACTTTTGCCCTACGGACTGTTTTCACGGAAACGGTCATAAGCCGTGCATTTTTGATCGCGAAAGTCAGCAAATTAAGTGAAATAAATTTGATGCGAGTGCCATAATTATGGTGATCGACTTACTAACCTTGCTTTTTCGAACCTTACGTGGGAATGATGGCCTTCGGTCGTTTTGTGCGAACTTCGCTGTGCTCGGTCTTCATTGTCACGACCTCGGGCCAATATTCCACTGAACGGCCCTCGTGCTCGGTCAGTAACACATTATTACTTAGATAGTGCCGGTATGAATTTTTTCTTCACTACGCCTTCAGCATATAGAAAGAAGTCTGTATATGTTTGTGATTTTGTTGCGAGAGCAAGAGTTCCCTTCTTTGTTTGTTTTACTCTTTCATTTTATATCGAAATTTCTTTTTAATTTATGTTTCTTCCAGAAACTTTGCGTGATTCTTCCCGATCAAGAAAACGATGAAGAGGAGAAAGACCAGGAGAAAACCAAAGAAACAGTTCCCGTTCATGATGTAAGATATGTAATAACTTTTCAGTCTTACGATTTCCAATTAGTTCAATTTTATGTATGATGTGGAAAAAGTATTAAATGAAAACCGGATTTTAACTTGAAATCAGCAATTTTTTCCTATTTAAGATAATGCCTTTGGGGGCATGCAAACAATCACAACTTACAAAATATGTATTACTAGGAAATGACATTTGGCAAGGTCCTAGAAGCGTTTAAGTCACGGTACCAAGACTCTGGCAGTGAAGGGAAAGAGTTGTATCTCATTGACAAGAAATCAGGTAAGAAGTACTTTTCGGGATTCACAACTCGTAGTAAGGTGCAATCTTTTAATATCGTCACCATTCTTGCCTTATGTAACTCCCCAGAGTGTTTGTTTGACTATCAAATGAATTTTTCGCTGTCGATCTAAAAAGAAAGTCCTTCAGAGATTTGATGTTCTTTAAAGTGAAATTACATTTCTCGACATCTTTCACCGCTAGGTTTGCCTTGTCTCTAGCAAGGTGTCATTGTCTCAAAGAATCCTTCTATGATTCGGTGTAACCAGAATTCTGAGTTTAGCAAACGGAAAAATGTAACTGAACGTTGCTTTTTGCTCTTCACTTGTGAGGCTGTTTTGATGGCGTAGAGGAAGACAAGAGACATTATTTTTAAAGCTTAACTCATCGTCATTTATATCCCAACTTTTTGCAACTTGAAGCGACTGTAAATGCATAAACATAAATATTCAGTGGTGCTTAAATTGTTCAGGTGCTTTTAGGAAGACAATTAAATATATGTTTAAATAAAAAGGATGGTTTGGACAAATTAATCGCCCCGAGATATCTGTCCACGCCGCTTCCTCGGCGAAAAGTCAGCATCGGTAAGCTACGGAAAAATGGCTTTGTTTCTTTTCCTGAACAGGACAGCGAGGCCAGGCTTTGGAGCCAGGGGAAATATTCGCCTAATAATTGATGTAATTCCTTTCAGATCAGATACTCGAGGAGAGAGACCACGTACGAGATGTGTACACTCACCGCAAGGGATTTCCAAGTCCCATGTTGATGTTGGACTTTTTAGATCAAGAATTGGCGTTTAACAAAAGACAATCACAGGTACAGGAACGGAATTACAATCATTTACTCATTTGCTTGAAATACTCATCACAATAGTCGGTCGATGAGAGACAGGCACAGGTACACCCTTACAGCTTGAAAGGGAAAATGCTCTAAGGTCATGAACTAAAATGAAGATAGCAGATGTAATCAAATTGATTTCTGGACAAATTGAAAATAAATGTCTGGTTAAAATGAAACTCTAATAACCGAAGTCTCGTCCTGGTCACTGTTAAGCATAGTTCAATTTTTTTTCAAATATGACGCAATTTTTAGAACGTTTTACACCGGCCCGTAACGATTATCCGCTTCTAACAGATTTGAAACAACTACAAAGCCCCGTTTTCCAGGAAGTTCTTTGCAGTTTATTCGGTAAAGAATCCCACCTCATACTCCCACTGGTTGAGGGTAAAATCCTCTTAAGAACTTAACACTTTTTTGACATCTGTCCAAGAATATTTATATGAGGCAATCTAATTCCTTCTCTATCACCTTTCCTCCATTCTTACTTCACTCTAACCTAGACTCCCGTCTATTCTTTTTCGTAGGCGTTTACAAACAAGATCGCTGAGATTGGACGAGTCCTTCTGTCGTCATCCATACTTAACGCGTTACCCAATCAGGTAACGACAACGTAATTACAGCCTTCAACAAATATCAGGGAACACATGCTGGAGAAGTATTTTTATTAACCACTGTACCATCGAACACTCGTTCCTAGTTTTCTCTTGTTATCTATCCGTCCTTCCTCCTCCCCAGTCCCATTCTCCTTTATAGCAATAGTGGACATCAACATTACATAACAATGGTTTAGAGGGAGATATTTTGCATGTCTGCTTTTCATTGAAAAAAGAAAGGGAATGCCAAACATATGGACGATTTAACACGATGTGGGAGTGATTGTTCTTAATCCTTTCTTTTTTTTTTATTTTCTTTTTTTTAACAGAAACACATCTCTTTTCTTCACGGAGAGTTTAGTCGTCAAATCTCATTTCCACGAAAAGCTCTTGATTGTGATTTTTCTCTTTATGCTGGTGGCACCAAGGGATCAGTAAGAACACATATCATTGTAAAGTCTAATCCACTTTGAACTCCAGACGCCTTGGAGGGCAATAACGTTTGTTAAAAGTGAAACCGTGGGTGCAACGTGCCAAGTGGCCTGTACTGTCTGAACTTATCTTCGTTCTTGTTGCTTTAAGGGACCGGGTGTATACTCCGCTCCCTGGAGTGGGATAGTGGGATGCGGGCCCATGTAATTTTACCCCCCCCCCCTTCCACTTCTTTCCCCGGACTCTTCGTGAGGTTTCCTGGACAGTTCCTAGTACCAATCAACATTGTACTCCACTGGCCGACAGGACGTATAGAGAAAACTTGGAGACTTCTCCAAAACACTTTCCTCTTATTTTCTCTTTAAGGAGAACCCATTCATATGTGAGCTTTAATTGTGGAAAATTATTTCTTAGCCCTAACCCTCTTGGCTGTTTGTATCGGTTGGAGAGGAACGTAACGCTACCGCGTTCTTTTTTTTTTTTTTTTTGCTCAGGAAACGCTGAAACGAATGCAGTCAAGTTAGAATTTTACGGAAACCGCATAGCATAGACATTCTCAAGTAACATTTATGTCATTGTTGATTGCTCTTTATGTTGAGAAAATACAAACAAATGTGTTTATTTTCATTTCAGGAACTTGCCGCCCTTGATGTGATTCATAAAAGTGTGTGGGTCGAGGTAAGACAGATAGTGATTAAATTCAGTGATATACACGTAAGTGATAGGAATTGATCTTTGGATACCCACTGTGACTAGCTTTGGTTTACAACTTCATCGGTCGACGTAGAAAGGAGTGACCCACATGAGAGCACTTATCATTTTGTGGTCTTTAAAAGCAATAGAACAGTCTTGGGGTCTACAAAAGCTTTCGAGCGCTTCACATCACTGGCGAAACTTGTTAGCTCAGAAATCAATAGTCAGTACATCTTTTTCACTGTCAGCAGTTCTCTGTTGCCCACGTTAGAAAGCGAGATGGATATTTCATGACTAACCCAAGGCATTGTTCTGTTTTCAGCTGATAACGTCACTCTTTCAGTCCATGTACACGGATTTTCCGTGGAGTTCTGCAGACCTGAATCTCTTTCTGAACGTTATTAATGGCGCCATTTTGCTTCACTGTGAAGACGGTGCCATGCTGCGACTTTGCTTGGCGTCTTTGATAAACATTGCAGTTCACTTTAGTCACATATTTGCTAGTGATGGGTAAGGAATTATTTGTTCCCTGGTTTGCATATCTTAGGAAATTAAGTCTGTTTTTGTTATCCATCGTCGGCCTTTCCTGACTGTCATTAATTCTGCTGTTTACCTCTCGTAAGCGGCAAAGCAGAGAAGAGTATTTGGGAGACAAACCCCAACGATGCGCAAAATGTCTCGATGCGCAAAATGTTTGGTCTCCCGATCTTGTCACAAATTGGATAATTAGAATTGCGCTTGGCGAAATGATGTTTTGGAAGACTCTTTTGAACAACTGTTTAATTATGTATAGTAAAAATTTAAAAAATCGATTTCAGTCACACTGAACAGTTTGAAGATTGCAAATAGGTTAGCATGCGCCAACTAAATGAGTGAATGGATGGTGGATTTGATAATCTGAGTTGGAGTGTGTACCTATTTTTGTAAATGATACGCCCCTCTTCGCGGTAATGCCCTGTATAAGACTTGTCCTTTCCGTGGCGTTGATTTCAATTATATCTTATTTTAGGTATCAGCACATATTTCCTTCACTTCTTCAAGTCTATTCACATCACCAATCTAATGAAATGGTCACCACTGCTATTGAGGTTGGTGATAAATTGCTATCTTCCTTTAACCTTTAAAAAAGCATCATCATTTGGATCATCTGGGGAGGGAAGATGACTCTTTTGCAAGGGTTATATAGATTTGAAAAAGCTTTTGGTCCGACATCTGGTTTAGAGTCAACCGTTCCAGACCGAGATTGGGTAAAAGTTTCTTATGTCTCTTGGGATACACAAGTTCTGATCTGAAAGAGGTATATGAAATTGTTGAATTGGATTGGCGAGGCGTTAAGTTTTAAGGAAGCATATTACACTTCTCTACAGTAATTTTTCACAAGCACCTCATCCACCCTCCAGCTCTTGAAGAAGAATTTCAAGCACAAAAAACAACAACAACGATTACAGTGAATAAAGTCTTCGTGTTATATCAGTCTCCAACATTATAAATAATTGTAATTCCTCAATCTAATTAAGTGATTCCATTGGTCTTTATCATTCTCAGTTTGCGATGAAGCAGTTCTACATTTTGCACCAAAAGCCGTGTCTGCTACAGGTGAGTTATATCGAGTCTTGCCACACTCCAGCATAAGTGCAGTTCTGTTAGCGACAAACCTCTTGTTAATCTACCGCGTACACAAAGCTCCCATAATGTTGTTGGTTTTCTCCTTGCGAGTCAATACAACCCTTTTCATTCAATTCAGTTTACGGTCGCTTTCTGAGGAACTTGAATTCTTGAATTCTCTATGTTGTCGATGGTGTTTTAACTGGTTGAGAAGCTCGTTTAGACAAATTCTTCCCTAACGATTTAAAGGTTGCCCTAGCGATATTGAGCAAGAGGACCAATCAGTTTTTCTTATCTTCTTCATCGCAGCTCTTTGCCAGTGTAGCACCGATACTTCTTGTAGAGAGGTCCGATGCAAATGAGGATGAAGCAGATGATGAAGATCTTTCTGGCAAAGTAAGTTTCCCAAAACGATGAACCATGTTACCAAACACCAAGTTGTCTTTAGTCAGAATCTCAGGACGTTGCAAAAGGAAATTTTAATGCGGGAGATTATAATTATGTGGTTTGCACAGCACACTTTTTTTTCAAGTTATCAGGAACTGAAAAATTTCCTCAATCCACTTTTCATTGTGACTCTCTTGAGCCTTGATCTCTATATGTAACATTTGCGTGTCCTCCAACGCAGATCCCTCCCAAATGCCTGTTTAATCTGCTGACATCATTAGACAAACCGTCACCTGACAGTCTTGAGGTGTTAGACCTGGTGCGAGCCGAGAAGCCGCTGAAACCAATGGTGAGAGACCTAAATTGTTAATAGTCTCCCTTTTGGTGACTTTTTTTCATTTTTCAGGTACTGAATAGAGTTAGCCATAATTTGAAGTGTTGATTATTTGAAGATCTTAGCAAAGAAGTAGCTCGCCCATCCAAAATAGTTTGTTCCATGATATTTCTTCTGTGACCTGCAAACCTTAATGTCATTAAACCCAGTTTTCTCGTTTCGCATCCAAGCGCATCAAACGTGGCCAATTTTCGCTGTCTTTACCAGAACGCGTGCTAGCCAGCCGGTGATCATTAGTTATTTTTAGCTAAGCTAATAGTTTCTATTTTTTTATGTCGCAGGATTCATGTTACGAATCGTCAAATGACCCTCCTGGTGTTAGTCAAATTGACACCGCAGTCCGCCTGTGCGTTACCGTAGTGAATTTCGCGCCGGAATCAAAGAGAGCTGTACAAATGGTGGTATGTCTTTCTTCTGGATTGTTTTTGTTTTTGGGCAGTCATTTATGGCTGATAGAGGAATTTTCAATTGAGAGTCGAAAGTAATCTGGATTTGCTTTAATGTTGCTTTAGTTCGTTGTATGATTTGTTTAGAAAACCTGGTCACATATGTTTTCCCAGCTTCGAGCAGGTAGCTTGTTTTTACATTCTTGTCGCCTTCTTGTAATGTTCTCCGTTTTTTCTTATTGGATGTTGTGATGTTCTTGGTCGGTTTTGGGTTAACAACACTCAATCGAATTGCGCTCTACAGTATCTGTCTAATAGGTTGACTGAACGCTTGTAAATAGCAGTTGCAACTGAGTTTGCGTCTGCCTCTCGTGGCCAAGGTAAAACTGCAATGGACTAGCATCCTTTACAGGGAGGTGTAGCAGTACTTCCCTCATGCAACTGACTTCGTAAGAAGCTCTGGCTTTCATCTCAGGCTAAAAGACAAACGTCTCTTATGAGATTCTCGCAGGGTCGGAAACTTTCCTTAACCGTTCATTGAAAAAAGAAAATTTTGTTCGCAGGTGGTACTGTCTGCCATTTTGCCACACTACCTGAATTACCTCAGAACAGATAGCAGTGCTCCTGATAGTGAAGAGAAACTGAAAGCAGAGCTGACGGGGCTTACCTCTCTTGTCACCTCCATCAACGTTTTGATTAAGAGTTCAGAAGTACTGACAAGGTATTATTATAGTTACCGGTGAAAGATCCACCTGCGTGTTGTTCAGCTTGGGAGTCGAAATAGCTAATGGTCAGCCTTGAACTCAGGATTAATTGCTTGGGTATAAGCAACTGGCTTGGTCATTGTGTTGTGGTCTTGGGTATGATGCTTTCCCGTGACACGTCTCTCAACACAATCCAACCCATCCCAGGCTGTGATGTAAATGATTGGATATATGCGACTCCTCTGGGAAACCTGACGAAATGCTTGGGGGTGGGGTGGGACAAGGAGCAGTTCCCTTTGTTGCTTTATTACCATGGAAAATTTCAGTCTCTTTAAGCCCTATTTAGTCTGTTCATTTTGTTCCTTTTTCCCAGGTCGTTTGTGCACTTTCAGAGCTACAAGGCATTTTCAGATAAGTCTGGTATCTTTCCTGATCTGGCTTCCACTACGTCACTGATGTTAGGTCGAGGAAGCATCAGCAGCACAGAGGCACCAAGCGCAGCTGACGAAGGGGAGCTGGGTAAGTTTAAAATTGTATCTTTATCGTTAATCTTCGAGGGGCAAGGTATGGGAACAGGTACTTTGGTTTCCATAGCACCTACCATATTAACGATTTTCTTATACAATCTAAGCGTGAAGTTATGTTTTCGCCACGAGTCCTTCCTGTGTAATTTTGCAAGTTCTGCTCTTCCGCTGTTCTTCCTCACTTATAATGCTTCTTGGTCGCGTTTCAATAAAGCATTTAGGGTCACGTTTTCTAATGAGCTTTTCGTATCAATTTTTTCTCTCTTTTTTAATAATTTTTTAAGTCCTGCTCTTCCGCTGTTGCTTTTTTTTCTTTTTTTTTTGCTTGGCGTAAGCACTATAGCACTTGTAGTCTCTCTTGGCCTTATTATCACGTAATAATTAAACCTGGTTCACACGCGCGATGCAAATGCAAACGCAAATGTAAGGAGTTACACGTGTGAACTACCTCAATGGCGTAGTTCACAGGTTCCATCGGTTCCATTCCACCACGGCACAATGGCGTCGACTTCTTCCGCCATTTCGGGAAAAAAAAACTTGCAGAGAGCGTACGGAAAGTTCCTGTAATATTCGACAAATGTTTTCCAGAATCAAAAGACATATCATAGAAGAGTCTTCCTTGGAAAGAGTTGGCCGGAGAAGTTAGCATAAAATACGGCATGTTTTACGAAAGAATATAAACATACACAGAAAATATATCAGTGCCGTAACAGAATGGTTTCCGAACCATTCGGTAAACAGTTTACGCGAAAATTTTTCACCTCAGAGCTTTTTAAACGAAAACGGCATGCACGAGAAATCTAAAATTCTTTTAGAGGGCACAAGAAATTAATCCCAAAAGTTAGTCGCTAGAGTCCAGAGCCACTTCGTTACTTATCGTGAGTTGTTATGAAACACTAAAAAAAATTCATTATTTGGGTCCCATTTTCCGTTGCATAAACACATACGGCCTCATTTGCGGTTATTTTGTTTGATATTCTGATAAGATCTCTGACTTCTTGAGGTCTGCTCAGTTGACCCTGTTTCCGTAGTTGAACACGCACACCATAACAAACACGTCACGCAAATCAAACTAAAACGTAAAAATCATGGAGTATTTGTAGCCTTTCAACGAAAGTCTTTTCTCTTTTGTTTATTTTCTTACGATATTTAAAATCTCTCAACCCTAGGAGTTTCTTAAACGAAAACTACCTCCCCAGACTTTGCGAAACTTAAGCTTAGCTTACATTGGAGCTGCAGCGACTCACAAACCATTCTGTTTATTGAACCTGCATGATCTGTTAATCCCTTGTCTGTGTGAAAAATTAAAATTTGTTTTTGGGTGGAGATAACGAGATTTCTATTAAGTAGAAAAACTGATTACAGTTGGATGATTCTTCTTCTTTAACATCACGTAAGTTCAGATTAACTTTTCTTCTGTAACTCTTTGCATCCGCTTTCAGTGCATCACGCAATGCCTTCATTCCGCTTGTTTGTAACCAAGCATGCAGTATGAGTTGGTGGAAAAAGCAATCACATTTCTTACAGAGCAGAGAGAAAGAGAAAAGGGATATTGTTGAACGGTATAAGTAGCAGAAACACTCAACTGAAGTGCTAGATAACGAGCCCAGCCATGCGAATCGCATCTTTGGTTTGAGGCCATTTTCCATTGTCAAGGGTTATTCAGAAATGCCTTATTCTGTTCCGGTTTGATGGACTATGAGAATTGATAATGTCCTTGTTTGGTTTTTTCATGTCATTTTGGTCGTTACGGTCATGCTATACAAGCCTAGCCCCATAGGTATTGCCATGGATTGATTCATCATTATGCTTGCGGTATTGTACATGTTGCCAAATTCAAATTTCAATATTCAGAATTCCTACATGTGCAGAGAACAGTAAGTTTCAACGCCACAATTATGCGAGCTAAAAGCTGATTCCTAGACGATGATATCTTTGTTTTATTTTTTTCTTTTTTGTTTAAAAGTCTGAAAGATTTTTCAGTCGTTCAAAGTTCTGAGGTTCTGAGGTCTTTCATTAGGGCTCATTACTCATGCAGGAATGCTTAGGTTTGAAGCAACTGCGGATTCACTATATCATTACAAAAGACGCCAAAATGTGATACGAAAATTAGTGACACACTCGGCTCCACTCTTGTGCTACTTTATTCCTTTAAATGCATTTTGGCGTCATATTAGATCCATTACTGATCAGACGCACACCAATTTGGAATCTATCTGGTTATAAGTCTCTCACACACTTAGATGCTATATGTTGTTGAATTCGAAATGACTAAGACTTGCCGATTTGGTCTTTTGAGTTACTGTTTTTACGATTCACTCGACGTCTGCGTCCATTTTCATGGGCTCGGTACGTAACGTTCACTTGTCTTTTCTGTTTCTGTTATATCTCTTCTGCATGTTACATAGCTGAAGCGCCTTTTGATACATGCCTTGTATGGTTTAGAGCAAGGCTAATATCCCCTTTCAGGGAGGGAAGGGGGCAGTTAGGTGGATTTTCAATCTTAAACTGGTGTAATAGCCGAGAAACAATCAGGAAAAGCTCTGCGCTGCTCCAGTTAAGAAAGGGAGATAACTCCTTGCTGTTGGACCCACTACGTTATAATTGTTGGAAAAACTTAGGTTTCGACGGCGTTCGAACCCCTGTCTCTTAGATATGAGTTAAAGAGATGAAGTACAAAAAGTACCGGGACTGAGACCGCACAGATTTGAACACACCGATTTACAAGACTCAGAGTGCTTTTTCTTTGCCAGGAATTCGTAGAAATATTAAGAATTATGTTACTTCTTGTCATATTTATCAAAAAAGAGTACTAAGTGATCAATTCGTAGAGTACCGTGATGGAAGAGGCCTCTGATGAACAAACTGTTGAACAGTAAGCAATTGATCTAATCGAATCAATCAGCCCACCTATCAAAAGTCACAGATATACAATGACACTGGTAGGTTTTTTAACGCCTTTTAGTTGCGCAATCGTTGCAGGGGGGAGGCCAAGCAGTGTAAAAGCTTGTGTACAGACTGAAATAGCAGGAACTATAGACTTAGCTGAGCATCATGTTAAACAGACCTCTGATTAACCGCATCAGATCCGTGTGATGCCCGGTACCTTACAACAAGAGGAAACCTTGAAGACGAGACATCCCGGAAATGGTCAACGTGGAAGTTCCTAGAGAGACAAATTTACTTTACATATTGTCCGTCATAGTTGAAACAAATACAACAAAAAATCGCATATTCTCAAATATATATATATATGTTGCATAACATAGCACTTAAGATCATCGTCATTTCCGACACGTAATTGAAAATTGAAGAAGAACTTTAACGTGGCGTTTGTGGTACCTGCAAATTTAATTCTCTTTTTACCCAGCAATTCCTCTAATCCTTAAATTAAGCGATTAGGCGGGAACGGAAAGTATATATATATATATATATTTATATACTGCATAGCATAGCACTTAAGATCATCGTCATTTCCGACACGAAATTGAAGAAATTTAACGTGGCGAATGTGGTACCTGCAAATTTAATTCTCTTTTTACCCAGCGTTTCCTCTAATCCTAAAAATCAAGCGACTAGGAGGGAACGAAAAATTTGTTTCTATAGTTAGAGGGTTCTATATGAAGTTTACGGAGCTTCAACTTTGACGTTTGAAGTAAGCGTCATTCAAAAAATAAAAATTCATTGTGTCACTCGACCCTTTCATTTTTCCAAGTCTAGAATCGCCGTTTGAAGAAAACCTTGTAAGGTTTGGGCTTCAGTCCCATGCCAATCGTCCCTTCTAGAGAGGGGTAGGGATAGTTGGGGAGGTTTTCAATCTTGAACTGGTGCAATAGCTGAGAAACAAACAGGAACAACTCCGCTTTTGCCATCAGCTCACCCAAGCACACTCGCCTACCAGCTGAGAACGGCAGATAACTCAAAGATGCAGGATTCAATACATTGCCATTGTTGTCCAAGAACCTGTTGGGGTCAAACTTGGTAGGGCTCTCCCAGTACTTAGGATCATGGTGAATGGCCCATAAATTGACTATCAATGTGGTGTCCTTGGGGATGTTGTACCCGTTTAAGGTGGTGTCCACTAGCGCCTTATGAGGGAGCCCCAGTGGAGCCGGTGGCCTGAGACGTAGTACCTCGGCTAAGGTCGCTTCCAAGTAAGGGAGGTTCTTCTTGTCCGTGAGACTGGGGAGACGCTTGCGGCCAATCACTTCGTCGAGCTCACGATGCACCTTCTCCTGAACCTCAGGGTGGTTGTTGAGGAGAAGCAGCACCCAGAGAAGTGTGGAAGTTAGTGACTCTGATCCGGCAGCAAACATGTCGGCCATGCTCATGAGCATGTGGTCTTCTGAAATCAGGGAGTTGATCTTGTTGTCAGCTTGTTCGTTGTCTTTTATGACTTTGATGAGTGCGTCTGTAAAGCCTCTGATTTTTCCTGGCTCGTAGGTCTCCAGCTGCTCCTTGTACTTCTTAAGAAGGATCCTGTCTCTTTCTTGAACCGACCTCTTTAGTCGACGGATGTTGTTTGAGTCGAATGGCAATTGTTTAAGTGCAGGGAATATGTCCACTAAATTTCCAAGACCCAGTGTCTCTGCAAAGGTGTCGTTGAGTTCGACAACGGTGCTAAACTCCGGATCGCAGTCGCTGTATCGTGAACCAAAGGTCAACGCGCAAATTATGTTTAGAACTCCTACACTAATACTCTGACTTGGATTGTGCGGTTTCCCATCATTGAGATCAAACTGTCGAAAAACTTCTTCGATCTCTCTGCAAATGATCCTTTCTAGTTTCTCCATTCCTGCACTACACAGCTTGAGTGCTCCTTGTGCAATCTTCCTTTGCAGTTTCCAGGCGGGAGAGAAATTTCCGAAGCTGATTGCGTTTCCGTTATGGGAATAGATATCACCAGAATGCACACTGGGTCTGCCTGCAAAGTCATTAACGTTTCTTAAAAGGGCAGTTTTGGCAGTGGTGATATCACTGACAACAACCGCTCGTTGACTTCCCAAGAAGATCTGGAAAACACTACCGTACTTTTGGCCGAGTTTGGTCAGGCTGTGGAGTGGAACAGTTCCTAAGTTATAAAGGTTTCCAATGATCGGCAGAGTAGCAGGTCCGGGAGGATAATTCATGGCTTTGTTTACCCAGCTCTGAATTGTGCAGTAGAGGAGCACAACAGCGATCACGAAAACTAATCCCTCGGTAAACATATCACCGCTAAACAGAGGACGATCGAACGACTATTGAGCAAAATCTGGTGATGTTTTTGAAGGCTTCGTTTCAAGGACGATAACCTGAGTTATCGTAGTATTGATGCTTCGGCTTTTCTCTTTATACGTATGCAAATTTTCTTTATCAGTTAAGGGTCGCTGTTTTTTTAACCCGGTTTTTTTTGTCGCTCTTGAGCTATTTTAGGGCGATTTGGTTAAGAACAGTGGGTTCGATTTAATTTGTATCCGGCTTTGGCGGAAAATTATGTCATTTGAAGATTTATTGTGTCAAGTGTCTGTGTCCGCTCAATAGTTGAATTGCTCCTCAGTCAGTTGTCTTACTGTGATAATTTGCACAGTGCCTAGGTCTCGTAAGCGTCTAACCTGCCCAATGACATGCAAAAGAGGCATTCTTGTTATGCTAACAAAGTGTCACGCTGCTTGCCTCGTTTGCATGACCATAAGAATACTTGATACCAAACAATCAGGAAGAGAGAATGAAGCTGTTCCTCTCATGTTAACAAGTCGTTAATAGTGAGAAGGACTGTCTTTCCGTTTCGCTATGACTCGGCCAAAGTGCATTGTTTCAACCGATGCGATACTATATTCAACGCTTTTCATTGATATCTTGTGATTTTGATTCAGTATAAAGGTTTTCGAAAACTTGTTAATCAATCTTTAGTTGATCATTCTTCGGTTCTTTGAAGCTCACATTTTTTACGCTTGTTTTCTTAAGGAAACAAAAACTGTTTTTTAAATCTACGTGGCCGATAATGGTAAATTTAATAATTTTTCCCGAGTGAGGAATTTTAAATTCCTGATCACCCTAAAAGAGCGTTTTCGTAACATTTGTCATCCTTTGTAACATTTAGCGGTCTCAGCGGACTTGTTCTCTTGGTTTTATTATTATTGATGATATGTTGTAGAGGGTCTCCCTTTTCGTTAAAATATTCCTAAGAGGAGTTTCAGTAGGCCTCTATGCCATTTGCGTTACTGACAATATGGGACAAGAAACACCATGCTGGCTAGTCTTATGCGCATTAGGGCATGACTAAAAATGTATTTAAATTAAGCTTTTTTGCTTCAATTGCCGTACGTGCAAATTTTCTCCTCAGCAGGATGCTGCGAGTATCGTTGACTTTAGGGAGCCCCTTACAGAAGTAACTACTCGTATATTTGCCGTGAACGGAATCCTCCTTTAACAGAACCCTCCTTTAGCGCAATAGTCGGAAGAAATCTTTTGTGTTTGTAAGGAAAATTTGACCTAAAAGAGGGAACCTTTTTTGTAGAGCACTTGAGGAATCCTCAAGCTATGTACCAGAAGTTTATGTTTCATTTTTTTTACAAAAGGTTAAATTGAAACATAAGCTTTTCATTTTACGAATATTCTCTTGAACATAAGCTGTTTGTCTGGTGACATTTATCTTTGTCTAAACGTATCGAGGTCGGATATTGTAGGCTATGTCTTTTTGATATTGCAGCTCAGGCCCAGTGCTGTGCAAAATCAGGGCTTAATTGGTGAAATTTCATTTAGCTCATACATTCAAGCGGTAAGCTGATATTGTTGTTAGTTCTTTTAGTCATACGTTTTTGTGTGGAGAAAATATCGCCAAAAGACCTCCAAGAAGTAAATCAGGCTTGTTTGCGTAATGATATCAGTTGGGAATGTTATTAAGTAAAGTTCCAAGTTAACAATGCAAAGTGCACTCTAATGAAAACGCTTAGAAGTGGTGCTCTCAGAAGGCGGAAACTTCCCCAGACACCTTTGACAAAAAAAAAAAAAATAAGTCGACTTTGAAGAACATATTTTAATATAATTGAAAGCCTCGAGTGACGGAGAAACATTTGCTAAATCATTAAATTTCGGACTAAATTTAAATTTTGGATAGCACAAATATTTTTTATAAGATACGCTCGTGTTTCCAAAAAACGGGCATCTAAAATATTCGCAGTATTCTCGATACAGTTTAACAGACACCTTTTTTTTCTTGGAGGCGATGTGGTTCTTTTTAAAGTTATCCAGTCAAAGATAGCAAGCCTGTGTGCAAAGTATATTGCTTTGCTTATAATAAAAAACATTTGTATCAAAAGATTAGATAAAAAGCTGATTGATTCATCGAGTCGCGGATAATCTTTCATCAAGTTTATTTATTTTCACCGTCATTTTTTCTTCCTTTGTTACATTTGTGATAGGAAGCTACAGTTTCAAAGCCATAACAGCTTGAACTTCTGCGAACTTATTCAAATGAACGCTTTTTTAATTGAGCTACAGTGATATTATTTATTTACAGGATGTATTATGTAATTCCTTATCTTATACAGAGACAAGTAACATTTCTAATTGTAGTGGAGGAGATTTCCTAAGGAGGACATTTTTGCAACTTGATAATTAATATTTTTCTCTACCTGCCCTGACAATTTTTTTACTGTGACACTTAAACGTCAGTAAATTTCTTTATTAATTGCTTGTCCATGTATTTTAAAGTATTTTTCATTCTTACCGTTATGCATATTCTAAATAGTTTAAAAACTCTCTATAAATTACTTGCATCAAATGCTTTTTGATGATTTAAAGCTACATAATTTTACTTATGTCACAATGAAACCTGCCGACCCTTCCTGTTGACAGTCAATGTAAGGTGTCTGTGTGACAATTTGTGTTACGGACTGTGCAAGGATAGCAAATGTAACTATTCTGTCAATTATAGCGTCAACCATTCTTGACACTCGCTACATAATTGTAAAGTAATTTTGGCCTTTTCCTTCTCATGTAAGCTCTGTTCTGAAAATAAGATTGCTAAGAAAAAACATTTTAGCGCAAGTATCGTGGGAGTCTTCGTTGGTGCTTTTGCTATTGTACTGTTAGGATCAACTTGCTGTATCTGCATATCTGGCTCTTTGACGTTGTTTAACATATGAATGTACCTCAGTTCTATTTCAAATCTGGTTTTTTATTCCTTTATCCATTCATTTATTAATATATTTAATCATTTGCTTTCAATACAAACAATCTCACACCATTTTCTATGCTGGTAAAAGCAGGACGGCGCTACTTACTAAACTACCACAAATAGAAACACTTCAAAAACACAAGTTCCAGAGACAACAAAACATTCGTTGACGTGCACTATGTGTGCTTGTCAAATGTTAACATTAAATTCTTGCTGATGTGATATCGGGGACAGAGGAACTTAAGTTGAATAATAAGATTAATTCTGATCAAAGTATTTACAATCCTATTGTTCTGAGTTTGCTGCCAAAGCACGCATCGTTTGCTTTCAATTTTACAGAAATTAAAATTACCTCTTTATAATTTTATAATTATATATTAATATATATATTATATTAATTATATAATATATATTATAATAATTATATATTAATTATTAATTATAATAATTATGAGAATGTAATTTGGTCCTTAGTTCATTATCCCTTCGGCTCCACGGCTCGTTTGCTGATTCACGTGTCTTTTTGGGGAAGAGAAAGGCGCATGGCTTTCGTAGACTGACTTACTATGCTCAAATCTCTTTATCGTCAACTTTTATCATTTGACATTTTAAACTTCACACCTGAGCGAAACGGGCAAAAAATTATGATTGATACACGTCATAAACTACACGTACAATTAAGAGTCAAAAAGACCAGTGATGATTTTACTGTTTTAAAAATTTAAGTGTGGAACCAAATACTGATCATTTATTAAATGATCAAATGGCCAGCACAAGATTGAGACTTTATTTCTCAAAGCACTCGTGATTCAGCTTCACTAACACTTTGACTTCACGCAGGTTTTTTAATTTTTATTTTTTAATTTTTTTTTTCAGGGAAGCGTCCGTTCCTGGAAAGACTGCGGGCTCAGGAAGAGAAAGATGAGGTAATGCAGGCATTAGAGGAGTACCGGAAGCCAAGAGATGCGCTGTTGATACTTGTGTCAGACTTCATCCGAATTTGTGCGCCACGACTTGAGGAGCTGGAGACGGCTTCACTTCCACCAAGATACACTGTCCCAGAGTTACTTCAAAGCATCAGTATCAATGTAAGATTGAAAATGATTTGTTTTATATTTACGAGTTATTAAATTTTTTTAACGTTGAGAGACAATTGCTTTGAATGATCGTGAGACAGGTTTGAATCGCGATTTTTAAGAACACGAGGAAAAAATTTTTATGCTTTTCACGTCTTCGTCAGTTATAAGGTAATTTGTCAAAAAAAAACAGTTTCAACTTACAGCAACCTAGAGAAGCGGGCTTAATAAGTAATGGTAAAAGGACTGGGTGGAGTCCAATTCGGTCGATAATCATACGAGTGAAAACATAATCGGACGACCGCCCAACGGGAGTCCGATCAGTTTATCACGAGTATGATTACAGACCCAGTTGGACGACACAAAGTCTTATGACCAATTAATCATAAAAATTACAATTTCAGGGAAAGGAAAATAGCCAGGTTATGGAAGAAAGGGAAAATTTGCATTCAAAGACTGACAAAGGAGGCGTAAATTGTTTAATGTGACTCTGATTGGTTGATTTAAACTACAACTTTGAATGTGATTGGCTCACTCAACTGTCCGATAATCCGATAACAACTTACCAAGTGAATTAGTGTAAAAATAGGAGTTTTTTAAATAAGTCACAATCGAGATAACATCATGAAACAAATAGATGCAACGAAAATAAAATGGGTAGAAAAAATATTAAAATGTAAGGTTAACTTGTCAAGTGATTCACTGATAAGCTTGGAGTGAATGAGACTGACAGAAGATGTTTTGTAATGCTTCTGTCCATTTGTTGATTTTTGTAACTGTAAATGCGTTTTCCAAAATCAAACTTATATTACTTGGTTAAATTTAATTTGATTATTCTCTCTTGCCAGACCCTCGCACAGATTGTCTACTCTTTGTTGAAGCTGGCAGTTTACGACCACGTGACCCTGTCTTGTCTTGGAGTGAAACGGTAATGTCCTACCAATGCGTACGTGAATTTTTTTTGTGTGTGGGTGGGGTGGGGTGGGGGGTGCCTTTCTTAAATCTCCTCATCTTGCATTTTTTCAGGTGAGGTCTGCTTGCTAGTGATGAATATTGCATACTGCCTTAAGTCCCGCAGTATTTTTTTTCTTTACTGTTATTTTATTCTTGAAATACTTGGAACATTTCAGGTACATGACAGATGCCTTACCGCTTTTGAAAGGTTCTCCAGAAGCCCTGGAAGCTTCGATGTTACTCATTCTTAAGAGAGTCGACAAAATGTTCGAGAAGCTAGTCAACAAGCCTGACCTGATGGTAAGATTGCCAGTCACTGTGGATCATATTAGAGACCTTAAGATACCCCGATCCGTTAGACGGCTACGGGTGAATTAACGATAGCCGCACGCGTGAAATGTGGCGGGAAGATCAACTTAAGTTACCCGGAATAAGTCTGAGAAGACTGGAAACAACTTCTTGACTTTTGGTAAAAATGGTGGCTTTTTGGCCAGATACACTTGATGCGGTTCACATAAATGGTTGGTACAATATTGTCTGATAAAAGAATTTTTCGACTTCGAACAAGTCTCCGTCATTCACCTCCAATGACCATTCAGCTGGTTTTCGGAAAATGTTTCTTTTTAATTAGACTTAATTTGGTACAACACAAATTAAGCATCACGAATTAACTCACACTTTAGCTCATTTTGATTTTATACTTTTCTGAACGTCGTTTGCTGGTCTTCTCGGCTTCCCCGTCTTCACCGCAAGTAACCACTCGTAAAGTGCCATCTACCCCGGATAAACGGCTAGGTTACCCGGTCGTGTGATGATGTCATTACCAAATTCGGTCAAACATGGCGCCCAACCCGTAAACTGCACACCGAAGTTGGGTATCTTAAGCTCTCTCTTATCCTAAAGAGACGCTTCTTTTACTCCTAATTCTTTTCTTATTTTTGCAGAGGTGCATCGACTGGAAATCTCTGGAGGTTTATCTTAAAGGTAGACTTATGTATTTTAACTCTGCTTCCACTTGAGGAGCAGTTGCCCTCGATTGTTTGTTTATTAGCTTATGTGAAAGCCTTCTCTGTCGAGATTTGAACTGGAAATCTTTTAGCGGTGCTGTAATATTTGGGAACCATGCTGTTAATAGTTTAATGAAACACCCTCTCTATAAAGACCATCTTAAATGTATTCCCCCTCATCTTGATTTCAAAGTTCACATAAAGCCCCCATCTCAAATGATTTCCCCGTCTAACACTTCAAGGAACAAGTGAGCCCCCTCTTCAATGAGTTCCACGTATGATCAAAATTTTCTGATTACCTCCCCCCTTTAATAATATCTCCACCGTATAGAGCTTCAAGTTTCTCATTAGCTTCCTTCTGTAATTTCTGGAGTTTGTAATCAGCCTCCCCTCCCGCTCTTCCGAACCCCCCCCCCCCCTTTCCTCTCCACCAATCCAGAGCTAACAAAGCTTTTCAGCTTTCTAACCCTAATTCTAGACGAAAATGAAGTCTTCCACTTTAGCCCCAGTAAGTGCCTCATAGCTTTGCCCTCTCCGTAGCCCTTTGTAAGGAGTCGCTGGCGCCGGTCGCAAAGTATATCTCCCCTCCCCCCTTCCTCCTCCACTACCTAGGGCTTATCTGAGTGTGTACGACATTTGAAGACATGAAGGTTTTCCGTTGTTTCTTTCATCTTTTTGCAGGACTTTATATGACGCTTTGTAAAAGGCCATCAACAGCAAATTCCCCGTATTTGAAGGTAAACTGTGTGACAAACATTCAATTTTCTCGCCAATTATTTTTCTCTTTATTCAATGCCACATTTTCTTTTGTTTGAAAAGCACAAGCATGATCTCCCAGTGCATTGCCCTGACTCGCCACCGGCTCACTACTTTCTTGTGAAGGCTCTGTCACACAGATGTGCACGATGCTGCACTTCGTCTTCGTGTTTCACAACGAGTTTGTGTCTCTCGCTTTCGGAAAAAATCTCAAAGTGCGTTTTATCATCGTGATATCATCTCCTTTCCATCCTCCTCATTTCGTTATGTTTTTACTAAGTCATTACCCTCAAGTTTACTCCCAAACATGGTTCATTAAGGCTTCACTGTTACCCCTTAATTATCCTCCCGTAGACTCTGGTAAACATCTGTACTAGTCTCATCCTCCAAGAACGCGCCGCTGCCGCCGTGTCCGTCGCCGCCAATCTACCATTCGCACCAATTTTGTCTCCGCCCACTTTTTTCGCGGACACCGTCATCAAACTAGCGTCGCGTCTGATGCACGTACTGAGGGAGCATTGTTCACTGAGAGAGTTGTGTGGAAACTCGATTGACCTGGGTGGAGCCAGCAGAAAAGAAAAGGTGTTTTTACGCCTGATGTTACCGATATTTATCAGACTTGGGTCGGGGCGTCCAGGTAAGATTGTCAAAGAAGGAATTGTTTCTTGGTGCCGCGGCATTGCTTCCATCAGGATGAAACTATTCGTGAGATATTGGTTACATGCCCTATGAATAAAGCGTCTTTGTAGGGATTTTAGACGAGCTCATAAAAGTGAATCCTCTGCTGTTTAAAGTACACGTTACAATATGCTGATTACAGTGAAATCTAAAATAATACTGTTGTCATTGAGAATTATCAAAGGAGAGTTGTTGTTCTTGAATTTTGTAACACTAAAATTCGATTTATTAATGGTTTATCAATTCTTCAATCGATTCGAAAGGGGTTTTTGGAAAGGTGAGATTGGCCAACATCTGACAAATGACTTGACTTGTGCTCATTTCAGATGCTCCAAAGGCATCCTTCGAAGACGTCTCCTATGCGCTGAGTTGTTTCTTGTTAACAGTGGTTACGAAGAACCCATCCACTCCCGGGACTGGTCCAGTGCGGCTCTCATTTGTCGATGAAGACCTGGAATTACCACGTTCTCTGACGTTTGCAACACCTCACGAATCAACTACATCATCTGAGGAGATTTCAGAAAGTTTGTACTGTGCAGCTTATCTTGGTAAGAAGCTTTCTGTCTGTTTGTGATTTGCGGAATATAGATTTATGCTTTGAAGGTTCGGCCAAAATCCTATGTATGGGAATAGGCAAACTAGTTTTCTAGGCCTGAGTAAACTATGAAAAGAGATCAAGTCTTAAAGCATGTAGCGAAATTAGAGCGGAACGTCACGTTCATTTACATGGCCCGGTTTTTCAAAGGGTGGATAAGCTATCCACTGGATAAATTTCCATACTGTAGATAGTGCAGTACGTATTTTTCTATACTTATCCGCCGGATAGCGATTTATCCGTTGGATAGCGTTATCCGGACTATGAACAATCGGGCCTTGGCCTGATCGTTTCCTTTAGTGATCAGAGAATTTTTGATTTTTGGAAAATCCTCGTCACTTCTCCTCTAACTAGAACGTGTAATACTAGTCGTAAACTTTGGTCGGAAAACAGGATATCACAGCTCGTAAAAAAGTCCAGAAAAAGACTAAAATTTGGCATGAATTATCATATTATTTGTGCTATGTAAAGGAAAAATAGTGTTCCTATCCCTTCTTTCCCATTGCTGTGCGCAGTATTACTGTGGAACTATGTTTTTTTTGCAAATATTCCATCTCATTTGAATTTTCAGGACTAAAGGTACTGATGGTCTGCTGTGAGGATCGTCTGGCCACTGAATGGTACAGAATATATCAGGCCATGGAAACTATAGTGGCGGGGCAGATAAGTAAGAATTCGCATCATATCTGAACTTTTTTGATAACAAAAAAACTTTGATGCGCCATAATTAAAAGATAATTAGTCCTTGCTCTCCTTAAAGTTCTCTCAGGGGACTGCTCTTTACGGAAAAAGATTTCTTGGGTATACCACGTCTCCACGAATAAGCGCATAGGCTCTTAGTTATAATTTCAGCTAAAAAGGGCGCGTATTGGAAGGAGGAGCGCGTAATCGAGGGGACGCTCATCAAAAAATTATTAATCTGCACCGATTCCTTTGTTAACAAAATGGCAATAGAAACAGATTCCCCTAGCATTCCTACAATAGAAGAAAGTGAAGTAGGAAGGGGGAGGCGGTTGTTCGATATTATGGTCAAGTGGGTGGGCGGAGGGTGCGTATTAGAGCGTGGGCGCTTATTCGAAAAAAAACGGTATTCACAAGGCTATCTTGACTATATTCATAAATATGTAGTTTTATCCACTCATAAAAAACCTAGATATAGTTTAGTTTCAGTTTTGTTCGGGCAAAGTAGAGATCTAAAGGGTTTGGTACTCATCACTCTCCTATGTTCATATTTGGCGAGATATGCCTAAGGGATGCCAATGGCTGCTTAAGGTATGCATGTACGAAGATTGAAGATGCTGCCGGAATTGAATAAGGTCCAGTTGCATGGTTTGCGAGCTAGTATTGTATGCAGGCTTCACTTTTACCGGACAGAAACCTGGACTGACTCGACCGAAAGTGGGCTGCTTCTTATGGCAGTCAAAAATGAAGCCACTCGGCGTAACTACCTTCTCACGACGTGAGCGGAATTTTAACTTCGTATTACTTGCGAAGCCTACACGCTGCTTAACAAAAGTTTCTTTTCCATCTTTATAGCTAATGTAGGTTTTTGGGACTTCATGAATTTCTGCGTGTCATACCGGACTCCACTCTTCTTGTTGATTTGCCCGCTCATTAGAACAAAGGTATGTCATGTCCCTAACAGTAGTCAATACAGATATATGTTGGATGTTGTGCTAGTTAATTTTCACTGACCCCCTCGATTTTCCCTCCATTTCTCATCTGATTCATCGTCTCTAAAATTTACGTGATGCAGGTCTCTCATCTCCGTCCCAAAAACAAAACTGAACGTGCTCTCAAGCAAAGAGTGTTAACCAAGATATCACGCCCACCTCTGGTCGTGAGCTCTCGCAATGCTCTCATCACCCGCTTCCTTGAGGAACTATCTTTCATCAAACAGAAGCGCCCAGCGGCAGGCTTTCAAGATGTTGAGGAAGGCGAAGAAGAAGACGTGCAGAAAGAAGAAAAGAAGCCGCTGGTACTACAGGCTCCCCCTCTAGGCAGAGAACGCTCCTCCAGTGCACCGGAGGAACCAGCTACTGATTCTAAGGACGTGAAACTCCCGCCCCCACTTACACGCTCTGTTAGCCTGAAAGCGAAAAAAACAGTGTCATTTTCGCCATCCCCAAGCTTTGAAGATGATCGAGGATCTGCAGCTTCATCTCTCGGCGATGTTCGCAGCGGGAAAGAAAAAAGGAAAAAGTGGCTTTTACGTAAACAGGAAACAGTTGAAGAACAAGATGGTCACAATGAAAAGGATCTCATGGATACTAATACAAGCCAAGGCCCTTTTGCGCACCAACGAGGTACTACCATGAGGCCCGGAAAGGTGCCCACAGGAAGAGGGCCCCGAAGGCGCTTTGAAAAACTGCGAGCTGTAACATCAGAAAGGAAATCATCGAACCCATCGGCTGAGGTGGAAACTAAAATCGAGAGCCCAACCAGCGGAATTGTGGAGAGCCAAGGCGAGAGATTTGAAATGAGGTTTTTCGAGACAGATATTTTGGTCACTGACTCTAAGATGGAAGCAGCCCCTGAAAGCAAACGCTCTCGAGCGTCGCTGACGCCCCCGATAGCGAAACCCGAGTCTGTGATGATTACGCTGTCTCCTGACGGTTCACCGTCTGGACAGTCTCCAGCCAGTGAGATGAAGCATCCGTATCCAGACATTTTGGAGTCCTTAACACCATTGTCTCCCATTCCTCCTGTAAAATTCAGCTCACAATCGGGTGAGAAGCACGATTCTGAGAACGCAAGGAATGGAACGATTGCGCCCGAAAGCAACCTTGCAGCGGATTACGACGTAGAGCGTGCACAGCGGCTGAACAAGACTCGCTGGTGGAACAAAGTTTATTCCAATGTTGAAATAATTTCCACTGATGAAGACAGTCAACGGTTTCAAAGTTTTGAAATTTCTCTATCAGAAGTATCTGAAGTGCAAAGGGAGACGAACGTATGACTTACGAAAACTAGTATCAGCATGTGTAAAGAATATGACGTGAACCACTTCTTCCTGTTGACGGCAAATCATCTTGGGGCTGGCATAGATGAATTTATTATTCCATCATTACTCTATTTCACCGTATTAGGGCGGTGGAACACGAAAAATACGCCGCGGTATTTCTGTAAGACAGGATAAAAAACGGACGCAAAGCAAGCAATAAAATAACGGCATTAAAATACTTAAACTTTCTTTTTTTTTTTCCTTTTGGTTGCCATGACTTTTTTTAGCAACGAATTGTTGAACCAGTCTTATTTTTTCTGTTGATTCTGTGGATACTAAAGAACCCTTAAATTGTTTCCTTTGTGTTGTTTTCGTTTTTCGCGTACGCCTTATGTGATTGATACGATGCTCAACTAAGGCCAAAAAAAAGTATTTTCAAAACTAGAAGCCAGACTACTGCTTAGTTCATCCTTTGTGAAAATCAGGAAACAGATAGGAAATTTTCCCTTTTATTACAAGATGTTTTGCCGCAGGATTTATTTTGACGACAATCAGGCAAGCCCAAACCAACTTTAAAAGGTTACCGAAATCAATACTTAATCCGAACGTCTTGTAGAACTACTCGTTATATTTCTTTTTCATTAACTGTAGTTTTAAAGAAAGAAAGGTGTTTACGTATTGTTAATAATATTAGCCTTGTGTACACAGGAAACACAGATAAGTAATTCAAACAAGTTCAGGGTATTGCTGCCTTCTTCATGGTTAAACGGCGACCGCTTTCCTCTTGAGCTGTCGCCCCTTGAGGTTGATATCGTTCCCGCGTCCAAAGGACAAACTCCTGAAAGACGATCACTCCATTGCCGTTGTTGTCCATTTTATCGAAGAGCTCTCTTATGTGAACGTCATGCATTGGTGCGTTTAATTTTTTCATTCCTACCACGAAGTCCTCTTTACTGAGCTTGAGACCATCGCGGTCTTTTGACAAAATTTTGAACAGGTCGATCAAACGAAGCCCTTTCGTGCGAATGAAGGCCAAGTACACGTCCAGGATCTCAGGTCGCTTGGTTTGATCTGAGAGTCGTTCTCCTGTTATACTGATATCCCAGGAACAGGTGAACAATGGCCTTCTCTCAAGGAGAGCTTCGAGTTCACGTGCACACTCCTTATCAAACACGATATCATCGAGTTGAAGCTCTTTTAAGGCGCTGGATGTGTTCTTTTGAATGGCCATCAACAGGACGCGTGCGCCGTAACTTTGGAAAGGATTTCGTCCAGCTTTTAGAACCTCCAAGCTTTTGTTTGTCCTTAAGAATTTGGCTATGGCCGCAACACCATTCTTAGTGATGCAGTTACTTCCAATATCCAGGACTTTGAGCGTCTGGTTACACGACAGTGCCTCTTGAATAGCAGTAACGCCGTCGTCTAGAAGACCATTCCAAGCAATGTTTACCTCCCTAAGGCGAGTATTACTTTTCAAACCCTCGGCCAATGCTCGAGCCCCTTGAACACGAATGCTATTCCAACTGACGTCTAACATATCAAGAACCGCGTTGACTTTGATGGCTGAACCCAGAAAGGTGGCTCCTTTATCACCGATGTCGTTGTATGATAAATTCAAGTAGGTCAATGGTGCATCTAACCTTAAAGAGTTGCAAAACACTGCAATCCTTTTACCTTGCAAGTTGCACTTGCTGACGTTTAGTTCCTTCAGTGTGTCGTTCTGAAGAAGCATGTCTCCGAGTTCGTCTGCAGCTTGCTGGCCGATGTGGTTTCCCGACAAATCGACTTTGCTGATAAAAGGGTTCCTCTTCAACATTTTTGCAATGTATGTCATTCCTTTGTCGCCGATGCCGTTGTCATGGAGATTTAAGGTAGTTACATTTAAACATCCTTTCAACGCCATACTTATAGCTCGTGAGCCAGAATCTCCAAGGCCATAATGGTTTAATTCGATATCCTTTGCCACACACTGCTTAAGAAACTTAGATGAAGGCACAATGTTATTACTCTTGCAGGCCTCAAGGTAAACTTCCTGTGTTGAACGCGAGAGGTTGACGAGGTCCTCCCCTTCGTTCTCTTCGTCGGGGCTTTCGTCTTCCAAGTCCGTTTCGTAAAACTCGTCTTCTTCCATAGTTCGACTTCTAGTTCATAGAAAGGTTATGGGGTTTTTTGTCCTTTGTGACTGGATTCATTTGGCATCATTACTCCTCTGTAAGCTTAGTATTTCATTCGTCTATCGGCAGACTGACCTTGTCTTCGCTGTTTTCCTGCTTTCATACAGTGAAAAAAAGAGAGATATCTACCCTGGGCTAACGAATGTATTTCAAGATACTTACAACGTGTATTTTCAGCCTCAGATAGATTTGACTGAGGTACGTGTTAGTGTTGAGTTTCCCTCGAAAAGGCCCCAGCACAAGACAAGCAATCAAATATAAGATTATCAATCTCCTTTCGTTCTGTTTCTAATTTAGCTCCACAATTATGTAACATAGGTTTACTTAGCGGCGTTGACAAATTACTTAGTCACAGGGCTTCTAGTAACATAGGATTTATTATGACAGTGTCTGTAGACTTCGATTGGAGAACACCATATTTAATGAGTACATATTAGCCTGAAGCTTGCTGAGTTACTCACCACTCAAAAACAAAACACTCGTTAGAGACTTCTTTTAATTATTGTATGAAGGATGAATGTCATCAATGATAATACAGACATCAATATAATTACTTTAACCTTGCAGTATTTCCCTGCGTGGGGTCTTGTTGAGGCAAAAGGTTTGAAACAAAGCTGCTAAATAATTCACTTTGTTTCTGTTTCTGAGATAATGAGAGGTGGAGATGAGACAAAAACTTGTCTTTGATAAAAAAAAAACAAGGTTTCCGGAACCTTCTGTGCGTAAAATATCTTACAATATTGGAATTTTAATTACTTAGGAAACCTCTTTATTATGTAGAAGAACTATTTGTTTAATAACTGAGAAATTGATCAATTAGTTAAACTCGTTTCGCTGTAGTCTCGAACAAGATACATTTGTATTTGGTGCACAGTGATCAAAGAAAAATTTCATGACTCGATTTTCCGTTTCATGGAAAACTTCAAAGAATGTAAATTTTTGGACTGAATTTATTTATATATTTATATGGTCAGTGGAATGCTTGGGAAACGAGGGGTTTTAAAACGAAGGAAAATTTTTTTTTAGAATTATTTTCGTTATGGATTTCCTTCGGAAACTTTTATCATTTCTGTTTTATCTAGTTTATGCAATTCGCTGCCTATACTTTTCTACTCTGCAGCTGACTGCACCAATGAGACAATGTCATATAATAGTGAGGAAATTAAGCTTCTTTTTCGACAATTCCGGCCAAAATTTTGGCGGCGAAGAGTTTCTGCACAGGGAATCTTTTAGTTTCCATCGGTTTTTGTCTGTTGTTTCATTGCCACAAACTCTTGAAACCTAACCACGCCATCGTCATCTGCGTCGAGAATGTCAAACAGCTCGTCAAGTTGAACTCTCTTGAGATGAACGCCCAGCTTTTGTAAACCTTGCACGAACCTTTCTCTATCCACAGTCATCCGAAGCGCGCTGAAATCGTTCCTGGTGATAATCCTAAAGAGATCGATCAGCCTCCAACCTCGTTTGCTAACAAAAGACAAAAACTTTTGCACCACAAGGGGCGTTTTAGGAGCGTTTTTCCTGAGAGACACTGGCATTTCGAGCACAGTGCCTCCACCTTTGACGACCGTTCCCCACTGACAGATAAATCCCGGCCGCTCATTGACCAGTGACTGAAGTTCTTGCACACACGTTTGGTCAAGCGTGGTGTCTTCCATGTCTAAATGCATCAACGCACTTGAAGTGTTTTTACGAATTTCCTTGAGGAGTTTCTGAACACCGTAATCATGGAACAGATTTCTTCCAATTTTCAGCGTGTGAAGGCTTTTATTACAAGACAGACCCTCAGATATTGCCTCGGCGCCTATCTCATTAAATCCACAGTTACTGACGTCGATAACCAGCAACGACCTGTTGACAGCGAGAACCTCACCAATTTCAGTTGCTCCTTCATTAGAAATACTGTTACGAGAGATGTCAAGTTGCTGCAAAACTGTGTTCGTCTTGAGCCCTTTTGCTATACCTGCAACACCTCGTAGATGAATCGCATTCCAGCTGAGGTCCAAAATCTCAAGCGTGCCATTAGAAATCAAAAACCAGCCCAGTTTAATAGCGCCTTCGTCTCCCAGTTCGTTGCCTTTCAGATTCATAATTCTGAGACGAATTCTCCCACCTTGAAGAAGTTTGGGAATACCTTTCTCTTGCAAGCCGCAGTATCCCAATCCTAGCTTGACAAGACAGTCGTTTTCATTCAACATTTCACCAAAACACTCGATACCTTTAGTTCCGATTCGATTTTCTGATACGTCAAGCTGTGAGACAAAGCAGTTGTCCTTAAGCATCAGTGCCAAAGCTTCAGCTCCGATAGTGGATATACCGTTGTCGGCAAGGTTTAATTTCTTTACTGTCATGTTTCGTGCCAGTGCCGATGAAACCGCAATGGCTCCCTTATCTCCGATACCATAATGCTGCAGATCTACTGATTCGGAGCGGAGCTCCCTTAAAAATCTCGAAACTGGTGCAATATCTAAGTTTTGGCACGTTTGAAAATAAATTTCCTCTTGTGTTTTATAGAAATCTTTTTCCTCCGTAAAGTTCTCTTCAAGGTCTGTGTCGTATTCCTCGCTATCGCTATCGTTTGTATCCTTGCTTTTCAAATGAACTTTGTTTTGTGTTCTGCTCAAATTTTTTGTTATTCCTGCCGCTTTACTGCAATCCATTCTGCTTCTTACAACGGAGAAAATTGTCTTTGTTTCATGTGTGAAATTTCACAGGACAGATGAAATAACCACTTTTAATTTTACCGCACCTGCGTTTCCAGATTTCATCCTTTGCGCAGTGCTATGGAAAGAATTTCTCGCTTTTCACGAAATAATATTTAAAACCCGTTGTACATAATAGAATATTAATAATTAAACGATCCCACCATCATAGTTTGCTAATTACTTGCAATTATTAAGCGTTTTTGTAGGAAATAATTACTTTGAAAGACTGATAACAGTCAAAACCCTATCCTCCACTCGTTTACTTTGTCGGCAGCCCGAGATTCTGTTAGGCTCAGCCATAATAGACATTTAGAGCGAAAAAAAGTTGTTGATTTATTTCACAAGACGAAGTCAGTGCGAAGGGTCTTTGCCACAGCTTTAGTATGTTGAACAATTTAGCCTGAACTTTTTTTTGTGTTTTCATTTTTTTTGTTTTATTTTCTTTTGAAATCTGAGTCAATCTTCTCTCTATATAACAATTATCTTTTTCCCTTTGGTTCATTCCTACCCCTTTGCTGTATGTACATCTCAGTAAACTATATTTACTTCTTGACATAAGTAGTAATTTCGTGATTTCAAATTCAATCACGCGAGAGTGCCTCGTATTCCCACGCTTTTTGCCGCTGCCAAAACCTAAAACATTGAATTTTCACCTGCTTTCTAGCATCTTTTTTCACATTTCAGTCAACGTTTTCATTAATTAGTGTCATGCTTTTAGTGATCCTTTTTCGCGTGATGCCTTTTTTTATCAAAGGAAGACTCTGAGAAAACCGGACGAAGTAGGTATTTTTTTCGAGGTATAGGGCAGGGTGGGGTGGGATGGGAGAAATGGTTTCTTTTCAGTTATGCTTGTAGACTCGTTGTCAACTCAACGAGTAATCCCAGAACTCCTTGCTTACATGTAAAGTATGACGTATTGCAGTGCGCTGGATGACAGAAAGCTATAAAGCTCCAATACTTCAGAATTATGTTTGTACTGTCTATGAAAGTTTCATGAGTACCTCTGTAAACATAAGTTAAGAATGGCCAGCAGTTATAATTCCAACAGCCCTTCTCCGTCAAGCGAGCGAGGAAACAAATAAAACAAAACAAAGAAAGATATATTGCGTCACATGAAAACGAGACGCAAGCACCAGTATCCAGTTGGAAGACCATTCACGACGATCGGAAAAAAAATGCTTGGCGATTGAGCCTTTTCCAACGCATCTGCCAAGGTTTGGAACAGTCTCCCGCAATCATTAAAATCACAGAAAAATTTGAACAATTTTAAGACATTGCTTAAAACTCTCTATTTTAGAGAAGTTTTTAATTTATAATTTCTTTTTAGTGTTTCATATTGTATACATCTTCTCATTTAAATAAGTAGCATAGTGATTTCGTATTCAGTTTTAATATGTAAAGCGCATTTCATCATATCCTCCTGTATGTTAATTTGCGCGATATTAACATTAAATATTATCATTATTATTAGGGGAGCTATCTTTATCGCCCATAAGTCTCTTGTGGCGCTGATTTTTCAATTGAAACCCCTGCTTAGTTATCTCAAGGACATTTCCTCGCCAACAAATCTCTTCACATGCCCTGTTAAGGTGATTTCTCAGAAATAAAACCATCGAAAATTTTTTTTAACCTTCCTTAAATGTTCCCTGCCCATTTTTTTTCGAAAAATTTAATTAAAAAGGATAGGTCACTACGCTTGTTTAAGAGATATGATGAGCCAAACTTACGCCATTTATGCCTGTACTGACACTATCACGCGCGTCATTTCATTCGTTCACGTTATATTTTGTGGTAGCTGGAAGCAAGGGTTTTCTAAAGTAACACTTGAAGTGAACTTGATAGGCAGAAAATATCGAGTGAATGGGGCAATATGATTTAAAGACAGTCGTTTGCTGCCGAGTGACTCTTTCGATACAGAGATTATATCCAGGTTGTACTGGATTGACCCATTTACCTGCATATGAGTGAGAGAACGTCGTGATTCGAAAAAAATATACAATTAACTATGTGGTGAGGGCTCTGGAATTGTAATCTCGGCACTCATGAAGGAAATGAGCCAAACGAGCCGGCTCGATTGGTAAACGCATAAAACTGGCCCTGTGTTTTTAAGTTTAGCCCAATATTTCTTGAAAGAAAGCTCGATAGCCACTTTCTAGATGAATCCACCAATTCCAGGTTTACCTGCGGTCAAACCACTCTAATATCGTTTCTTATAAATATGGTAGATTATAAAAAAATTGTAACCTTTACCGATGGCAGAACGATTCAAGCTAAATCGCTTCACTGACAGGCTCACACTGCGAAGTCATACAGGTACTCTCGAACAAAAATCCAAATTGAGGGGAAATGTCAGGTGTTTGAGCGCAGGCTGGAGTGCCTTTCAAATTAGGTTGTTTCGCTTGATGCAGAGTTGTCATCACAAATGCAATTCTGTAAACCAAGTGCCTCCATGGATATTTACTCTCCATCACGAACTTTCGGGACTCAGATATAACAAAGAAGTGGGAATTATGCTTCTGTTTCATCGCGTGATATTTCGCTCATAATCAAGAGTGAAAAACGGCCTTCGATTATGCTTTTATTACGCTCGCCTCGGTGATCTTTACCTATTTTAAGGGCCAATCGGTCATAAAACTAAGGAGGAAAGTTCCATGACAGAAAGTACGTTGTCGGAAAGTACCGCAAAGCACCCTGCGCCAGATCTTGCGAGACACACTCTTGCTCCCTCGTGTTAATTACACAGTCGCCAGTCCAGAATTTACCCAACGAAAAAACAAAACAAAAACATGCTCCGATTATTGGTTTCCTTCTCGTCCAGTCTCCTTTCTTCAGAAGTTTCAAATGAGACACCTGGCGCCTAGGGAAAGTAGATCGGATGATTTTTAAAATTTTTGTCGTTGTCGTTGTTGCCTAATTTTTTTTAGAGGGGGGAGGAGAGATCACATGGCTTTCGGTAGGAATAGAAGAAAAGTACTCAGGGGGAGTCAAAGAGATATGAGAGTCTGTGTATTTGACTCTTGAAAACTATTCACTCTCACCAATCAGGCGAGATTGTGGCAGCGGTCAAAAATTTATGACATCACTGTGCACAATAAGTCCGAAAAAGAGTGTGTTCACGACCAAACAATTATCGAACAAAAATAACCTTGCAATCATTGGCTACGGGGCCAGTTCCGCTTGGCGAAAAAGAAATACAACACAACTACTCAGTATGCGTCCAACTTCCTTGTATTCTTAGAAACAACGACTACATTGATTTACAGAAAAGGCGGATCTATCTAGCGGTTCGTAGTTATTGCTTCCTATAGGATAGCCTTAAAATCCTTTCCTCAAAACTAAACTCAGAAAAACAAGGGGTGGAAAACTGCGCCCTAGCTGTGATAGGGACCTTTAGCAGTTAGGACGGCAACGCCAAGGAAGACGTCGATTTAAAAATAAATATATGTTTTTAGTTGGAATCTCGCGAATGACTAGATGTATTTACCATCTGTTTCAGCGCCACAAGTTAACCGCAGCATAACATATGAGAGCGGCGTTGAGTTCCAAATGGAAACTAACATAATTTACCGTCGGGGTTTCATTTCTCAGACCACGCAAATTTGGATAATTTCCGTTCTTAATTTGCTAAGGAAGGCTCACAAATGTACACAATTCTTTTGTTTTTACACAGATCTTTTGTTTTTGCCACGTCCTCGTTTCCTTCGCCGTCATGGTTTGCTAAAGATCCCTAATTTATTTTCAGCGGTGCTATAGGATGCATACATATACAACGAATCATACAACCACAACTATGAACCTGGTTAAGCACGCATTAACGCTTTACACCCTAACATCAGTAAGCATATTCTCCATACTGTTCTCCTTACATTTCCTGAGGTGCTGACAAGGAGAATTTGTTGAACAATCGAGATCATCTTTAGTTGGTGATTGTTTCATTTATTCTCAAGACCTCACTGCGTGATTCAGGTTTGAGGTTGTAAGGAGAATTTAGATGCTAGTCCCTCTTGAGGGGTGAAATAAAGAAATAGAGAAATTCGACAAGAAATAACACGTAGGCATGTGGTCTAAGCAATCTGCGATGATCGTACCTCGCCAGCAAACATTAACGGGTTCTACTGCGGCTTGCGTAACCCGCTTTTAAGTTAAAAAAAAAACCTCGAAATCGAAATTGCCGACCAGGGAAATTGAACTAAGGTCTGTCATGAGTTTTTGTCGAGTCTTCTGAGACTTTTCAGGATTTTTGATTTGTGTTTCTATTGGCGATCAGAATTTCCAGTTTTCAGAGTGTGGACATAAAGCATCACTAATACAATTGCCAAACAAATTCAAATCGGTGAGAGTCTTGCTCACTTTACTTGCCTCTGTAACAGATGTAGCACCAGCATCACTAATACTATTAAAAGACAAATTCAAATAGGTCAGAGTCTTGTTGATTTTGATTGCCTCCGCAATAGAACGAGCACCAACATCACTAATACCATTGCGAGACAAATTCAAATTGGTGAGATTCTTGTTGACTTTGATTGCCTCAGCAATAGATGAAGCACCGGCATCACTGCTACGATTCTTAGACAAATTCAAAGAGGTCAGAGTCTGATTGACTTTGACTGCCTCAGCAAGAGATGTAGCACCGGCATCACTAATACGATTAAAGGACAAATTCAAATGGGTGAGAGTCTTGTTGATTTCGATTGCAAAAGCAATAGACTCAGCACCGGCATTACTAATACCATTGCCAGACAATTTTAAATGAGTGAGAGCCTTGTTGACTTCGATTGCCTTAGCAATAGATGTTGCACCGGCATCACTAATACAATTGTTAGACAAATCCAAGCAGGTGAAAGTCTCGTTGACTTTGATTACCTCTGCAATGGACTTAGCACCGGCATCACTGATACCATTGCCAAACAATTTCAAATCGGTGAGACTCTTGTTGACTTTGATTGCCTCAGCAATAGATGTAGCACCGGCATCACTAATACCATTGTTAGACAAATCCAAAGAGGTCAAAGTCTTGTTGACTTTGATTGCCTCCGCAATAGATGTAGCACCGGAATCACTTATACATCCAAAACAGAAGCCCAACGTTTTTAGGGTCGCGTTGGCTTTGATTACCTCGGAAAGGATTATCGCCAGTCCTTCACTTAGGAACTGATATTCGACATAAAGATCTGTTTGGTTCAAATCGCTACCAAAACATCTTGCTAGCCGTAGGTGAAAATCATCTTTCTTTCTTTTACATTCGTTGATGGCCTCCAACAGAAATTTGACACTCCGACAGTTTTTGCTGGCGGGATTGTTAACCCGCTTTCCTAAACTGGAGACAAGAGCTTCAGCTTCTTGATCGGACTGTTCTGCTAGAATGCCGCACGAGAACAATAGCACCTGTGTGTCAAGGAAATATTGGTCGTCTGAAACTAACTCCTTAGGGATAGTTCGTTTATCTTGAATCTCACAACAGAGATAGAATGCTGCGAAGCATTCTTGAAAGGTTTTGTGTAGAAATGCATAACGCAGACTCGGCCTCAGTTTACTACCTCCGGGATGAACTGACAGAAATCCGAAGGCAGCTAAGTCACTGGCATGCTTTCCTAATTCATTCTCTTCAAAATCCAACTTGTCTTGAATCAAACCATTTAACGCTATCAATCCAAGGGTTTTCAACTGCGGTTTGTAAAGGTTTGTAAGATCTTCTTTCGTATCTGGTAGTTCTGTCTTTTTCCTATATCTTCTTAAGACACATTCAATCATATTCAAGAACAGCGTAGTTCTTTTTTCCGGAAGGGTACCATCGAATTCTTCGCACATAAGGCAAAGCAGGGCCGCGTTCAAGGGATTGGCACACATTTCTCTAAGGTTTTCATCGCGTGATATTCGTGCCGAGAGCTTTTCAGCTAACTCTGACTTTTCCTTGAAGTACTTGGCGATAAATTCTCTGGCTTGTGCTTCAGTAAAACCTTCGACCTGAAGCAGGGTGTCACAGAATTTTCTTACCTTTACTCCAGCTTCGTGTCGTGCTGTTGCCACCACCTTACAATTCTGAAGCACTCTTCCGGCAATTATTTCTGAAACCATCGGCACTTTACTGGAAGGTAACTCATCCAGTCCATCTAATATTAATAAAATGCTGGATTGGTTGGCACGAATAAATTGAAAGAATTGCTTTTTGACGTTTTCGTCGATATCTCGGGGAAGAAGCTGATCATCAATGGCTTCCCAAATATCGGACTTGATATCACGACATTTAAGGAACAACACTACTTTTATGTTTGTGACGCAATCATGGGGGTTCTGCTTTTTTGTAGCCCAGTCATAAACATACTTTTTACAGTAGGTAGTTTTACCTATTCCAGGTTTTCCTTCAATTAGCACTGTTTTCGGTTCTGAACACTCTTCATGTGGATCCAAGAGAGACGACATGGTAATGATCTTGTCAGTGACGTCTCCTCTAGTTTTCTTTCTTCTGACCACTTTGAGCCTTGTAAAAATATCACCGACAAAAAACTGAAACTCTTCACACCATGGAAACGGTGAAAGCCATCCCTCGCGATTCTTGTACAGTTGGCGGATTCCATCGATCAGCTCAGTTGGATCAAAAGCACCTGAAATAAATCAAAGTGACATTGTGGCTAACTCGTGGATATACTCAAATTTTAGCCTTTGTATCGTAACGAAAGCGGCAAAAAAAAAATTACTTCATTCATATCATGTTCATATCTCTGCATCTCTGCTACTTTCATTTCCTCTTTAGAAAAAAGTGCACGCCGAAATCTATCAGTAATATTGAAGAACTCGACTTACCTTTACCCATGCTTTCTTCTACAAAGTCAGTCAGGTAACCAAGCCTTTCTTTCACCTCTTTTATTTCACCCTCTAGAGGCGTTATGAACTTTCCCATACAGTCTTTAATGTTCGCTGAAAATTTGAAAAGAATGTCAACGTTCATCAGCCAGATCACATCATACTTTTGAGTTTTAAAGGTACACATCTTAGTAACGCAAGTCTCGTGTTTTTAATGTACACATCTTAGTAACGCAATTATCGTGTTTTTAAAGTACACATCTTAGTAACGCAAGTGTCGCGTTTTTATTGTACACATCTTACTAACGCAATTATCGTGTTCTTAAGGTACACATCTTAGTAACGCAAGTCTCGTGTTTTTATTGTACACATCTTACTAACGCAATTATCGTGTGTTTAAGGTACACATCTTAGTAACGCAAGTGTCGCGTTTTTAAGGTACACATCTTAGTAACGCAAGTGTCGCGTTTTTAAGGTACAAAAAAAGGATGCATTCATCAACGAATACCCGATGACTTCCTAACAAGTTGCCCTTCTTGTGCAAATTAGAAAGAGCACATTCTAGGACCCTGCTCTAAGTAAACGGCATTGAAAACAGGTCATTTTACCTTCCACCTCGTCAAGTTTGTTCTTGATGATATCGTCGTCTTTCTTCCATTGTTTCATCAGTTCACGATAATGCTCGTCGATATCCGGATCCATGCAGTCGTGCTCAAGATTGTCGATATCAACTCGAAATTTAGCTCCTCCCAGTCTCACCAGAGCTTCTCGTATTTCTTGCCAATAAGTACTGAAGCTAAAGTCAGCCAAAGCGGCTTGAGCGGCATGGCCGCATACAGTGTTCCTGTAATACTTCACTCTGGCGATGTCATCCTCAATGCTTGTGTTAGCAGGTGAGGGAAGATGATCCCAACCAGCGACAGGAGGGCTCAAATCACAGATATTTCTAAGCAGCACTATTAGGAGTGTGATGTCAAAGGTTGCGGATGACACGGGCGAATGAGCAGGATAAAGCTTGCCCCATTGAATAGGATTTAGCACTTTCTTCTTCCCTTTGTACAGTGATTGCAATTTACGGTAGTGCACAGAGGTACTTCCCAAAACTGTGTGTAGAGTCGCTGGTGGATGTATTTTGTCAAAAGTGGATCGCAGTACCTGAGATCCAACATCCACCAGAAGACGGCACAGCCTGGCATAGTTGGTTGTCTCTTTTGAAGAGGCAAATGACGAGGAGGCCGCAGCCATGAAAATAACCTCACCAAGAAAGTTTCTGTCGAGCATGGAAATAAATATGAGGAAAAATTAGTAAATACCACTCTTAAAAAAAGGCTTTTGAGATCTAATAACTGAGAATAGAAAATGTTGGTGATCATCATGGGTGTCTGATCTTTTGAAGTCCCTATCACCAACGAAGGGACTATATTTTGGACATCTTGAAAGGACTTTAATGAGAGACGTTTGATCTCATTACAACCTGTCAATAGTTGTCTTCCAAATAACACAATGCAAACTATAAACAAAACTAAAAAGCAAAAACCAGTTTTGAGATTTTTATGAAACTGTAATCAAATAAGTATGATCTCAATACACCCACGAATAGGTATAATTCAGTTCAACCCGAGCAAACTGCATGCAGAAGTATCAGGGACAAAACACGTATGAAATGTTAAAAGGGAATCAATTCACGACAAATATTTTTTTCTTCCCGAGTGCGTAAGAAGATTACCCGACAGAAAGACAGCCACCCAGGCAGGTAGGTAGGTAGGTAAGTAGGTAGATATGTAGGTATAAATGCGACCCAGTACATTACATCATGACCATCAAACAGTTTACACAAGACGAACTATGAACTAAAGTAGAAACAATGAACTAGTTTTGGGGATTTTATAGGACTTTTAATCAATGACATATTCTTGATCTTAAAACAAACATGATAAGTTATGTTCCAGTTCACTCATAACAGACATAAAAGCATTGGAGATATAACGCAACTGGAATGTTAAAAGGGCAGCAATTCAGTAGCGAATATTCGCTTTCCCTTTGAGTACAAGAGAGGACTTGCCAGCAGATGGGCGGGCAGGTGAACAGACTAGCTTTCTAACCACAACATCAATAATACAACGACCATCAGTAACTTCTATTTGATTGGAATATCATTATTAATATTGAAAGTAGCATAATCAGCACTATCAAGCAGCTCTGGTCACAAATTTTGTCATAACTCACTATCTCATCAGCACTAATGCAAGTGCCACACCTTTGACTACCATGTAATATAGCTCTGGACAAATCCAACAACAGCTAAAATCTAAACAGTGACATCACAAGCACTAATGCACATCTGTTGTCAAGTTTTCCCCCCAATAAACAGAGCAACATCTATAACTTCCACATTTAGTCAAAAATGAGACCTACACTGTGATGACAATACTGCCAGCAGACCTACCATAATGGTGGCATGATTAATAGGTTGGGATCTACTCTGTGGTGGCATGACTACCAGATTGGGATCTCCACCATGGTGCCATGACTACCATCATGGTACCTAAACTGTGATGACTTGACAACCATTGTGGTACCTACACTATGGGGACGTGACTACCATGGTGGTACCCTCATTGTGGTGACATGACTACCTTCATGGTACCTACACTGTAATGACTTGACTACCTGATCGTGGCACCTACACTGTGATGACATGACAACCATTGTGATACCTACACTCTGGTGACATGACTATCATGATGGTACCTACACTGCGACAACTTGACTCCCATTGTGGTACCTACACTGTGGAGACATGACTACCTTTGTGGTACCACCTACACTGTGGTGACATGACTACTGACATGGTAACTAAACTGTGTTGAGATAAGTACAAACATGGTACCTACACTGTGATAACTGGACTTCCATTAAGGTAACTGACATGACTACTAACATGGTACCTACACTGTGATGACTTGACTTACATTGTGGTACCTACACTTTGGAGACATGACTACCATCATGGTACCTACTCTGTGGTGACACAACTACTAATATGGTACCTACACTGTGGTGACATGACTACTAACATGGTACCTACACTGTGATAACTTGACTTCCATCATGGTACCTACACTGTGATGACTTGACTACCATTGTGGTACCTAGACTATGGTGACATGACTACCATCATGATACCTACACTGAGGTGGCAAGACTACTAGCATGGTACCTACACCATGATGACTTGACAACCATCGTGGTACCTACACTGTGGTGACATGAATAGAATCAATAGAGATAACTGAATTGAAATTCCTTACGTGTGGATGCCTTACCGGTACCATCATGGTACCTACACTATTATGACGTGACTACCATTGTGGAAGTTACACTGTGGTGACATGCCCACCATTATGGTACCTACACTGTGATAACTTGACTCCCATTGTGGTAAATACATTGTGGAGAAATGCCTCTATGGTAAACTTTGCATCTATTGTCTTTACTGACAGTACAGGCTCTTCAGGTAACAGTTGTTTTTTCCAAGATTTCCACTTTGTTATTAACCCTTTCACTTCCCTCTTCTTAATATCAGCCCTCTTATCTGTGTGCCGATACATTTATGCTTTGAACTTAAATAATATATAATGGGTAATGGAACTGAGTGGGGTGCAATTTGGTTTGCACTGAACTCTTTTTTAAACAGGATATGGGCATGTGCTTTTCTTCCCTTGTCAAGGTTGTACTTTGTTTTATGCTACACATATGTTTTTAAAATGTTTAAATCTTTTTTGCCAGGATAAGACACTGGTCAGCTGCTGCAAGATGGTGCTTCACAAATTGTAAAGTAGAGAGCATCAGTTGAAAAGTATAAATTATTTTGAGATTGCTTGGCTTTACAGAGGTAACTTACAATATGTAGCTGTTTTAAAATGAAATTGTTTTGAATATATTAGTAAACAACATACATAATCAATATCTTTCTTAAAACACATTCAGAACTCTGTTAGCGAAAGTTATTAAAACAAATTATAGAAAATGTATTACTGAGAAATTTGTTTTTATATCATTAATTAACCCTTTTACTCCCAAGATCTCATTAGTAATTCTTCTTACTGTCTGCTACACAGTTCTAAGTGTTACTTTATAGAATTTGGTATTGGATCACTAGTAATCCCCAGACTGATTTAAGTTCTTTACTCTCCTCACTTGTCTGCTTAATATTGTATTGATACTGTAAGGAAAAATTCTCCTGTGATCCCTCGTGGGAGTTAAGGGGTTTGCAGCTATGCCCAATGCAATGGCAGACAAAGTAAAAGTGCTGTTCAGTTGCATCTATTTTTATCTTGATTCAAATTTGGTTTAGTTTGATTATTTCAGCAATAAAGAACCCAGAAGAAGAGTGGTTGACCTTGGTTGAATACCAAACTTAGTCTCATAGAATCCAATGAGTGATTTCCCTTTTTCCCAATTGACTTAGCCTTTAATTCCCAAGATCTGATTGTTAATTCTCTCTTCTAGCTGTTACATATTTCCCTATAAATTAGTTTTGAGAATTTGGTGTTCAATCACGATAACAAACTATACCTCTTAGAAGTAAGTTTGAGTATTCTCATCACCTGTTTGCTGGACAATGTATGGATATTAAAGGGAGAAGTTACATGTTAATCACTTCTGGGAATAAAAGGACAGTAATCAAACACACCATTTAGGAGTCGCCTAGCTTCTTTGGATCAATTTAGTATTTTTATATTAGTCTTAGCTCTTGAGGCAATTCATGGATTAGCTCCACTGCATATTTGTGATTTAATTAGTGTTAGGCCGAGGTCCTCTTACAATCTTAGATCTAATGGCTCTTGTTCCTTGAGTTGCCTTGGAGAAATTGCTTTCTAAGCTTAGTGCTAGATCCCTTTATACCACTGCACCATGTTTGTGGATTAGTTTACTTGCTGAATATCCCATCATTAACAATTTTTAAATGCAATCATAGGACCTTCCTTTTTGGTGGTCAGGTTTTTCATAAACCGTTGTGGAGCAAAAATTTTATTTTATGAATATTATTAAATCTGATTTGTTTTATTTTATTGTAGGTCTCATTAAAATTCTACATCGTATACTTAGATTGTTGTAAAATTAGTCTTGTGGGTGAGTCATTGTAAAGCACTACCCTCGTGGACTGAATTCCAGTTTTCTGGGAATTCCTGGGAATCTCAAAAATTCCCAATTATGCAGATTTGACAAGCTTGGAATTACTTTCTGGGAAAGGAGGACTCCAGTTTTGTGAGGTTTTTTGAGGTAATTTAAATGCCCTGAAGTCCAAATAAATTCCTAGAAATTCTCAATACCTTGAATGTTAAGGTTTTAAGACAAAGAGTGATTTAGAGGCTAAAAACTTTGGCTCAATAAAAGGTATGCTTCACAAAATTTACCACGAGATATACATGTATATGTTTATAACATAAAGATCATGAAATTTATCATTCAAACTAAGTTTTAGTAAATCTTAACATTAATATGAATTTTCTCATGAAGCAGCAGTCAATTATATTAAATGCAAATTGCAAATTAATCCAATGTATTCGTATCACAGATTTGCTTTCTAACCTCAAAGGACTCTTGGATTCCATGATCGTAAAAGTATTTGTTGTGATGCAAAATGTGTTATGTCCACAGATGTGCCAAAATAATAAAACATTCATCAGCTGTTTCTTAGTACACAACTTCCTCAAGTGTAACAATAATACATTGTTATCTACACTTAAAGAACTTTGTTAGATATGAATATAAGTTACTTCCCTAATCTACACTACTGGTTTCCTTTGTTAGGAAAACATTGGAACAGTCAAGCTCAGTTGCCTCAAACACTGTCAAAGACTTTTTGTTCTGACTATTTTAAGTAGAAATTTCATGCCTAAGACAAATAAACCCAACACCCAATTAATATTTCTTCCTTCATGATTGTTCTTGCTGTTATTTTTTCAATTGTTTTGCTGTTTTTGTGACTGATTGCTCTTATTTATTTTGCTGTTTTTATTCTTAAAAAACATTTTTGAAAGAGTTCCAAATACTTATGGATCATCCACACACTCCACAAACATTTGGCATGTGGACAAGACAGAGGTGGTCACTATTCCCTCTGAGAAATAACACCTTTTAAATGACTTCTTCATAGACCTTATTTGAAACTCTGAACCAAAAGCATTTTTAAAACAAGACTCGTTAGTAGTGAGAAGTACAAACCAAGTTTCTTTCCATAACTTAATTTCTTAAATGT